CAGTAACAATTTTTATAGCTGTACCAGTGGATGCCATTAAAATGGAGAATCTCTGATTCTTACCCTGCAAATTGTAGTTTCTGACCACTGACTCCAGTTAACATGTACTTCTATTCAAAGAATTACAGAAATCAAATCAGTAATCCCTTTTCCTTCCTACATTCTAACTCATTTTTTGTCTTTTCCATATTGTTCTACAGCAAGTTCAGCTCAAAGTTTGTATTGTAGCTTCAATGTTCTGACACTTAGGACTTATATTTACAAAAGCTGGTGTTTGATAATGCAGTCTAGGAGGATGTTTATGGAGACTCTCACCTGTGCTGAAGTAACCACCCCTGAGCATTTTAAATGTGTTTTAGCACACCTTTCATCTGAGGAGAGCTGAGTCATCTTCCTCAGGAGTAGTAGAGTGTTCTTGTGTTGTTGCAGTGTAAGGATGCAAGAGGGGCAAGGTTTGTTGGAAGAGTTAGTTTCCATTAAACTGAAGTAGCTTGTTAAACAAGCTCTATAGGGGTGTTAATTTTTGCCCCAGAGCTTTTATATTCTTGGTAGGTTTAACAGAAGGTATTTTCTTCATAGAAACTGTGCCTGTGTGTCCTTGCTTGTAACAGGCTGTGTGTTGCTGATGTGCTCTCTTGCAGGTGGACTGGGTGCAGTGTGACGGGGGCTGCGATGAGTGGTTCCATCAGGTGTGTGTTGGGGTCTCCCCAGAGATGGCTGAGAATGAGGATTACATCTGTATAAACTGTGCAAAGAAACCCCTGCAGGGCCCCAGCAGCCCTGCCCACGCCTCACCTCCTCCCTTCTTGCTGAGCTACAAACTACCAATGGAAGATCTCAAGGAGACGAGTTAGCAACTGCTCCATGCCCAGAACTTGTTGGGAAATGGACCACTGGAACCCTTCGGAACGAGAGGGGTTTGAGGCTGATGTAGCTCCTGAGCTTCCCTTCCAAGGATGTACAGATGTGCAGCAGAGCTGGTCCCTTCCTGCAGCAGGAATGTCAGGCACAGAGGCACCGACTGGGCTGTGCAGACACTGCCTGATGAGGGGCTCCAGCCTGTGCTTTCTGACTTGAGTGTTTCCATCTCTGAGTGTGCCTGTTGCTCTCAAGGACTGAGCAAACTCGAGGCTGTCAGACACTTCAGGGTGTCAGAAGTACATGTTGGTAGTGGGGCTGGCCTGGAGCTGGTGGGCATAGGCTGGAGCTCTTACACCTACCTGGTTATCCTGAGGAGGTGACTTTGGAAGTCTTTTGCCTCTCCATGCCAACCCAGTGTGTAGAGCAATGTCTTGGGAGAATGAAATTGCCTCCATATCCAGGCAGCTAACACTACACTATAAGGGTGGGAGCAAGTGGATGAATTTCTTTTAATTTCTCTTTTGTAGCTAAAGGGCAGAGGAGCTCGTAATGGCAAAAATCAGCAAAAGTTCTGTTTACCAAAAAAGAAACCCAACTCTACTCCACTAGGCAGATTCTTTTCCTCAGTGGGAAACAACGGATCTTCCTGTCCTGAGGAGGGCCAGAAATCATTGATAATGTCTAGCTAGACCAGAACGTGGGAAGAGCAGAGTGCTTCCCTTTCCACAGGGATGCTCTCTCCTGTTCTAGGCTTTGCTTAGAGTTCTGCACTCCTGCACGTTAAAGTTGTGTGGCGCAGGATGGAGCTGGCAAGGAGGTACAGCACCCGGGGCACAGCTTCTGAGATCTGTACCAGGGATGGGAAGGAAAGAAGACAGCCCACTTACCTCAGAGGTTACACTGACACGTGCTTCTGTGAAAAGTTTCACTCACAACTTTCCAGTATCACCAGGCTACAGGCATGGCCTCCTGTGATACCAGCAAGCAGTCTGCAGATACTGTTCACAGTGCAAACCCCTCCCTGCTGGCTTTGCTGGGTGTGTACCAGTGTACAATCAGCAACAGTTCTTGTTTGAAGTTGCCCCTGGCTTTGCCGGAGGACCAGAGGGCTTGGGGTCATCCTGGGTGACAGTTGTTTTAGTAAATCCATTTTTAAAGAAGGACTTGTTTTTACTTTTTTCTAAATGTCTCAGACTACTGACTTGTTCTATAAATAGATTATTTTTCTTTGATTTTTTTATACTTACCACTGTTAACCAGCAGCACAGACAGAGGTTCACAAAGCAAAAACCTGCCCGTGGGCTTGGGTTTTTTTACTCCATTCCTTCCTTGTAGTACAAGGAATTAGCAGTTACCTTCCCCATTCTAGCTTGACCAGCTGCCTGTGTTTAAATAGGTAAATACATTTCATGTGCTACCTTTGTATTTGGGTTTGTTCCTATTAGTGGGGCATCTGGGCCTTAACGACTCCAGTGGATGCTGGCCTTGTGTATGTGAATGTCTGAAGTCAGCCCCTGGGCTGTCTTGTCCCCCTCTCCACTCGCTCCCTATTGTTTCCATTCTTCTGCAGTTCTAGGAGTGTTGTAAGTAGTGTCCAGTCTTACTAGGAGCTGGATTGGGATTTAAAGAAATATTGACAAAAACAAAGGTGTGCTGTCTTGACTGTTCTGTGTCCCTTCTCTTGTTCTCTGATATTTGGAAGTTTATTTATTTGGCAGAATTATCCATCCAAAAAAAAAAAAAACCAGCTCAGCTCAGGTAGACGGAACTTCTTTGTTTTCTTCTATGTGTGCCTGCTACCTGGGAAGAGGAAGTGTGCAAAAGGAAAAGAAATAAGATGGAGCACAGAAGATCCAGAGTCTTGGGAGCTTTGAGTGCAAATGGGACACAGACTTCTAATTCCTGCTCCTTAAAGACTTACTGTGATGTCAAAAGCAAGCTGTGGTTAAGCATGTGGCTGAACGGGCACCCTAGCAAATTTAAGAGTATTATTTGTTTACTTATTTATGAAGGAGTCTATGCTTTAGGTAGACATACCCTCTTTTTGCTTCCAGTTACTTTTTTTTTTTCTTTCTTCTCAATGTACACTTAGTTTTGGTAAACTGATTTAAACAGTTGTTACTTTTCCTTCAAGCTTTAACTGACGGTACTACATAAATGTTTCCCCATATGGAGTGGATAAACTATCTGTCACAGATGTTTAATCGTTCCAGAAGTAGACTAGTACAAGATTTCTTAAAGAATCCCAGTGTTCTGTATTCTTTCCTGACTCCTAGAATTTGTGACACAACAGGGGAAATATGGTTAGCATCTCCTGAGCATATCCTCGTGACCATTCCTGCATTCTCTGTTGCGATGAAGTCGTTGTATGTAATTACCATCAACTGGAAAAGAGATCTTTGAGTAAACCTGCATTGCATGTTCCTGTTTCTCTGTGTAGAAGGTGTGGTGGAGAGTGTTGACGGAAGCACTAGTTACAGCAAGATGGAAACAAACAGCTCTACAATGCAACTGTGGTCATTCTGCTTGTAACGAGCACAGGAAAGAGCAAACAACAGAAAGAAATGTGCAAATCATATGCAAAAGTCACATTTTTAGTAGCTGTTTTTCATGTAGCCACGTGGAGAGCCTCTGTTCCACTCTTGGAAGGAGGTTGCCACACTTTTTTCTGGTCACAGATGTCTCGTCTGCTTTTGGATAAGGTGTTCATAAACTGAAGACCATTATTAGCTTTACATCTTATTGTTTTAAGCTTGTTTTTTAAGAGCGTAATTCCTATCAAAGGATTGCTGATAGTATGAACTTATGAATAAATGTTAACTTTTGGAAAAACCTGCAGTTTAGTGGTTGAAAAACCCGAAGCTACAGCTGTGGTGTTGTCTCCAGATCCTAGGGGTTTGAATTCTTATAAAAGCATATGCAGAGAAGCCAGCCAAAGCCAAGACAAAAATGTTCTTACAGGTCTGCTACAGCTGTGGGAAAACTCTCATGCTTTGGGGACAAAATCTCAGTACACAAAAAATATTAGCTTGTGTATCTAGAAAGGTGCATGTCTTAATGCTGTAGTCTACAAAGGCTACTTGCCACTGCTGCTGTAATTTATTTTCATGTGTCTGACGCAAAAGGTCAAAGAAATTACCTGAGCTGTTGTGAGGAGCTGAAAATGGCAAGGGCTTGAGTTGTATAGCTTGTACAAACTATGTGTTTTCAGGTTTTTCTTGTAAAAAACAGGGCCTGGGATTTGGCAGCTTTGCTTGCAGAGAGATAAATGTCACTGCTGACCTTCAGTACCATTGTCTTTAGGATTAATGCTTTTGACAGATCTGTAGCTGAATGCTGGTGCAGCCTGGACCACTGGTAATGAAGACTTAAGAGTCTTCAGCAACTTCATATTGTTGATATTATGGGAATTATCTGAAGGGATTGGAACACAGTCACACGGCATAAGGTAACAGTCTGTTATATCAGCCACACAGTGAAACTTGCATTGATCTTTTCAGTTTTTAGAATCATAGAGCAATTTAGGTTGGAGGGTATTTCTGGAGGTCATCTGGGTCAATCTCCTGACCAGAGCAGTGGCAACTTTAAAAGTAGGCGAAATTTTTCAGGGTTGTGTCCAATAAAATTTTGAGTTTTTCCAGGGATGAGCATTCAACGACTTCTCTGGTTTCCCATTTGGTTCTGTAGCATCTGTAGTGCAGAATTCACTTGCTGTAATGTGCCTTTGCCACAGTCTGGCTCTGTATTTTCTCTGATTAGGTAGTTGGAGACTGCAGGTCCTGCAGCCTTGGTTTCCAAGCTGAACAAATCCAGCTCAGCCTCCCTTGAGCCATGGCATGAGCTGCAGCCTTCTGACAGTCTTGGTGGTCCTTGTTGCAGGTTGCTCCATGTACTGAGGAGCCCAAAACTGGACGTGTTACTCTAGGTACAGCTTAAAAGTGTTGAATACAGGATGGAAATTACTTCCTTCAAGCTGCTGCTCGCACTTTTGCTGTGCAGCCTCCTACAGGGCTGGCCTGTATAACTGCAGGTACTGCTGACTCCTTTTCATTCTGGCTGCTGTTAGCCCCAGGTCTTCTGGTTTATAATTTCTCAGATACAGGAGTTGAACTTTCCATCAGCACATCACTTCAGCCAGGAAAGATCCAAGTGAATGGGAGTTCCCTCCTCCTGTGTTTTGGGCTTTGCTGCTCCAGTCCTCTGCCAGCATTGTTTGATGTCATCTGAGTGTGCTCTGTACCACTACCCAGGTGGGTAAGAAAAAACACCTGAGGTACTGCACTTGCAGCTGTCTCCAAGATTTCAAATTGGTGACTGCTGAAGCCTGAGTATTGCTGTCCACCCCATTTTTCACTGCCATTGTAGGTTGTCCATCCACTCCCCCTAAGTGTGTTTTTGCTGTAAGTCAGGGTGAACACCCACTGCTCTCCCCTTGTCCATGGAGTTCATCACAGAAGGCAGCCAGATTGGGCTGAGGTTGTAGTGGTGACTTACCAGTCACGTTATCCCTCATGGGTGTGGATGTTGGTTTGAGGAGGATTGGTTCCATCACCTTTCTTCTCTTCATTGAATGGGCATCATGCACAGAGGGTTCATGACAGTCTATCAAGAAAGTGATCTTCCTGTTTTTCCTGGGGTTCAGATGTTTTTCTAAGGGTGGAAAAAGTTTCTTAATATCACTCCTGAAATGACTGTTAAAATTGCTGTAAGAAGTTGAGTGCTGTGGTCTGCTAGAAGCAACATTTGAAGCTTACTCCAGTTAGATGCAAAGGAAAAGCAGGGAACTCCTTCACATCCTCTCCAGCTGTGGTCACTGTGTTTGGTCAGCCTGCCTGAACCAAACAGGAACTCTGCTTGGAGCACCAAGGCAGTGGGGGGGGTGCCACAAGTCCAGCCCTTATCATCATTGCAGCTATGCTGGCTTTGGGAGGGTGAAAAATGTGGGGGGCAGCTGGAAACTGCACAGCAGGACACTGAGCTTTGGGTAATGGGGTGGCTTGGCACAAGTGAATGTTAAGTTGTAGGTCAAGAAAATGAAAGTAGCAAGGATTTATTGAAAACTATTTGTAAGGAGCTGTGCTCTGAATGGCTTTGAAACAAAACCTCTGCTGCAGTCAGTAGTTCTAATCTGAGGTGGGGTGTTGTGTCTTATTTGGTGGCTTTTCAGAGGTCACTTTTTGGAGTCTGTGTATCACCTCCACACTCCCCCCAAAAAGGCATTTAAAGCCAAGTGCCAGAGGGAGCTGCTGTGGGTGTTTATGTCCCAGGAGAGCAGCCACCTGTGCACACAAGTGCTGGGATGATGGTTGGTGTCTCTGGCCAGCCTGGCACCTGCTTTTCATGGGTGGGTGCTAGGCCAGCAGACGGAAGGGCTGCATCCTTTGGCTCAGCCCCCAGCAATGGGCGAGGCTGTCACTCCCCAGGGAAAGGAGGTGCTTGGTGCTGCTGTGCTGTGACAGGAGCAGTGCAGCCACCCAAGTCCATGCTATGAATTTGAGAAACAGCTCAGGCTTTAGTGGCATGTGGAACAAGTACCACATTGTTTACTTCTGTCAGCTAATGGTTTAACTTTTCACTTCATACAGCTGGAAATGCAGTCAATCTGGACATTGTCAGTGTATTGGTAGTGGTACATCCCATGATTTCCTTTCCTCGTATTCTCTTAGGCAGGAGGTAGATGCTTTAGCTTTGCCTAGAAACATTCCTGGGGTAAACAATGGCTGCTGAGAACGCCTGGTGGAGAGGTGGAATCACTGGCAGCACCCTGCCTGATGCTGAAGGACCAGCCCCACATGAGTGTGATGCTGCTGCTGCTCTCACCTGCTGCCAGAAGGGGAGCTCCACAGGTGTTTCCCATTTCCAGGTTTGTATCTCACTGGTGAGGTTTGAGCACAGCCCACTTCCTCACTTTCTGGGCCTTACCACCTACCCTGGCACTGGTTTCCTCTGGCTTCTGCTGCAAATAGTGTTGGAATGGTCAGACTCTGGGATTTAGGGCAGTTAGAGAGCACAGTTAGAGAGCTGAACAAATAAATGATGGAAGAGTGCACAGCCACAGGAAAAGTGTTTATAACTTAGAGGATTTTTTTTTCTTGCTGATTAGTGATTCTAGGAAGATAATGGGTCAGATTCCCATTTCTGTTTGGAGCAGAAAGTGGGCATGACCTTTGTGTAACTCCTGTTTACAGAGTGTGCAGAGAGTGCTGCTGGACAAACAACACCTGAGATTTCTGAAAAAAGGAGCTCACTTTGCCCTAAGCAGCAGCTGTTCCATGTCCCTGTTTCTCAGCTCTGGTGATCTCACAGGAAAATGATTGTTTCTTGTGCTTTTTGCTTCCATCCCCCAGGGCCTTTCCATTACACCTTGGGCAGTGCCTGTTCTCAGGGAAGTGAGGCCAAAAGAAATCAGCACAAACTCCCTTCACAGACTTCTGTTTTGCTCCTCCCAAACGTTTTTTCCTTTGCAGCAGGAGAGGTCTCACCTCCCACCCTCTTAGGGCTGCCTGGCTCCCTCCACAGGAGCTGTTTGACTGCAGACTGTCCACTGGCATCACCAGGACCAGATTTGGGCAGCAATAAAGCTGCTGATTCCTGGTTTGCTTGTGTGAATGCACAGGTTCTGTTCCAGCCCTAGGGGGTATGCAGTTCAAACCTTGTAGTAGGAACCTCAAGGTGAATCAGAATATCAAAGACCAATCTCCTTTTTCCTCTAGATCCCAGTTATGGTGAACACCAAAACTAAAAGTTACACTGGCTCCACATGTTCTCAATTAATTCTCCCATTTGAACACACCACCATGTCTTTTTTTTTTTTTTTTTTTTTTTTTTTTTTTTTTTTTAAATCTATTTCCTTCCCTGATCACCATGAAAGCTTTCTATCTGAAACCACATTCTCAGCACTTGTCAGGTGATTGGCAAGCAGGCCTTACCCTCTGTGTTAGCTTGCAGGGATCAGGAATGAAGTGTCCCTGTCACAAAGAGCTGTGATGCTGTGAGCCTCTCTGGCTGAAGGGAAGTAATTAATGTTCATGGTGGAAATACTTGTGTTTGGGTGTATTTCTCCATGTGACCTCTGGATCTGGTCAGCCCCCTAAGCATCACTGTTTGAATTCGTGGTGGCAAAAGGGTGACGTGGCTTGGAATTTGATAGTCAAAAACGGCAGAGTGAAGCTCCTGAGCAGCAGCAGCTGCCCTTTTGTTCCCTCAAAAGGGCTCTCAAGCCACCTTCTCTTTTAGTGTGGGTGTAGTGAGCCAGCCCAACCAGACCAAATCCTTGTGCCTCTGCTAAACCCTCTGTGCCTGGGCTCCCATTCCCTGCTTCCCTGCCACTCCTCCTCTTGGCTGGAAGGGTCAGCTTTCTGCATCTGCTTTGAAGCTGAACTTTTTCATCTCTGGCACTCATCAATAGAAAAATAAGATTGCCTTAAGCTATCAATACTGACAGATTACTTTTTTATTTTTTATTTTGTTTCTTTGAGGGAAAATGAATAAGCCTGAAAGAGCCTTGGTGCCATATGTTGCAACTGACTACCAGAACAGGAATGATTTGTAGATAGGGGCTCAGCCGTGGTGTGAAGGCTTGTGATTCCTGCTTCAGGCAGAATTCCCTCCACCTGGGAAGCTGAGTGAAGGCTCCAGGTCTTGCTCAGGTTATGTCTCAGAGCCCCACCAGGCACAGAGCCAGTGATGAGTGCTGGGAGTGCAGCCCCTTTTCTCTGCCTGCAGGGACCACCTCAGCAGGGCAGCTTAGAGAAGAAGGCTGGCAGCACAGGTCCCTCTGCTTCCTCCTCCACTGCCTTGGGCTGCTGGTGACCAGAGGAGCTAAACAAGAGAGAAACTGCTGCTGCTGAACAGTGGCCAGGGGCTGGTGGCTCTCACTCACTCCTTGTGCTCAGATAGGGGCTGCCTGTGATGTTTTTAGAGAGAACATCTGGCAGTGCAAGGATTTTCTAAAAATCTGACGAAATTCTGATTTTTGGAAGCTGGAAAAACTGAACTTGAATTTTATTTCTTCTTTGAATGCCCAAGTTTTCACTTTGTCAACTTTTGCACAGAAAACCTGTTTCTTGAGAAATTTCTGAAGACTTCTCACTCTGTCAACCAATGAGTATTGGATTGCTCCCTGAATGGAAACTTTGTGTTCTGAGTTGTTACCAGCCCAGTAGTCATGAATTACGAAGTATCTTCTTTTTTTTTTTCTTTACTTTTTAGAGTGTTCAAGTATGAACAGATGCTCTGACATCACTGCCCAAATCTTGCTTCTTTAAAAGCAGATTATAGGCTTTCTCTCAGGAATCAGTTAAGTACAGCCCTGTCTAACCCCTGAGAAAAGTTTTCCCTTTTTCCTGCCAGAACATCTCCCTTGCAGACAGAAAGGATGCAGGGGCATGCAAATCCCTGCCCTGTCAATGGCTTTGATGCCATCCTTCCTGCAGGCAGGTGCTTTCAGACTTCCCTCAAAGGAGTAGGATGTGCAGAGCATAAGGAAAGACCATAAGTGGTCCCAATATACAGCTCTCTTTCCGTCCCTCAGTTTACCCTGTACCTAATCAATCTGCTCATCCTATGCCTCTCACACCACTGCTGGAATTATGATTTCCTTTGGTAAATGGTTCTTGATATGAAAATGTCCTCCACTTGTTTTCTTGGCTGCAGCTTCAAACTGATGAGTTTTAATTTCTTGATCCAACTATCAACTTTCACATCAGGAGGCCCATGACTAGATTTTGGAAGAGTAGCATCTTCTGCCCTCTGCCTAAAATGTGTTCAGGCTCTATTCCCACAGTTACTCTGTAAGGGTTTGTTCAGGTTGCTGGTGAAGTGGGAATAGAAAAAAGACCTGAGAAGTGATGGAGTTGAAGGGAAAGTAGAAGGAGATGCTTAAAAAAAAATTGAAGTCTTCAGGCTCAGGAGTCTTTGCTTACTACTCAGCTCCTGCTTATATAACATGGTGTTTTATTATTTTATAATTATATATATATATAGATATCTATGCTTATGTGCTTATAAGGGCATAACCTTGCAGTGCTTTCATTTTGCCTGTAAAGAAATTAGGATATTTTTAATTCTGAGCAGAAAAGCCCCTTTTCCTTGCTCATGTGTGCAAAAGGCCAGTGTTTAATGGGGACAGAGTACTAAGAAGTCAAAGCAGAGGTAAGATGCAGATCTGCCTGCTGCACTCCTGCTGCACCTGTGCATGCAGTACTGCGTGTTCCTGCTTTTGTCTTGGGTTTGGTGCTCCTGAGAGCCAAGTGCCCACCCAAGGAGCACCTGCTGCTTTCATCCTGCTCTGGGGGGAAACTGCTGGCACTGGGCATAGCCAAGGGAGCGGTGACAGGAATCTGCAGCTCCACTGCTGCTGGGAATTCCTGTAGCCGCCAAAGCAGGTCTAGGAGCACTCTTCTCTTGGTGTCAGCTGATATCCTCCTCTGCTCTGCCCTGGTCATAGAGAGAACAAGCCAGCACACTGTCACCCGCACACCAAGCGCTGTGTGAGCACAGCCCCAGCTCCTGCTGTAGAGGAGCAGGGGGTGTGGCAGTGATATCCTCAGGAGAAGGTTTTCCAGCACTCTGAGCAGGCCAGCCCACACTCTAAGCGGTCCCTGAGCTCTGGCTCATGCAGAAATGTCCCCTGTTTATCTCCTGTGTGCAGAGCACAGTGTCCACACCGAGGATCTTGCACAGAAGTGAGGCCTCTCCTGCTCTGCAGCTATCCAGCAAGGACCAGGTTCTTCCAGCCTCAGGATTCTGGTTCTTCAAGCCATTATTTGGAAGCAGTTATTCACTAGGGAGGCTGTCTCTGAAGGAGGTTGTTTGAAAGCTTGCTGCAGGACCTTCTGTCATGCAGGAACTGCAGGTTCTGGATTTTTGCTTCTGCTACTGTAGTTTCAAAATGTGTTGCCTTTCTGGGATGGAGTTTAGTGGCTCAAGCAGGAGTCAATCCTTTGTGCTCACCTTGGCTTCTTTCTCTGCTGAGCAGTCTCCAGGTTCCTGTAAGGTGCCAGCCAGTGTCAGCCTCTATTTATCCCCTTTCTGTGCATATTTGTGACAATTTTGCTCACTGCAGCCTTGGTTGCTTTAAGCTAAACAACATTTTCAGGCCAGTAGCAGGGTGGTTGTCAGATGGAGGAAATGCATCGTATTTGCTCTGGCCTTTGGTTCCCAGATGACAAAATGGGAAATTGTGCTCCTGGAAGCTGGGAGGTAGCTCACAAGATTGCATTGCCTCAACACACGTGGAGGCAGTTTGTCCTGAGTGACAGAGGAGCAGAGGAGGGCACAGTTGCTCTCAGTGCTCAGCAAAGGCCAGATGTGGCTGATGGTTTTTCGTGTTGGGAACGTGAAGCAGCAGCAGCAGTTGTGTCCAGGCCACTCTCCTGAAAAGACTTTGGTGGTTTGGGCCAGAATTCATTTTAAAGTAGGTTTAAAGGAGATACAACACAAGAGGTTGTGCTTGTCTCCCTGTAAACATTTCCCTCTCCTCTTTTCTCCTCCTCATTCCTCTAAGTAGGTGCCTTTTGAATCCCTCCTTTTTTTTAGGTTTGAACTACCTTCCCAGGTGGCTGAAGGTGGCTTGGTGCTTTGGAGGAGAGAAATCCAACATTTACTCCCTGCTCAGCTGGACATTAATGTGAAGCAAGACCAGACCTGGGAGTAGGTTCTGTAGTTGTTACCAGAGAATGAAGTATCAGCAGTGAGGGGTGGGCTGGGGCCAGTTCTTATGCACATCTGTCCCAGGAAAAGTCAAAGGACCATATTATCTCTAGAGGCTTTTGTTCCACATTTGCTTTCTTTGGGCTGTAAGATCTTCCCTGCTAGCACAGCCACAGCTGCCGGTGGAAAACTGGGATCAAGCCGAAGGCAGAAATCTTGGCAAATGTCCTAAGGTAAAGAGAAAGATAGAAGCAAAACGCAGCATGAATCAATAGCCTTTAGGATTTTCCAGCACTGACAGTGACCCCCCTGGTCCAGAGCTCTTGCTCTTCTCCAAAATGGGTGTTTGGGAGAAGTGTCTAAGCCAGCTGTGCCCCAGCTGGTACAGCTGCTCTGTGCTTGGCAGCCTGCCTGGATCTGGAGGCTGCTGCAGACTGCTCTGGAGGCTTTGCTCCAGCAGGGACTGTCCCAATAAACGCTGGGGGACAGCCAGGCTGGCCGGGATGGGGCTGGGAGCAGTGTGACAGCCAGGCTGGCCGGGATGGGGCTGGGAGCAGTGTGACAGCCAGGCTGGCCGGGATGGGGCTGGGAGCAGTGACAGCCAGGCTGGCCGGGATGAGGCTGGGAGCAGTGTGACAGCCAGGCTGGCCGGGATGAGGCTGGGAGCAGTGTGGCTGCTCTGGCTGCTGCCATCTCCAGCCCTGTGCTCAGAGGAGGTTCCTGACTAGGCAGCCTCTCATTTCACACCCTTTTCAGGGGATGCCACTGAAAGTACCACCTTGTGCCATCCTGGGGGTTGGCAGGAGAGCGATGCTTGTGGGACAGGTGCCAGCATCAGAGCTGCCAAGTGCCAGCACTTGTGGCACTGGGAGGTGCAGCTTGCGTCACTCCAGGTGGCACACACTACTTCAAAAGCTCTTACCTGGTCTTCTCCTTATTCATCTATGTGTGTGTCTCTATCCAAATAATTTTAAATGGTGTTGTCTTGGTAGATCTCTGGATGAAGTTGTTTTGCCGTTACTACAGCATGCATATTACCTAGGTTTGTTCCTTTTTAATATTTTTTTTTTAAAGATCCACATTTTCCCATTTCTCTTATTTGTTTCTTGCAAACCTGCTTGGTAAAGCTTTGTTTCTGACTGTCCCTGTTCTTCCCCTTTCCTTAGACACAATTACACTCAAAATCTTAGACATTGAGATTTCATCCTTAGCACTTTTCCCTTTAATTTTTTCATTGTCTTTAATGGGTCGATTAAAGTCCCTCTCAATTTCTTTGCCTTCTACCATTTCAAAAATATATATTGAAAATATATTTTATTTTCTGTAGTCTTAACTGTTCCTTTGTGGCATTGTTGTTTTTTGGGGTTTTTTTCTCTATTTTCTGTAAAAAAAAAAAAAAATTAAAACCCCCAATATTTCAAATAACATCTTCCAGAGCCATATGAATTTTTTCTTAGTTCACTCCAGAATATGTGTAAAGTGATGCTTTCCTTTAAACATGCTCTGCTCAGGATTTTCCAGCTTGCTTTTGCACTTGTAGATTTAATATCCCCCCTCGCTGCTTATGTTTACACTGAACATTTGTTTTCATTTTCGGGTTATTGTTGTGTTCAGCGCAGTCTTATCACATGGGGTGCAAGCCAAATAGTCTGTAAATGATTGCACATTTTCCTATCATAGTCTATTAGCTCCTGCCAATTAACTTGTTGTCTTGTTGATAGGATTATTGCTATCTGTATGCTGCAGTAATTGTGCTTACTGAGGGATATTCATGCAGTGCTGCTGACAAATGCAATCGTTCGAAATTGGAAATACAGTTTGAAAATCTATGGAAATATTTCCTTAATCTCCTCTCTCCTTACACCAATCTGTTGCACAAGGCAAGATATTATTTGTCTTCACTGTTGTTTTTAATCTCTGCATTCTTACCCTATTTAACAGCTGCACTAATCACTGTGAGATGGTTTCTGCACAAGATTGGATATTTTCTGGGTCTCACCATATTGCATAATTTCTCTTCTGGAAGAGGAATTATGGGAAAACCATCTTCCCTGGTTTTCAAGAATCACTGGTTTGAGGAGTGGAGATGTTTTATTTGGACCACCGTGTTTAATTGCTGTGGAAGAGGAGCAGCTCAGTGTGGATTTGCCTGTTTCCTTTCCAAACAATATTCTGTGGTAATGGCTACAGGTACCATGTTTAATTAATCACGCTCAGTGGGAGGAAAAAGTATTTAAATTTATTTTAAATCTGACTTTTTCATCAAATGATGTTAGTTGTTACATTGTGAGATGTAGTGCATAACATATTCTCTTCTCTGTCTTCTTTTTCCTGGACCTTTGTTGTCACCCTCTTTTCAACCACGGCATCTGTTCCTGAAGTGAGGAGTTGTTGCATATTTGATCACTCCTTGGTTGAGTTAATTCCTTACCTCTCCCTGCCTCTCTTCCATTTCTGTTTCTCCTGCAGGAGGTCTGGTGCTGTGTGGATTTACCACAGATTGATGTGGTGAAACCACAGCGCTTGCTGGTCCTTTCTCATTGTTCTGCCTTCTCAGACTGCCTCTACACATTTTACTGCTGCTTTACACACCTCACACAGGGACACTGACCCCAAAATTGTTATTTTCTTCCCTGTTCTCTCTTGCCTCAGATATTTATCAACAGATGTCATAAAAATATTTTAAAGCTTTGCCTCACGTGCATCCTTGGACCATCCCAGCTGTAACATATCCACCATGGATACGTTACAGCTCGTTTCACAGCCCAGTGGTGCGTGTGCCTAACTGGGGCTGGTTGTCTCCTTGCCATGAAACTTTTCATCTCCTGCTTGGTTGTGTGTTCCCATTGCAGCTTCCAGAGCGGTGTCCTGGGATGGGGCAGCGCTGCTTCTGGAAAAGACCAGTGGCACAGATCCCTGCGCATGAGGGAAGAGAGTTTGCGACCTGCCAGATTTCTGAATGGGGCTGTTGGGGCCCTTAGTAAGAAGCAGCAGAGCGCTCAGCTGAGTTTATTTCCAGCTCTGCTGCCTGCCACTGCTCCTGGCCACAGCACAGTCCTGGAAATCGCGGGTCAGGCTGCGATGCGGGACCTTGCCCTGTGCCCGTGACCTCCCCGCTAAGGAGCAGCGGCGGCAGGGAATTCACCGGGAATTCATGGTCTGTCTCTTACCTCTTCCCAGCAGGTCTCGGCTCCCTGGGGCAGCGCTGCGGAGGCACCTGCGAGCGGTGGTCTCCCCGTTCCCAAGGGAAGGGAGGCGGAGCAGAGCGGGGCCGGCCCGGGACAGAGGCAGCGTGAGCCCTCCTCACAGGCGGGGGCAACGAGCCCCCTCGCACCGGCCATGAAATCAGTCATGTGTAGGTTTTTGTCCAGCCCTGGGGGGTGGGGGAAGGAATGTGGGTTGGGCGAAGTCTAGGATTACACCACCGCTGGATTTTTTTTTTTTCTTTCCACACTTTAAATAGCCAGCACCTTTCCGTCCTGCCTTCGCCTCTCCCGTCGCCCGCGCCCCGGCAGCGCCGTCCGCAAGGTAACACCTCTGTCCCCGTTTGCTTCTGCCCTGCTCCCCCTGTGCCCCTCACCCTGCCGGGGCTCAGAGGTCACGGAGCATTTTCTGCCTGTTTAATAATTTTCTAGCGTGGCGGGGTCCTGCCAGTCCCTCCTTTCGGCCGCTGTCAAACGCTTTGCCAGGGTTTCTTAGCCCTCTTCATGTGCCCAGGTGTTTTATGGAGGGACTAAGCAGGGGGAGGGGAGAGGTTGAAAGCGCTGGTTTGCCCTTTTTTAGTTCTCCCCGGATAGGGGAGAGTATCGTTTGCTGACAGTGCCTTTTCTTGCCCTCCCGGCGAGGGAGTTGCAGGCAGGGATGGATAAATGTCAGTGCAAGGCTGGGGCTGGGGGAGCACGCTCCGCAGGGCACGGAGCAGGCTCGAGGGCTGGCACTGCGCGGGGGAAAGTGCCCTCCTTGGCACGAGGTCCCCAGCAATCCCAGCTTTGACACTGGGGATTGGTAAGAACCACAATCCTCACCCTTTCTGCTGTAGGACTTGGCAGCCAGTGGGGCATCTTGCCTGGAAGGAACAGGCACAACCCTCCGTGATCCTTCCCAATGGTGTCCTCTTGGAGGTACCTGAGGGAACGTGGGACAGTGAAGTGGTGCCCACATGCTCTCTGCTGGTCTTCTCTTAGCACAGATGTATTTAGAGATGGTGCCAAAGGATCTGAGAGCAGTGCTGTGGGAAGCTTTGCAGGAAATGGGCAGATGTTTGGAAGGGCAGACCTTGAGAAAGGCAAGATCCCAGATGTTGATGATTTCTGCATGCTTTATGCTGCTGTTAGAAGGACAGCACCATTCTGAAAATCACCTTTTCATGTAGTCTTGAAGATTGTCAGCAACAGTTGCTGCCATCAAAAGGATAAACTTGCTTTCCTATCATTTCAGTTTGTTCTCTTCGTGTGTCTAGGAGTTCTGTGTGCTTTGTGGCATCCATCACATGGTCTGTAAAACCAGGCCAAGGCAACAGAAGAGAAGAGAAACCCTTATAAAATGCCTTGTCAAGTATTTGATCCTGCTGTCATCCCCCTCCAGCCCTGACACAGCAGAAGCTCCAGCCTGGGTCTTCTGTGTAACACTGGGCTAAGAGGATGGGCTTCCAGAGGCAGGACTGTTTTGAGATGAGGCAGTTTAAAATAATGAAACTAATAGTGGCTTTCAAGGACTGGTTTTGAACTCATTAGTGAAAATGCACATGCACTCCTAGCACCAGCAGAAATCTACATGAGGAGAAAGGGAAGAACAGTTTGAGATGTGTATGTGCATGTCCTTGCCCCTCTCTTGCCTCCCATGGCCCAAATTTCTGCATCTTTGTGCTGAATGTAATGAAGGAAACTCTTTTTGAAGGTGGGATGGATTACAGAGTCCCCGGTGCTGTCAGCAATGGTGAAATGGTGCCCACACACCCTGGCATGGAAAAGGAGAAGGAGGAAGAAGAGGAGGAGGACCAGACTCTGGAGCGTGGTCAATGGAACAACAAGCTGGAGTATGTCCTGTCTGTGGCTGGGGAGATCATTGGCCTGGGAAATGTCTGGCGCTTCCCCTACCTCTGCTACAAGAACGGGGGAGGTAAGTGCAGCCAGGGCCACCTGGTCACCAGCACCACTCCACAACCCCTCCCAGCTCCTCAGCTGTGCCCTAGTCATCAGTCTGAAGAGAAGGTGCCAACCTGCCAGCATGGTTCTGCAATCTAGGACTCCACCAGGGGCTTGTTTTGAACCCAGTGAGACATGGTTAACAGTGGCAATATCCCAGGGTTTCTGATTTCTGTAGCTGTGTTTCCCTGACATGAACGGAGCTCTGCTCCTGCTGGTGAAGTGGGTGGCAATATGCAGAGGGAGGGCTGGAAGAGCAGGGAGAGAGCTCAGCTTTCTGAGCCGTGTGTCTCACGTCAGGCGTTGCTGCCTTGAGGTGCTCCAGGCATCCTGTGCAAATCGGATGGGGAGTCCTGGTGGGAGAGCAGGCAGTGTCTGAGAGGCCACAGGGCCCCAGTGTCTTTGCAGGCTCTGTGAGAAGGAACTCAGGGGACTCCCAGGAGCTCTTGAACACAGCTCTTGCTCCTGTGTGTGTCCTTGGAGGGCTGGCCCCTGGGTCCCAGTGGCAGGGACAGGGCAGAGTGAAGGGGTTTCTCCTGCCTCGGGGTAGAAGTACACCACCACTCCTGCCCCACATGGCACTCCCTTGGCACCTACAGGAGCTGTAAGGTGTGGGAGAGGGGCCCCCTGCCTCTGATCCCCACGGAAGGGCTGTGGGAGCACGGGTGGACATGGGATGAAGAGACAGGGAAGCAGGGTGCTGCTGCTGGCACTCTGGCGCTGCTCAGGCTGTGCTCAGCCATCCACCCCGAGGCCAGGCTGTGCTGTGCCTTGGCTCGCTGTGCAGGTGGACGGTTGCTGCAGGCTTCCACAGCTTGTGGCTGCCTTTTAAAGGAGAAAACTATAAAAAATGAAAACACCAAGTTTTTCTCAACTTTGGCTCAGAGACATGTAGAGAGAGGGAGCTGCTCTCTGATTAGTTGCTAATTGGGCCCTCCAGAAGGGGACAGGGGAAGTGGTGCTTGGCTGGGAGCTGGCAGGGAGTGAGCACTGAGGACCCGGGGCTGAAATCCCCTGGCTTGAGCTTGCAGTAGTCTCATGGGCCTCACTAAACTGCTTTCATCCCAGTGGCATAAAAGAGGATTAAACACTGTTTAGCTACTTTCACGCCGTGCTTTCTTCAGTACTTGTTTCTTTTAACCAGGTGATCAGGCAGTCTCTTTCCCTGTTGAAAAAGGAGAATTTTTCTGCATGTTCTTTTTCTGTGGGAAATGCTTCTTGGCTGCTTATTGAGCTGTGTCTGGTCCCACTGCTGCAACTTTCCTTGGGTTATATTCCATTGATGGGAGCAGGACCTGGAATCCTGTCCAGGCGCCCCTTGCCCTGGGTGCCAGGGGAGAGCTTAGGGAGTGCTCTGGGGAGAGGGGAGCTCCTGTGCGAGCAGCAGAGGCAAGACTCAAAGGGATTTCTCAGCCTTTTTTCCCTGGAGAAATGGGCCTGAAGCAAAGTCCTGTGAAGCCCTAGAGTCTGTGAGGAATTTGAAGTCCCAGGCAGGTTTTTCATCTCCAGCCCCCTTTCCATGAGGTTAGAGCAAGGATGGTGCACGAGACTGGTGTGGTGAGGAACAGTTTCTGTAAGGTTTCTCCTGGGGCAGAGCAGTGTGGTGAGGTGGTGCAGGACACGAGTCTCCCTTCTGTCTCATGGCACCCAGCCTACTGCAGACAGCACTGGATCAAAACACTTGTAACACCTCAAACTGAATTTTAAAAGTTCCCAGAAGTTTTGCCTTACACTCCTTTAGAAATGCTGGTCCAGGCACTTGCTTCTCCCAGTCTTCTATAAAGGTGCAGGGCCTTTATCTAATTTCCAGTGCCAGGTCAATCACAGCCAGCCTACAACCACTAACTCTTGTGCCAGCACTGCCATCAGTCTGAGGTAGCTCTGCCCTGCTGGATGACTCTCTCTCCCTTCTGAACTGTGTGCAAGCAGTGGTGATAACTGCTGGCAGCTCTTGCTTTGCCTAAATATGAACCTCTTCAAGAAAAGGTATCTGCAAAATCTGAGTCATTTAAAGAGCCAGTCACTCTTCCCTTCTTTAGGGATATTTTCACATAACAAAGGAAGAGTAGTCCCTTACATATTTAATGCTCAATGCGTGATAGCAAAGCCCTACATAGTAGAGAAATACAGCAAAGAAAAGCAAAAAATTCTTCTTTGTGTGCTTGTTTGCTCTTGCTTTCCCCTGCAGGGGCAGGGCCAGGCCCTCCCTGGGCAGGCTGGCCCTGCTGATTGGGAAATAGCAGGGAAGCCTGTCTGGTGGTGTGGCCGCCAGCACTGCACCCCCTCCCCAGCTCCCCTGCCAGCCCCAAGGCCCCCCACTGCTGAAAATGAGATGGGGAGGGCACTGGGGATGGTTACAGAGAAATTTCTGCCCATGTCCCCTGCTCTGCCAGTTGATGGGGCAATTTAAAGAACACAGACACTGACAGAAAGAATGCTCTTATTTGACTGTGAATATAAAGGCAACACAAAAGTGAAATGATACACTCAATAAAACGACACACTTGGCTTTAGCAACAAGCAAAGGGAAGCAAGGTAATGCACCTAGTCATTGCTAGATGAGAGAAAGGATAGGGATTGAGATACATCACCAATTGCCTGAATACTTGTACCATCATCCAGAATCCACAGTCACTGGGAAGCCCTGTTTCATGGTGAGGACCTGGAGAGCCCTTCCCAGCAATTGAGAAAACCCTACACGGTGTGTCCACCTGTAGCTGAGGTCTCCAAATTTGTCCTGAAAGTGTGTTCAGCATTTATAGGCCCAAATCAGTAAGTCAAAGTGACTTGATAATGTTTTTAGCACAGAAACACCTGGATCTGATGGCACATGACCCAACCAGCAGGGACCAGGGTTTGGCCGGAGCTCAGGCCTCAGCTGGGAGAGTTTTCCCCTAAAATACCCTACAAACAAACCTCTGCTCGTGGCAGTTGGGAAAGTTATTTAAAATGATACATTTCTTGCAGATAACTACACAAGGTTATACAGAGCTAGCACAAGTGTCTTTATCATATATTTTTAGCTAAATAACACTGATGGTGTTGATCACACAGTGCCCAGGATTCATCCTGTGAGTCAGCTCTCACTGAGGTCTGCTGCTCAGCACGCCTGGGATGTGAGGGGATTAGGGCAGATTGCAAAGACACATCTCTACAAATTTTTTTCTCTCCACCATAATTCTGTGCTATTTCACAGCCTACATGTCAGGACCCTCCTGAAACCTTCCTGAAACTCAAGATAACCACAGGTTAGGGGACAGGCCAGGCTGCAAATAAGGGAAAACTGGGCTGGAAAGTTTGACTTGCTGCCTCAGAGACCTCTCCTGGAGTTTAGTTAAATGCAAGCTTTTATATGACAACAATCTTTCTTGGAAACAGGCTAGATTTTCATGATGATATGATTTTGTGCAAGTTAAGAGTTGAGAGGATGGTGTTAAGACAACCATTTCCCCTGCCTTTTGCCTTCACCAATTTTTGTTTGCAGCACATGGGCAGATGTGCATTGTTCCTGCAGGGCTGCCAGGTATCACAGAATCACTGAGATTAGAAAAGGCCTCTAAGATCATGGAGTCAAACCATGAAGCCAGCACCCCTTTCAGCTCCTCTTTGTCCACAGGGAGCTGCCAAGGTGCCTTCCCTGTCTGTTTTGCTCACACTTTTTTTTTTTTTTTTTTTTGCAAGAACTGGGGGCTGTGACTCTGTACCTGGCTGGGATGAGCACAGGGTGGGAATCCCAGCCAGTCCCCAAAGTGCCCCTTCCCTTTCCCAGCCCCTGGATGCTAATTAAGCTTCTTAATGAAATCTCCTGGGTTTTGAGTTCTCTTGTGCACCAGGATTGTGATTTCCCATACAGCCCCACTGAGCTGAGCCCAAAGCAGTCAGCATCACCCAGGCAGGGAAAAGGCCTGTGCAGGGAAACCACAATTACTGCCTGGCTGGGTTGCCACCTCTGACCCTGCATGCCCTCTGAGCCCACCCCAGCCAAGATGCTGCTCTCTGCTTGAGTCTGCCTCTTTCCTGACCTGTGTCCCTGCCTTGGAGCACAGCCTGAGCAGCTCCAGTGGCACATGATGTGTGAGTGGCACATGATGTGCATGCACCATCTTGTGGGGCTGTCTCCTGTGCTCCGGGGGGTAAAGGCCATTACTACAATTAACATTAGCCTGGGGTAATGAGAAGCCTGAAGCATTTAATCTCTTCCTGCCTGTTCCATGACAGGGCTGGAACAGGAGGGCAGCCCTGGCTGCTGCTGTGAGGTGCATGTTTTCCTGCACTACTTGCTCTTCCCTTGCAGGTCTGCTGCTTTTTGCCAAGCAAATGACTGAGCAACCCCACAAACTGGGCAAAATTCTCAGTCTCCATGTGCTCCTCAGTGCCTTGGTATTGGCATCCATGGGTTTGTCAACTTATTCAGACACAATAATCAATGTGAAAGGAGCCACCAATCTGATTAAAAGTTGGAATGTCTTTACAGCAGAGTGTTCTTCTGTATTTCCATACAGCTATTCACAACTTTCCTCTCCATTCTTTGTACACATTGAATTATTAATGTAATCACATCACTCCAGAAGATGAAATGTGAGGAAATTTTTTTTCCCCTGGCATCCTGTCTGTCATCTTCCAATCTCCACAGCCGCCTTCCCTCCAGGGCTGTCCCACTCAGGAAGAACCTGCCTGGTGACTGCTAGGGACAGCCTGACCTCTGTCCTCTCATGGGGCTTATTTTTCTATCTGCCAGGTGCCTTCTTCATCCCCTACCTCATCTTCCTCTTCACCTGTGGGATCCCCCTGTTCTTCCTGGAGACGGCGCTGGGGCAGTTCACGAGCCAGGGAGGGGTGACTGCCTGGCGCAGGATCTGCCCCCTCTTTGAAGGTGAGTGGAGGGGGCTGGGAGGGCATGGGGAGCTGGGGACACCCTGGGGCCCCGAGGGCACGAGCAGAGATGTGTCTCCTCACAGCCTGGATTGTTTATGCACCTCCACACATCCCCTGCCTGAGAGGGCCACTGGCTGCCCCCTTTGGATCACCTTCACCAATAGTTCTCACTGTTACATTCCATCCCAGTTTCCTTCTTCATGGCCACAGCTTTGGCAAGGAGCTTTGTGCCCAAATCAAGGTTGTTCTCTAAGAGGTAAATGGGGAAAATGCTTCTGGTGATTATGAGGAACCCAAAGCATGCTGCTGTTTGTTTGTTTTTGTTTTGTTTTTTTTTTTTAAGTCGACACTCTGTCATCTCTGTGAGTTTGCAGGTCGTGTAAAACCTTACTGGTGAAGGTGTCAGCTCTCTTAATGAATTGTCAGTAGTCAGATCCTCTGTTTCTAGCTCAGTTTCATGACAGCTATCCAGCCTCAAGCCACTGTTTTTGATTTCTCTGAAAGTCACAGTTGCCTCCTCCTCATGAACCTTTAGATGCTTCTCCAACGCCTCCCAGAGAAGGTGTGCAGTGTTAATAAAAGAGATTCACAAATGAAAATGAGAGAATTATTTTAAAAAAATTTTTTTTAGAAGAGATGTGACTCAGTAGGTGCCACACCATTGTATGTTTCTGCCCATTTGGGTGGCGTTCCAGCCATAAGCTACCCAGCATCCCTTCCACTGCCACCCTTTCCCCAGGGAAGGCTGTGGCAGGGCAGCAGGAAGAGGGGTGCCTGGGGGCCCCTGACTGGATGCCCACTGATGTGGCACGGTGGAGGGGACAGTGGCTCTGGTGGCCACCCCACTGACATGGATCCAGCAGCGTGCTCAAATTGCAGAGCAGCAGGCACAAACCCTGGGTGAGCAGCTCCCAAAGGGAATGCTGTTCCTGTCCCCTGGCACGTGGGTCACCTGCCCTTGGGGCTCGCTTTCTGCAGGAATTGGCTACGCCTCACAGGTCATCGTCGTACTGCTCAACTTCTACTACATCATTGTGCTGGCCTGGGCCTTGTTTTATCTCTTCAGTTCGTTCACCATTGACCTCCCCTGGGGCAGCTGTGACCACGAGTGGAACACAGGTGGGTGTGGAGCCCTCTCCCTGTTCTCCAGCAGATCCCACTGAGGGAAACCTGCTGCTGCCCAGGGCCAAGCCTCAGGAAAGTGTCTTGCTCCTGTGTGGGTGGGATATGGGTTTGGGGTGCTGGGTCACTGCAGTGCTGTTGGCACTTTTGTGGGAAAGGCTTAGTTGATCTCAGTCTGTGCTAGAGAAGCACCAGTGCTGTGCAGTGGTGACCTCCCTGGTGACTCCTGCTCTGGGCTCCAGCAAACATGGGTGCCCTTCCTTCTTGGCATCTTTCAATCATCCTGTTCTGTGTGTTAGCCACAGACCCAGTGCTGATCAGTACTGTATCCACTGAAAGGAAAAATTAAATGCTGTCATCTTAAGAGTCCTAGATTTCTTGCCAGCCTTTCCATGGAAGGGATTTCTTTTTGTGCATCCTTGGGACTATAACTTGTCCCAGAGTCAATGCCAGGGAGTCTCAACACTGTGGATGGACAGGGAGGGATTTTTCAGATCCTCTGGTACTCCAGGCACTGCTGCTTACAAGTTCTTGTCTCCCTGGGCCTTTCCCACAGGGAACTGCATGGAGCTTCAGAAGGCGAACTCAACCTTCAACGTGACCAGTGAAAACGCCACATCCCCAGTCATCGAGTTCTGGGAGTGAGTAAAGGACAGGCCTGTGCACCCCTTCCCTCCCAGGTGTCATTTCCCTGGGCAAGGGACACAAACTGCAGTATCACATCCTATAAACCCCCCCTTGCAAGAAGAGGACACAGAGGGGGAAGCTGAGCAGGTCAGAGTGAAGGCTCTCAGGGGCAGCCCTGTCAGTCAAGGTTAACTTCACTGCTCCTACGGTGTTGCTCTGGAGCTGGCATGCCTCAGAGCCACCCGATTTTGTCCTTCTCTGATGCTGTGTTTCTGTCCCTCTGGACCTTTTGGCCTTTTTGGTTTCACTGACCTCTTTCCTTTGAATCCATGCTGCTGTGTGACACCAGCATGTTCCCAGGACGCTCTGGCATGGTGGGCAATGACTTTTGTATGTGCACTGGTCTTATGTCAAAAATAGAAAAAGGAGTGATGTTCTCAGTATAGGGTGACTAATATGAAAGTTATGCTGAGGAGAGAAACTCACCAAAATCAAAATGCTAGGGTCAGATAACTTCACACTGAAATTTGGTCCCTTGTGTTTGTTATTTTGTCCCCTTGTGTTAGGTACCCTGGGGTACAGAGTAGCTTTATATCTGTCACAAAGGCATAGCCCTGTTGGCTTAGGATCCCTGATGATCCTCAGCTGGCCCAGTTAAGCACTGAGTGAATGACTGTGCAGGAACCCCTCTGCTGCCACCGTGCATTCCCCCTGCACGTTTGGATGGATGAGGGCCCTGTTCTGTCCCTGTCTGCCCTCAGGGGTGGATGGAGCACACACACAGCACCCCCAGGGCTTCCTCAGCTCAGCACAGGGACACTGCCTTTAAACTTCAGTGTTGCAAATTTTTTTTTGTCTCCTGTGCACTCCCTGAGCCTGTGCTCTCCCTCTGCCTGTTGCTCACAGGTGATTAGATGGTGGCCTGCCTTAGGCTGCTTTTCCTGCAGCTGAACACTGGAATTTGTTGTTTCCACCACTGCTGTGACCATCCCTGTGTCACTGGGGAATAAGCAGTATGGGACTGGAAATTTCCACTGTCCATTGCTTCTGTTCCTTCTGTTTTCACTGTCTGCAGCATCTGTTCCTGCTGTCCCTGGGCAGGGCGGTAGGAGGCCAGCATTTCTTTGAGGAGCTCTGAGCTGCCAGTGGGCTGATCACACACTGCACAGGTCTCTTCTGGCTGCAGTACAGCACCCAGTTAGTTCCAGTCCAGTGGCACCCTTTGCACTGGTTAGAGTCCACATCCTTAGAAGCAGGCAAAGAGCAAGATGACAAAGCGTATCTGAGAGTGCACTGAGATTTTTCCAGCCCTTCTCTCACCCCCTCAATCCGCTGCAAGGCTGTGGGGCAATGAGGGCAGCAGTGTGCCTTAGACAAGGGTTCTCCAGCAGCACCTTCATTTTGGGGTAATTGCTGTCCTTTTCAGCAGGGTGGACACTGCTGGTTGCGGGGCTCCAGGGTAGTGCAAGTTCCTCTCTGCTTGTCTCAGGCTTGGGTTTCTGGGACTGCACCCTGGTTCACACTCGAGTTCAAGTGTGTGGTGTAGGAGATAGAGGAGGATGAGTCCTCATTTTTGTAAGTGATGAGGAAGATTTGTCACACATATGACATGGAAAGGCTGTTATTATCTGACCTCATTTGTACCAAGGTCCACATAGGCCAGGATTTTATCTCCACACTGGCTGCAAGAGGATGCTCTAGGTGGCCTCACCTGACTGTGCAGTGGGGATGCTCATGGGTGGGTTTTAGTCACAGAATGAGATGCTGTGCTGCTCTGTGTCCTGAGGTCAGTTATGTGGCTGCCTCAAAAGAGAGAAGTGTGCTGTGGAGAAGGGGTGGGACAGCACTGCTTCTTGGGTGGTCATGATGGATTCTGCATGGTAAGTGCAGTGTACCCCTGACTGTGAGGATTGCAGCGTGTCAGAAAAGTAGGTGAACATTGTGTATCCATGTGTGACCTGCCAGGCTAGCAGTATTTTTCAGAGAAGAGCCCTGCTTAATTTCTCTGAGGCTTTCAGCTCAGACCTGAACCTTGTTAGTAAGACAGCTTTTCTCCCTAAAGCCATCAGGCACTGAGGAGGTGAGAACCAGCATGGTGTTAGGAATATTAGTGGCCAGCATCAGTGACCCCTGCATGTTTTTTTGCTTCCCCCCAATGCAGGAGGCGAGTGCTAAAGATTTCTGATGGCATCCAGCACCTGGGTGGTCTCCGCTGGGAGCTGGCTCTGTGTCTCTTGCTGGCTTGGATCATCTGCTACTTCTGCATTTGGAAAGGGGTCAAATCCACGGGCAAGGTGAGTCCTTGGTTCAGGCTAAGCCTCTTCCCTTGGTCACAGCACTGGTTTAACTCAGCTTTTACAGGTTCAGAGAGGTCCTTGAGGTCCCCTGGGAACCACTGTCTGCATAAGCTGGTGGGAGCCTGTAGGGCTCAATGTGCAGCAGGAGTGTGAGTCAGGCTCTGTGGTTTTGGGTAGGAAAGGATGGGAGCACCGAGGCATCTCAGAGCATCAACTTCCAAGGTGTATATCCCCATCTAATCCCTCTCCATCCACAGGCTGAGGAGACCCTGCAGTCTTCCTTTGTCTGGGGTGGTTGCATGTTCCCTTCCCACCACAGCATGAGCAAGCAGCAGGTTTTTGCCTCTACTAGAAAATCTTCAAAATTAGATATTAAAAAAGGTAACCATGATGGCCCCCAAGCCCTCTCTGCCTCAGCACCATAGGAGCTGTCCTTTTATGCTTTCTGTTTGTCCCAGCTCTTCCTGCAGTTGCTCATGTTCTCCAGCAGTAAAGGTCTCCTTTTTCTATCCCCACAGTAGTCACCCCAGAGTTATTTCTTTTAATGTTTTTGGGAAAAAAAATGGTGTTGCTGTCCAGCTCCATTCCATGCTGTCTGTTACAGAGTGTGCCACTCTGATTTGCACTGACCCCATTACTTAGTTTCTGCTACTGCCTCCTGACCCCATTCCCAGCTAGCTTTGTCTGGAGCCAGCAAGAACAGATGGAAATGAAAAGGTTTAGTGTATTTCCTAAATGGTGTATTCTCTGCATGTCTTGAACAAGCCATCATGTGTGATGGGGTGTAAACTTTAGCTGCACCCATTTCTATCAATGATGGCATGGATGTTAGCAGTTTCTCTTGCTTCCAGAATGGTCTGGGATTATGAAACATGACAGGGAAATCAAACATCTTGCAGGGGTGATATTTTCTGGTTTCCATGGAATAAAATTAGAAGAAAAGAGCAACTGCTAGCTGTGGTGGCCTGGTAAAAGAAAACGGAGGCAGTCTAATAACAGCAAATATGATACGAAGATACAGCCAATGTAGTGTGGGAAGTCCTGAGAACAGATTCCATCTATTTTAGATACAAGTTCTTGGTCAGATGCAAGTGATTTTTAGCAAAAAAGTACTAGTGATAGTGAAATTTTGAAAACAGAAACCTTCTTTCATTGAAGCAACAGTGTCCATAGGTTTACCAACCCTCCACGTATTTAATAATCTGACTAAAAATGATGGCTGTAGGAATATAACCCCACTGGGAAAGGAATATTCCTTAATTCTGAGGATTTGCCTGTGGAGGGTCAACACCTTGAGCTGAAATCACCCTACTCGGATCAGCAGTGGTTCTGATACTCCAGCACAGGGACTGACCCCAGGAGCACTCCCACAGGCAGGAGGTTGTCACAGATGGAACCACTTTGCTGAGGCATGTGGATCAGATTCAAATAAAACCCTGGATGTTGTTGAGCAGCATGTGACAGAATGATCACACTGATCCCGGCAAGGTTCCTAGTGATGTAAGTGCTAACAATGCCCAAAAAATAAAAAATATTGGCTCTGAGCCAAGCACTGAGTAATATCTCATTGGATCCAGATGTTCCTATTGTTACAAGTTTGGCAATATTAATCCAGCAAAACATTCTCCAAATTCAGGTCTCTGGTCTCAGTGGAGGTGTGAGTGACTGTGGAGTGAAAAGCTTAACACAGAAATTCACACAGGCAGTAAAGCACATAGGATGTTACCAAAACATGAATCCAAATCATATGCCAGAAAAATACCAGTTTGTGCCCTGAGCTCCTAAAACTGATGTTATTTAGAGATTAAGCCAATGTGCAACCTGGCATCCTGGAAGAACGTGCACTAAGGTTCAAAGACAATGAGTTGTTTTTATGATTTTTGTTTTTAGTCTTGCTTTCATGGGCTGAGAAAGCTTGGACTTGCATCCCATTATTTCCTGAAGGAAGACTTTGGTTGTGTGCTAAATACAGCGATGATGGTTAAAATTGCAGGACCTGCAGATTTGATTTACTGTCACTGTACAGCTCTAAATCAAAGGCTCCTTGAAAATTTGAGACTGTAGGGAATTTACTTGCTGAAGGATCCTGTCCTTGGTGTCTACAGTGTTCAGGATGCACACTCAGAGGGACTAACCTGCTCCAGATATCTCAGGCAATGCAGAGCCTCAGCAAGGAGGTATTTTTCACTGATCTCTGTGTCAGTGTTGTCTGCTGAGATACATAGAGCAGGCCATGTGAAATGCATAGAAAACCTGGAGTTGCAGACAGAGATGATATTCTAGTATTGGGTTTTTTCAAGGATGAGGTATCTTTCAAATCCTGTCCTACAATACAAAACTGAATGACTGGAGGGTGTGTGTCCTGACTTAGGGGAGGACTCACAGAATCAGGTGCTTTGGACATTGCTTTATTCAGATGGAATCTATCAGAGTGGATCCAGAAAACAAAATCTCGTTTTGAATTACTGCTCAGATCATAAAGATTACCCAGGGGCAGAGCAGAAGTGGTCATACTTCTGGGAAGTATGGGAAAAGGGAAAATCATATGCTTTCCAGGGAAAGCATATGCCTGTTCTCAGTAGGATGTCCCCTAACGCAGAAATCACCAAAGATGAGTCACAGCCGGTGACTCCCGCTAAGAGATGGTGGGCTTTAGGATTTTAAAGCAACTTATTCTGGATGGATGGGCATGTGTGAGAAATGGGTTATTTCACATCATTACATTTTGCACTTTCTCCAGAGATGAGCTCTCCAGTGCACAACTGCCAGAGCTGAGAAAAGAGCTGTAGGGTAGTGTTCAGGTGAAGCATGCTGATGCAAGTCCTTGCTCAGCACGTCCACACAGGAAAAAACCTGAAGAAGCAACATTTCTTTTTTTTGGCCTAGCATGATAATGAACAACCTCTTCTCAAGGTGGCCAATAATTCTTTAAGGTGTGGAAGCAATGCAAAAGGATTAATCACATTACTTGAATTGTTGAGGAGGTTGCATGAGCTCTCAATATCATTTTGTGTGGGAAACAGACTGCAATGTGGTGTCAATGTGGCATGCTACAGCAGTTACCCTGACCAGTCCTGAAAGTACCCTGGTAGTCCCCAAACTGAGTGTCACATTCACCAGAGGTGAAGTCCCTGAAAGGATTATCTGATACTGGTTTCCAGCTTTCCCCCAAGGGATGTAGCTCCTTTGCTAGAGGAAAGTGGTTTTAACGCTGCCTGAGCGTGTCTGCAATGCTCATAGGGCTAGTGACACAAAAAGCAAGAGGACACGGGTTCAAGGTCCTGGTGGGTCTGCATTCTTAGTGGCAATTCTGAGACTTGCAGCCCTGCTCTGCCTGAAATGCCCATGATGAGGTCCCTCAGAGGCAGTGCTGAGAGTCACTGCAGTGGGAAGGGCTGGGCAGAACCCCTTTGCCAGTTCCAGCCCTGAGCTGGGGACCCCAGCATTGTCCCTGGTGGTCCTTCAGTGGCAATCATGTTTCAAGGCATGAAACAACCCCAGCATTGTCCCTGGTGGTCCTTCAGTGGCAATCATGTTTCAAGGCATTACCTGCACACCCCTTCACCCTTGCCCTAAACACTATGGAGAAGAGACTGTGTGTCACTCAGACTCTCTTTGGAGTAGGGATGTGAAGATGGATACTGGGGGCAGGTCCTTCCCTGATGCATGTAGATATTACACCACTGGCTTCAGAAAACCCACTCTGACTCCAGCCTGCTGACAGCCTGGCTCAGGGTCTGGATTGCTCTAGGACTAGAAAGATTTTTCTCTGCCTCCAGACATGCAATAGCATGTCATAAGTTTCCTGAATGCATTTTAAAATATGTTTCTTTCTACTGCAGGAGACATCAAGCTGCTCAGCAAAGCACCTTGATGTTCCCTGCCCTCCTCTCCTAGCCGAGGGCTCAGTGCTGTGCCACTGGCTGGCGCTGTGTGCTCTGGCCCATGCTGCTCTCTCACACTTGTCCCTTCCTGCTCCTCCCAGGTGGTATATTTCACTGCCACGTTCCCATACGTCATGCTGATTGTTCTGCTGATCAGGGGAGTCTCCTTACCTGGGGCATCCCAGGGAATCCTCTTTTACCTTTATCCAGACATCAGTCGCCTTGGAGATCCTCAGGTAAGGTGGAAGGGGGGGAATGAACAGCTAAGCTGTGCTTGCATGGATTCCTCTGGCAGCCCTCACTCTCTCCTTTTGGTTTTCCTACTCTCTTCCTTCCAGTTTCTACTTTCTGACCCCTCTTTTGCCCCTCTGTAAGGCAGAGCTGTGATACTGATGTCTTTTCTCACAGTCTCTGCTCTCTTTTCCTCCAGTGCTGTTCCCATATTTTCCTGTCTGAGTTGAGTCTGAATTGCTCAGGGGAATGGGCAGTGGGATTTAATCCTTTCTCATGAGTGGTGCAAACTATCCCTCCTGTTTCCTGGGGAGGCTCCTCTGCTGTGGAGCCAGACAGTGCATGGGGTGCCACTATCCATTGTGCTGGCAGCTTGTGGGGATGAGCCCTGCTCTCCTGGAACATTTGCTCCATCTTCCTTGGGAAGCATGCCAGGTGCATGGATGATGGGAGCCATGGCATGCTGCAGCAGCAATCCCTGGGACCTGGCCGCCTTTCTCTCCTTCCCATCCCTGGTGAGAAATTCCTGCCTGTTTGACAGGAGGGTCAGCACCCGACTGCTGCTTTTAATCTCTTTGGGACAAGTTCTTCCATGTTAAATCCTGGCTCCAGCTGAGCTACTGTACCAGCCTTTGTGTGAAGGTGTTTCCAAAGGAGATTAAAGGGTGCCTGCCTGGAAAATAGGCCAGCAAAACCCTTAGTAACCCTATTAACTCTTTCTGGTCTAGCACCAGTGCTGCCTCAGTTATCACTTTTGCAAATGGGAACAATAAGCTGGTGGATGTATGGCAGGTGGGTAGGGCAGCTGCTCCATCAGCATGGAGGTCCAGAAAAACATGGAAGGGTGTGAGAACAGGTCTGTGTTTGCTGTGACTGTGTCTCTGTTTGCACTGATGAGGTGCAAGAGGCTTCTGAAATGAAATAATATTTTTGAGTGGTGCTCCTTCTCTTATGCCAAGTCCTGTTGTTACCGTGGCTGTGTTGCCCAGGGGACTGAACTAAGCCTCCTCAGGCATGACATGGCTGGTTCTAGCTGTGTCCTCATTAGGTCTGTCCTGGCAAACTTTTTCAAGTGCAGCCTGTGCTTTAGAAGCAGATCTTCCTTCCAGCCTAGAAAATGCTGGCAGAAAGGCAGAGTAACCCTTCAAAGGAAGAGGGTGGCTCTGAACAAGAGGAGGAAAACTGCTGAAGCAAGGGAGGAAAACTTGCTTCTCCCTCTCCACTCCACATTCTCTGATGAATGCTTTACTTCTGAGAGAGAAAAGCAGGATTTGGCAGTGATGGTTGCCTTCCTCTAGAGTGTTTTAACCATCCTACTGAACTGTGTAGCAGGACTTGAGTCTTTTGTGTCTTCCCATCAGAGAGGGAAGGGTTAGTGCCCCAAGCCCCACATATGTGTGTGGCTGTGCCCCCCTGTCTCTGTGCAGGGACTGTGGTGTGACTCCTGGCAGCCCATGGGGACCAAGCTGATTATAATTAATTTGTGCTCAAAGGACAGTGAGCTGTAATTGTTTACCAGCAATTCTGTACTGCCTTGAAAAATGGAATATTCTTTAGTGCTTGGGGAAGGGATTTTGGAAATTAAAAAAAAAAAAAAATGACCTCTCCAATCTGAGCCTTATGAGAAGGCATCTCAAGGGGAGGTTTAAACAAAGGGCAAACAATATGCAAGGGGACAAAATCCAAGCTCCTCTAAAGTATATGAAAAACTACGTGAAAAGAGGGTATGAATTATTTATCAGATTCTACCAGGGGAGCAGCAACAGCTGAGATGTGATTAAATGTCAGAATATCAGGCTGGTGTGTGGAAATCATTGCTTTCCACCTGACAAGTGACCTTGGACAGAACTGGGAAACCCTGTCTATGAGAGCTCAGTCGAGCTGATTGGTAATGGTCTCTTCTGGCTCTGAAGTGCCCTAAATCTTCCTGCATCTTCATTTTCTCAATCTGTGAAATGCCTATAATTAAAATGGTAAATGAATTGCAGTTGATAGGTAGATCAGACCATACAGAGAACTGCCAAACTGAGGTGTTGATAAGGAAGGCCAGTTATGCTCAAATATGAGCAGATAACAGCAAAACCACCAAAGAGATAATCTATTTTGAACTGCATGTCCCCAAACCAAAACCCAAACAAAAAAAATCTAAAAAACGAGCTCGTAGCTAATTTTTTCAATATGTAGATTATTTAATATTATGATGTTATCTTGTCAGTCATAACTAGGCCCAAAGTCTTTTCTCACTTCTTGACTGCATTGCTGTGCTCCAGATGCATCCTGTGTGTTTCACAGTGTGGATCAACGGAAGGTCTTGAGGTCATCCTTTGCTTGTACTTTTGATCACTTCACCCTTTGCATTTATTGATTTTATAAATTGTTTTATTCAGCAGGAAATGCTGGAAATTTATGAATGCGATTAAGGAGAGGGATGCATAGTAGGATCCACCAGTGAGAAGATGAAAAGAGAGGAATTCAGAGTAGAACTAAGATTTAAGTGTGTAAAACTTGTCATTAAAAGAATTTTTTCAGATGCTGTCAGGCTTTCTGTTGATTGAAGCTTTCATATCACTGCCAGTCACTGTTTAGACAGACAGATATAAAGAGAGGATGGGTGGGGCTGATGCAGAAAGGACTGTCTCTTGTGTTTGGGTTTGTTTTAAAGAAGAGAAATGTAACAGTCTCCTTTCACTCTGGTATCAAGTCTTAACTAAATTTCCTTAGGCTTAATGCTGAGTGAGAATGGAGAAGTTGTGCTCAGAGTTTGTGTCTCTCTGGAAAAGCAGCAAATGTTTCTCAAAGCCTCCCACTCTTGTTTTCCTCTTGAAATTTCCAGAAAACACCCACCATGCTGTATTTGCTTGTACTTTATCCAGTCTTTATATAAAGAAAGAAGCTTCTGTGATAAGTTGCTTTCCACCCATCCCAGATGTGCTGAAGGCCCCTGAATTTGGGGGCTGTATCCCAGTCCTGGGGCAGGGAAGCACACACCAGAGGTGCCAATAGTCAGCAGATTTGAGCATTTATTTCTGAATATCCTTCCCTACATATCTCTCATTTTCTTTCACCTGATGATTGGTTTTTGGAGTGTTTGCCCTGCAGATTTCCCTCATGGTTCTTGTTTCCCATCAGACAGGACAGAGAGGGAAGGCAAGAGAAGATGCCCCCAGTGGGGGGCCTGTGGCTGCAGAGGGGGAATGCTGAGGCCATGGTTTGGACCAGGGCAGCTCTCACAGCCAATGCTGAGCTGAGGATAAACCCCTCCAGCCACCACAGGGAGGATGAGAGATATGTGCATCTTGCAGGGCTAGGACCCGCTGGGTTAACCACGGGCCCCTGAAGCCATGCTGGGAAGGGGTCAGAGCCCCAAATTCAGGCCCTTCCTGCTGCTGCTCCATGGCCAGCAAACGCTGCTGCTTCCCTGTGAGAGGAGAGGGCGACCACAGGCCTCCTAAATATTATTTGTTCCCCGTATTTATTGTTGTCACAGCAGGCCGGGGTCCTGACCCAGCACAGCTTTCCCCTTCCGCAGGCGGGTGTTTGTTTCGGCGCGGAGCAGCTCCCGCTGGGCCCCGTGCGGACACGTCCCCCGGCAGGCCTCTGCTTGTCCTGGCTGAGGGGCTGCGAGCCCGGGCACTGCTCCCGCTCCGCCCTGGGCACAGAGGGCAGGCACCGGGCAGCAGGCAGGGACGGCTTGGTGCTCCCACAGCGTGCCAGAGGGGCTGGGGGCTGGAATCCGGCCTCGCTGGAGCAATGCATCCCCGTGGGGCTGCATTTCCTCCGCCTCCTTGTCCCACGCCTGTTGCCAGCCCTGCTGCCACGGGACCCGGCCGCGCAGCCCTGCTGAGCCTGATCTCAGCGCTGACATAGCAGGAAGCAATAAAGCTGTCTGTCTGTCTGTCTGCCCGCAAGCAACAGGGCGGGGAGGGCCATAAAGCCCGGCTTCCCAGGCAGCAAGGAGCGTCCCCCGGAGCACCGCTCGCCCCTTTGCACCCCCGGGGCAGGCAGCTGCGGTCCGTGGGACGAACCACAAACCTGTTTGTTTTCTTTTGCTGTTTAAAGTAACCCCGGTGGTGGGAGGGCCCTCCTGAGTGCAAAATGTCCCTCCAGCCCCCCAGGTGTCCTGAGGTGTGGGGATAAGATGAGGTCAGTGTTCTCGGGCAGGGCATTGTGTGGGCCTTGAGTGCTGGCAGAGGGAGATGAACTAGGGAACAAAGCCCCTGTTCCTCACTCCCGAGGAGAATTTTCCAAGCAGATGGGGCTCTGGGATTGGGAACATGATGCTGGGCAAATGGAACAGGAACACTTTACAAATGCCAGTGACCCATTCCTTGTCTCCTCTCTGCTGGGGTGAATGGGGATGGGGGAAGCATTGCCCTCAGCTCTGTGCTGGTGCAGCACGGTGGGATGTGGGCTGCATCTTCAGGCTGGGGACTGTGGGCCAGTCCTGGGTGAAGGGGAATGTCAATGTGCTGGAAATCGAGCCCTGGGAGTCTTGCAGTAAAACCTTGGGAGTCACCATGTCCCTTTCTGTGTTTGTGTGGTGCAGTGGGTGGCTGTGGGTAGTGCCAGCGTCACAGGCTGACTCGTGAGCCGTGATGCTGTGAGCAGAAGAAATGCTGCTTGATCTGTAGCTCAAGACTTGGCTGGGTTTTGCTCTCTGCTATGCATTGCACCAAGTGTGACCCTCCACACAGCATGTACCCGCTCCGTGCTGTGCTGTCTCTGCTTGCTGATGGGGACAGTTCAGTGCTTCTCAGCATGCCACCTATATTTGATGTATGGCACCCACTGGGGTTCAATAACGTTTTGCTTGAAAGTGGTCTTGCTGTTATTTGTAAAGTGCTTTGAGAACTTCCTAAGGAAGGACCTGTTTCAGTACTGGGAGCTATTAAATTCCAGTACATGTAATAAAGTGAATATTGCTGAGAAAATTAAGAGACAAAGGAATGGTCATAACCATTTTGAATAACTGCAGCTCAGATGTAAAGGTTTTAGCTAAAAACAGAGTAGGAGGCTATTGCAAACTGGACCAAAAAACATGTTCAAAGAATTTGAATTATGAATTGAATAAAATGGATGGCTTAGAAAAATGCAATCATTAAATCAAAATACCCATACTGCCAATATGCCAGCAAAAGCTGAACAGGATAAACTTTACCAGTCTCTTTGGGAGCAGTGGCCAGAGAACAGCAGGATGCTTTTATCTGCAGCGGAAAGAGAGCCCTGCCTGACCCTGCGAGGCCTTTTAGTCAGACTGGTCTGGGAACAACTGAAAAAAGACATTTCTCTGAGTCACTACAGGGAGAGAAATGAGCACAGGCAGCAGACTGGGGAGAAAATGTTTGAGTTGCTGTTGACTGAAGTGAATGGTCTGTGTAGCCCCCATGAGCCCTGTGGGGCTGGATGGGCACTGGTGCTGCTGGAGGAGGCTGGACCCTTTCCACTCCCAGTGACCCCACAGTCCTGGGACTTGCTGCTGCTGCTTGACCCCATCACCAGTGGGTCAGGAGCACACATGGCATCAGTCCTGTGGTAGTCCTTTGCCACCCCACCAAGAAATTTGGGGGAAGCAGTCGGGAATTGCAAGGAAACAGGGAAGGTTGTAGATGTCTCTTGTCTTTGGCCCAAGAGCTGCAGTAAGCTTTTAATGCCTGAAATAATGTGCAGGCAGCCTGAGCTGGTGTTCACAGTCATGCTAAGTAGGACCATAAGCTCTGCAAGTCAAACTTAGCTTTATTTATGGTTTCAGCAACAGGCTGCCTTGCTTCAAACAGGAGCATATGTTAAGGGAGGTCCTGTATTCCCTAAAGATATCCCTTTGGGGCTGGCCTCCCACACAGCCAGGTGTGCACCCCACAGGTGTGAGACTGGGCAGAGCAGGCAGTGAAGGGAGGAGCCACAGACCCCATGCCGGTCTCTGCTACACAAGTCAGGGTTATCATTGCATTTTAGAAATGAGCCATGTCATAAACCACAGAGCTAATGAAGCTTGGTCTCTTGATATTTGGCTTCCACCATGGCTGGTAAAGCACCAGTTCTTTTCCTGCCGGAGGGGTATTTCTCTTTTGCTTGTGTGATTTATGTGTTATTTAACACTGGTTGACTCTTCTTCTCTGTAGCTTTCTGCTCAGTGGGGACCCTGAGTTCCTGTCTTTTTCCCATTCCCTAACTATTGTGCAGTTCATAGGTAATTGATATCCTTGAGGTTTCTGACAACTGTTAAATCTGGTTGAAAAGCATCAACTGAGTCTAATGTTATGACAGGCGTGGGGTAGGCAGTTTAATGGCAAAAGTCTTGTTATCTTGACAAATTGAGCTACAAGAGCTACAAACCCCATGAGAGGGTGTGTTTTGAGCACAAATTTGATGGAAAACAAGAGCTCTATCAATGAACAGCAAAATAAAAAGCATACCTAACAAAGCACTTGATTCCAGTCTGTGCAAAGATGTTTAAATTATTGATGCAAAGGTGTCTGCTGGTCCAGCCTTGCTGTGCGTAAAATGTAGCTGCAAAATGAAAGCTGTGCCCGGACTGCCCAAGAGCACACTGATGCTTTAGGAATCAATTTTAAAAAGGGCTTTGATCTTTTCCTAATATCTTTGAACTGAAAAAAATTAATACCTTGTCTCTAAACCCATCTTCCCATTCATCTCCAAAAAGAGTAAAATACACTAAGGTCAATCACTTTTTTTGACTTCCCAGTGTCTCGAATTAGTTGTTCCAGTCCCATCTCATCACCTGTCCCTTCCCAGTCTACAAATCAGAGAGTTGATCCCACTCCCTGTTTGATCTGGAACCCAGAGTCCAGGGTTTCCATTTTTAAGTCAAGGTTGTGGAGTTGAATGTTAGGCAAGTGGCTTGCAGAACAGTCAGGGAGAGCAGTTTCACCAAACCTAGCCCTAGGAGCAGTTTACCTACTTTCCTTGTGGGGGTTTGCAGCAGTGGGCAGGGAGAGGATTTATTCTGTGCATCTGTGCCTTGAGCTAAATCCAGAATTTCTCCTGGGAAAATGGCAGTTAATGGGATTGTAACATGCCTTCATAAGGGTCATCAGCCCAAGAAGGAGAAGAAGTAAATATAAAACAAAACCTGTCACCATGTGATTGTACTTTGAAAGAGGAAAGGCAGAACCATGCATTGGTAAGGGTGGCCTGAGCATTGGGGGTGGTTGGGCAGGTGCTGCCCAGCCAACCATTGCCTCAGAACATGAGGTCTTGGCTGACAGATACAGGTGTGATTTGAAGGCATCAAAACCTCTGGAAAGCACTGTGGTGCTTTGCATTAGCTCTTGTTCTTCTCAGAGGGGCTCTGGGGCAAGGCTGCTGGTTGAGGGCTTACTGGCACTGCCACTCTGGGAGAGGAGAGTGTAGTCACATGGAGACTTTTCTCATAAAGTTGTCCCAGCAATATTTTATTTCTGCTTTTCTTTAGTCTTGAAAATGTGGCTACACTTCAGCATTGTTGAACGATTGTCTTATCTCTGTTTTATAAAACCCCTAGGAAAAAAAGATCTTAGAGAACAGAGGTTTATTTAATAATCTTTGTCACTGCTTCATTCCCCACCATTGGTTCCTGCTTTTGCTGTTGTCTGCAGAAGGCAGGGACAGTGCCTGAACTGGTGACTGCACACAGCTAGGCTTTCAGATGAAATTTGACATTGACAAATGTCAGCCTTAGAGCCCTGGGATGTGTTATTGACAGTGAGAGCAAAGGGCCTCATGGGAATAACAGAGTTTTTGTATGTTCTTTTAGGAGCTATCTTTTGCAGTCAACTCTGTTTATTTCTAGTATTCTACCCCAGTGGAATTTCATTTAAATTTTGGAGTATTTACGTTAGGTCTTGGAGGGAAGGGCCACCACCACAAGCTATGTGTACCTGCACTGGCCAATTGGAGACTAGGCTTGCTCAAATCAAGTACCCTCCTCTGGTGGTAGAGGGCTCCTTCAGCCCTCATGGAAAGTGTTCATCTGATATCCTCTTGCGAGAAAGCTCTTGAGTGTCACAGGGTGCTGCAGATTTGTCAAAGAAAGAAAGAGGTGGGGATGAAGAGCTATATGTGATTGGGTGGATGAGGCTCCTGATGCATCCTTTCCCTTTGGCACACCCAGCCCCCTGGGTGTTTCCCCGAGCATTGTAATTCCTGGCACTGTACAACCTACCTTTAGAAAAGGCTTGTTTCAATACAGAGTCCTGCTGGCCTTCTGATCCCTGGCCTTTCTGGTGCTTACAGCAGCCTTGGGGCTCTGCCTCTTCCCATCTGTGCAGTGTGTGTGCTGGCCTTGTCTTCTCACCTGTGTTTTCATCTCCCTTGCAGGTCTGGATGGATGCAGGCACTCAAATCTTCTTTTCGTATGCAATTTGTCTGGGATGCCTGACAGCTCTGGGCAGCTATAACAAATACCATAACAACTGCTACAGGTAACTGCTGCCTCGAGCCTTCCCCTCCCTGAACATGAAGGATCTGCTGGAGGCTGCTGGCCTTTGGAAGTGTCATGATTTTTGTTTCTACTCAAGGCATAGGAAAACTCTTCCCAGGTGTTTTCTCCCCAAATCCAGTTCTCTGTGCTTTATACCCAAGGGAATTGCCTGTCTGTCCCCTCTTCCACACTCTGCAAAGTTAGATCTTCCTCACTAGCTTTGTGACCCCAGCCACACTACAGTCTCCATTATTACATGGGTGCACAAGCAGCTACAGGGAAAGCAGAACTGTGAAATCTAGTGGCTCTCAATTGGAGTCCTTTCGCCTTGTGATTTATCCTTCTGTGGTTCATTTGGACCTGGTGACTGGCACAGCTATCAGTGCTCTGGGTTCCTGTGAGCTATCTCATATGGGTGCATATGAGCCTCCAGATGTGACTTCTGTTTATTGCGTGCTGGACTGCAGGAGCAGAAATGGACCAGGTTGCCAGATAGAATCAGGCTGCTGAGTTGAAGTGGTCCAGTGAAAATAAACTAATTTTGCTGTAGGTGTATCATCCCCAGGGTTAAAAGGCTTGTGTGAAAAGAGGCCACCTCTCTTCCCACACTTTCTCTGCTGATTGGGTTGCCCCTGGCACTGACTTCTGCCCCCGTCTTTTAAATTCAAAATTGTGGTCGTTGCCATCAAAGGTCCAGGGACACCACTGGCTACATGATCCTTGCTTGGCTTCTTTTTTCACTTTAGGAGTTCATTTCTGTTACAGGGTAGGATACTTGTTTCTTTTCATGTCCCTTCTCCCACATTCAGTTTTGAGAGAAAAAGCTGTAGGAAAAGTAGAGATAATGGATCTGTTTCTGGCCTTCGACATGTCCTTGGACATTAGCCCTTTGCATCCCCAGTCTAATATGTAACATGGAGATGATGACAGAGCCTGGTCAGCAAAAGGGTTGTAAAGACCTTCTGTAACTGCAGCTGGGAGGTGCTGTAGAAAGGGGAGAAACCTCTGTCTGCACACGGTGCTGTGCTTGTATTTATCCTGTATGCTGTTTGGCTCTTCTAGGAACACTGGTCTTAGTTTTGGTGTCAAAACTTCGACTAGCCTTTCCCAGGCATGGACCCAGTTTTAATGATTTAGTCCTGTGCTCTACAGGCTTAGTTTGGATAAGAAGACAGAACCAGGATTTAGCAGGAGAGAGGGACATCAGCATGGTGCCCCACTTTGTTATACCAGGCCAGGTACTTTGTTATTTCCAGGTCACCTATTCCAGGTGAAACCACTGTTCATATGGTAGTGGTCCAAGATGGCATCAAACAGTATTGACCATTTCTTGTTTCCTGTCACAGCAAGGGAATTCTTCAGGTCTTCCTGGCTCCCTTTCAGGTGTAAACTTGCAGAGATCTCTTTGATCTGGCTATCCCCTCAGTTTACTCTCTACCATGACATCCCTTCCCACCTTCCAGATAATGGGAGAACACCTTTCAGCCCATGCCTTTCCAAGGAGGGTTTGACCTGTCATGGATACCTCCAGGGGAAAGAGGGAGAAACACCAGGAAGGACCAGGAACTATTTGAAACATGTGAGAATTTGTATCACATTTGAGTGAAGAGCAGGCACTTTATAGCAACTGGAGAAATGAGGTTCGGGCTTGGGCTTCCCATTGTGTAGCTGGGATTGGGGGAGTGTGGCCTTCCTTTCCAGCTGGGAGATTAATTGAGCCTTAGAAACCAAATGCAAAGGCAGAGCAATGGTGCTGGGTGCTGTGCAGTGCTTGACAGTGCAAGGAGCTGTGCTTTGGAAGGAGTGATTTGAATTTGTATGATGCAGGGGCTCTGACCTAGTTAACATGCAAGCAGGAGCATGAAGCCCCAGAAATGCTATACAACTGAAGATGGATACAGAAAAATCACACTGGATTTGCAGAGTAACATTTAATAAAGTCAGAGCAGGCCATGAAATGCCAGAAGGGGTGCATTCAGTTTGGTTCAGAATATCTCAGAATGATGCTGCAAATGTTATTGTTGTCCCCAGGGTTGCAGTCACAAGAGGACTAGGGAGACTCAAGCGTAAAAAAGAATTGGATAGATAAGAGATGTTCAGTTTAAAGTGTTGATGGATGAGAGTGAGATGAAACAGAGACAAAAGGGAATAGATCAGAGAAAATAAATTGGATGGCTGTGATTATCTTTTTTCTCATAATGCAAAGACCAGGAGATAACTAGTAGTGCTGAGAACCCAGAAGATTGTAACTGGTCTAAGAAATCTATTAAGGGAAAAAAAGTGTTCCCTTCTCAGACAAAAACAAACTGTTACATGCTGCTACAGGAGGGACCAGGGGAGAGAGAGGGGAAAAAAACCAGAAAAAAGCCCTGGCATTTAGATGTGTGGGAAGACTATCTCACAAGCAAGGAGGTTAGGTGAGCAATGAATCTTTATGCTGTCCTTGGACGAGGCTTCCCTTGGGGGAGTCCTGCTGTGTTGTCCATTATGGGGCATCTTTCTGCAGCTGCTGGTGCTGAGTCAAGCTGCAGATGGGTTGGGAGAGACACAGTGGCTGGGGCAGAAAAGCAGGTGCTGTCTTGGGGGGCTGCCATGAGTTGTGGGTCATAGCTGGCTGATGCTTTGCTCCCTTCTCCCAGGGACTGTGTGGCCCTGTGCTTCCTCAACAGTGGCACCAGCTTTGTGGCTGGCTTTGCCATCTTCTCCATCCTGGGCTTCATGGCAGAGGAGCAGGGTGTGCCCATCGCCAACGTGGCTGAGTCAGGTGAGTGAAGACCCTGGTGGGATGGGGCTGTGGGGGTGCTGCTACTTGAGTCCCCAGCCACCAGGGGATGCCTGCAGCTGCAGATTCCCATCTCTTGCTCTCTGCCTCCAAAAAGCAGGGAGAAATGAGTGCACACTCATGAAGTACTGAGATACAGTGGGTTTGAGCCTAATAAAAGCTGCCTCTAAGGGTGAGGGCTAGGGTTAGGCAGCTGGTATCTCTTGTGGGGAGGGTGCTGAGGTGACTGCATGGCATATCCCCAGGCTTGTGCTGTGCTCCCTGGGCTCAGCGGCTTCCCCTGGCTCCCAGCCCTTGCAACAGTGAAGCAGCCAGAGGTTGCTATGTCCCCTTACCTCCCTTCCTGCTTCTCCTTCGGTGCTCCAGGAGCCTGAGTTTTATGCACAGCACGGATATTACCGGAGTGAGAGGCTGCATGGCCACAAGCTGTGCCTTGGCTGGGTAGCTGCCTCGGGCAGGTCTGAACCAGCTGTGCTGTGCTGCTGCCACTGCTGTGCCATTGCTCTGAAAGCCCTTCTCCCTGCAGGGCCTGGCCTAGCATTCATCGCCTACCCTCGGGCTGTGGTCATGCTGCCCTTCTCCCCACTCTGGGCGTGCTTCTTCTTCCTGATGGTTGTCTTGCTGGGACTGGACAGCCAGGTAAAGCTGCAGGAGCAGAGTGACTCCCTACCAGACAAAAGCCACTGTCTCTTCAGGACAGGCTCCAGCTTGGCTGAGGGGGAGGCAGTGGGGCTGGGAAGCTGGTCAGGATGGGCTGACAGAGGTGGGATCTCTGCTTTTTGCAGTTTGTCTGCGTGGAGAGTCTTGTGACAGCTCTTGTGGACATGTACCCCACCATCTTCCGCAAGAAGAACCGCCGGGAAACCCTCATCCTGGTGGTCTCCATCCTCTCATATCTGGTTGGCTTGGTGATGCTCACAGAGGTATTTTGGGCTCAGACCACCTGCATGGTACTTGACAGGACAGAGTGGGACCTGGTGGGTGGTGAGATCTTACACTCAGCTTGCTGCTGAGTCCCATCCTGCTGCCCTGTGCCTGCAGGACGCTGCCCTGCCCTTCTCATGCCGTTCGTGTTTTCCCTTGCAGCCCTTACTCCTTGTGCCAGTCACAGGCCTGATACTTCTCCTGCCAAGACTGATAGCTGGAGCTCTGGACAGCCTATGTTTTGGTTGTAAATTTATCTTGACACAGACAAAACCTTTACAGCTGTAGCCTGTTGCATGGGAAGGGGAGTGCCCTTGTCCTTATCTTTCTTCCTGAATGGAGCTACAGCAGAACTTACTATAAGGAAACTTGTCAGGCCTCAGGGCACCTCTTATCTATTATACTGATATCCGCTGTGTTACCCTTGTGATTGCCTGGGAGCTAAACTGTTCTTATTTAAAACTTTGAACTCTGCCTAGCAATATGCATGTGTGGATTGATGCTGCCAGAATGCTCTTGGCACTTTGTTTTCATTTGGGTATAACTTTTGGAAAAGCTGTCTCTGATGTTGTACATGCAACATTGTGCCTGGATTTACCCACAGGCTTGTTTTGTAGGCAGCCCTGCAGACCTGGACAGTGAAACAACCAGGCTGCATGCAGTTATTTCCTTCTGCAAATTGAGACTTTAAAGTCAATCAGATGGATTGCATATCTTAAAGGGGGGTTTCCATCCTCACTTCCAGCTACAAGAGTTGCCTAGGTTTTGTCTTCTCATAAAACATCCCCACAATCTCTGGCAGTCAGTTGCCATCTGCTGTGCTGCCCTGCATTGAAATGAAGGGTTGCAGAGACTCCTGAGAGCAGCAGGGTGGCTGCATGTCTCTGTCGGGCCTTGGGCACAAGGGATGTGCCTTTTCTGTAGGTAAAACTCTCCCAGTGAGGGAGATGCCTCCAGCTCTGGGGGAGATACTGAGTTTGTTTTCTGATCCGGCTTTAGCTCTTTGCCTTGTTTCTTCTCCCCTCTCTTTCACCTTGCTGCCCACTTGGGCCTTCCCAGGGTGGGATGTATGTCTTCCAGCTCTTTGATTACTATGCTGCCAGTGGCATGTGTCTGCTCTTTGTGGCCATCTTTGAGACTCTCTGCATCGCCTGGGTCTATGGTGAGTATGAACTGGGGGGGGAGGGGGGGGGTGGTCCACAGCTCTGGCCTCTCACAGTCTTGTCTGGTTCACTCTCAAAATTTTGGTCAGTAGCTTAACTTGGCAATTGCTTTGTAATGCAAGGCAGAATCTAAACCTTTGCTTTGGTGCCCCTGGACTCAACTGGCAGGGACTTCCTCACTGTGTGAGGGCATCCTGGGGGATCTGCTTGGCAGATATCCCTTGCATGTTCCTATGCACTCCTGCTTTAGAGATGCTCCTTCCTTGGGAAAATGGAGCTGTCTGAAAAATCTTTTCTGAACCTGTGGTCAGAGGGCTTGAGACTCAAACGTTTTGAAAGCCCTCTCTCACAGTCTTGACAGTCACCAGATATGGGTAAAACCTGGGCTGAGGTCCTAGCCTTGGAGATGCTGAGGGGCTGGCCCTGCTGACCTACTGAACTGTTCTGGGAGGATAGAAAGTTAGTCCAGGACAAAGACCGAAGCTGGCCACACTCCTGAGGAGCTCCCTGACCTGACTGCTGGCTGCACTTCACAGTGGTGAAGCAGGACCCTGGACGTGCAGACCCTGCTGCCCTCCTTCCCTGGTGGCAGTGAGGGATCCCATGCTTGCTGTCTTCTGCAGGTGCTGAGCGTTTCTATGGTAACATTGAAGATATGATCGGCTACCGGCCGTGGCCCATCATCAAATACTGCTGGCTTTTCATCACCCCTGCTGTTTGCATGGTGAGGACACAGGAGGAAGAGCTGTGGGGAGGAAGGTGGGCAGAGCTGTGTGCCTCTGAGATACAGACACCTCCATATATACACAGGGATGTGCATATATATAGGGGGTTATGTGGCCTGGACTATGTGGGCCATTTTTTATTTGTGCTTGTAGCTTTGGAGGCCAGATGTGGGGCTCAACAACAGGGAGAGGCTCAGCTGTGACAGAGCTGTTTGCTGGTGGGACAAGATCCTTGATGTCACGACCAGTGTTGCCCATGGGGGCTGTCCCAGCAAACCCCGTTTAAGGGATGTCTCCTCTGTTGCTGCCCTGAGGTGCTCCTTTTTACCATGAGTCTCTCTGCAGATGTGTACTTGCCAGAAAGATCTCTCTTTGCTCATGGTGTTGATTTTCTTTCTCTTTCTTTTATTGGTCTCTTTCACTTTGCCAGGCAACCTTCCTATTTTCTTTGGTCAAGTACACCCCGTTGACTTACAACAAGAAATATGTGTACCCATGGTGGGGAGACACGCTGGGATGGCTGCTGGCCCTCTCCTCCATGGTCTGCATCCCTCTCTGGATCGTCTACAAACTCTCCACCATCAAAGGCTCACTCAGAGAGGTGAGGTTGGTGCTCTGGCATCAGGGCATGGGCTGTGCTTCTGTGTTGAACTCCAGCCCTGCAGTGGAATAATTTGTGTGTTGCAGGTTGATTAGGAAGGAGCCCAGAATAAATCAATTAAATGAGTTAATTGCTATAACAGACCTGTTTTTTTTAAGTTCTGCCATGCTGGAGGGCTGCTCCAAGCTGGCTGCTGCCTCTTGGTACCCTTTTTTCATTTCTTCTGTCTCTTTGCAAGTACCAGCAGGAAAAAGGTCATTATATGGAGAGGATAATGATCTCCATGCTGCCCCTAATTGAGGCTTGAGGACTTGCTCTGAGAAAGCTCCAGATCTCCTGAGCATTATGTTCAGCTGAGTTCACCAGTCTGTGCTGAGGCCATAGAGTTGGAATGGAGGGAATCACTGGGAATTTGGAGTTCCCATCAGTCTTAGTGCTCTGGGTCTGTCCTGCTTCCAGAGCGATGCATTGCTGGTTGCCCTGTAATACACTGGAGAGGCAGGGAGCTAAAAAACCAGGCATTGTTCCAGATGAGCATCCTATCCCTGCCACAGCTCTTGATTTCAGGGTGAGTTTTCACAAACAGTCCTGAACCCCCGGGATCCTTCTCATTTCCTGCCTCCTGCAAGTGTTCAAGAATGGGTTGTGACAGCAATGGGCCCCTGACCCCTGTGTCCAGCACACACAGGGAGGAGTGGGAACAGCTGCAGGGGCAAGGCAAGGCTGCACAGCATGGTGTGGTATGAGAGTAACCCCTTATGAACTTGTCCCAGTTAAAGCCAGAACCTTTGTGCACAGGCTCTGTGCTGGTGGAGGGCATGACCTGGAGGTGCTTGGTCACCAACCTTCCTTCACCCTGTTTTCTAGCCCTGGCCTGGAGCAGATGGAGGACAGAGCTTTCCCCAATTATCCCTGTGTTAGATACCTCGTGTGCTCAGTGCTTGCCTTGGGACAAGTGTTTGGAAGATGAGTTTATCCCCTCGGTTTCTGAAGTACTGACTGTCCTTGTTTTGGACATCTCTGGCATTTAGCGAGCAGATCTGCAGCTGGGCCTGGCTGGCTGAATGAAACCCATGATGGGTAGGGGAGGGCCCAGGTCACTTTTGTCCTTGCAGCTGTGTTTAGTGCCTGTCTTTGCCTTCCAGAGGTTCCGCCAACTCACCTGCCCACTTGAGGACTTGCCTTCCAGGCCAGGCACAGAGCAGCCCCTTCCCTCTACCAGAGCTGGCCTCCTGGTGCTGACAGAGCTCGAATCTCATTGCTAGGACAAATGTCGCTCTCCCTCCCTCCCTCCCCCCTGGATGGTTTCTATACAGCCTTTGCCACCCGTTGGATAACGCAAGGATTCTTCACTCACCAAGAAAAGAGGGATTTCTGGGCTGAGGTCCCTTCTCTGGAAGATTTGAAGGGCTGATGAAGAGGCTGCCATGGAGATGGTCTGTGTGGAGTTAGCAATGCACCTTAATTCTCTCCCTGGAGAGAGCTCTGAAGGGGCACATCAAGCACCAGTGTTCCTGAGCATCCCCAGACTTCTGGTGGGCAGAAAGGAAGGACTGACCCTGGAGTAGTGTCAGAGTAGAGCTGTGGCTCCAGTGTGGACTTTGGGAGCTTCTCCATTCATTCCATTAAATCTATGTTTTTCCTGACTAGATCTGCTCTGTCTCTATTTTGTCCCACTGGCATTGCTTGCCAACGCATGTTAGGTGAGATGTGTGTCAGCCGAGCTGTGCTGGGCACCCAGGTCTGCATCTCTGTTGCACTGGCACAGTGATATGGGAAGGTGGCCAGAGGAGAGGAAGCTTGGTTATAGGGTAGGAAGGAAAACAGGGAGCAGGGGTTCAGAGGCTCCTCTGAGTGGTAGGGCTGGGTTACCCTGGTGAAGAGTTCCATGCCACCTTCTGCTGGAGCCACTGCCAGATCTCAGAAGTGTCATTTGTCTGATGAGTCATCAAATGTTCCTGGGGTCTGAGAGCAGCATGTGGATCTGTATTTTGTTCTTGCAAGTGAGGGATCATAAGAAGCTCTCCCTCGCCTCTGCAGATCTGTGTGTTTTTCAGTGTTGACTACCTTCCAGGTGCTCTGGAGCTAGTAATTTTGGTTTTCCTGTGAATGGAAGAAGGGCTGAGTGGTGGAAACAGAATCTGCATGTTATGTCAACAAACAGGGCCCCTAGTTTCCAGGCTGTTTGGGTAAAAGAAATAAAACTCAAAGAGCTTGTGTTTTAAGTGCTGTAGCCCCAGCATCCGAGGAGGGCAGCCAGAGGACACGTAACCCTGGGAAGCTGGATGGCTCCCAGGAAACCCTGAGGAAGCTGGAGCCTGGACAGAGCTGAGCCAGCAGCCGGAGGCGCTCAGCTTCTTGAAGCACACAAGGACACTGGTGGGCCCCACGCTACGGCCAAGGCTTCTGCTGCCGCGGGCAGAGGAAGACGCGAATTAAAACAAATTAAAGGGAATTAGCGCAATCCGCGCCATTAGCCACAAGGTGGCCCCAGGCCCTCAGCCTTGGCGCGGGACGGGGCCCCGCGGGCGGGCGGCACCCGGCTGAGGGACACTGGGCCCCGGGTCACGGTGACCCCGCCATCCTCCTCGCCCTCCCTTCCCGGTTCCCTGTGGGGCTTTTCTCTGAGGACATCTGCCTCCCACAGGGAGCGGTGATCTCAGAATGGCGCTCCCAGCTGTGGCAGGAACGCGTTTACTCCTCTAGGCAATGGCAGGTTCCCGAGTTTGGTTTTCCCGAGACTTAGTTTCCCTTAGTTTAGTGTTCTTGGAGCCTGGAAACCTGAGATGGGACACAGGTATATCTGGAAAGGAGTCACGGACTTGGCTGATGGAGGCTGTGGAAGTCCGATGAGCAGCAGGTGCTGAGGGGTTTTTTTGCTGGGAGGCTCTGAGGCGGTGCAGATTTAACCTGGGAGGGAGCACCCCTGAGCGGGGCCCTCCGGGCCTTCACTGGCTCTCCCAACGTGGCTGTGGAAACCTCATCTCATTGCCAGCCTGCCTTCCCTTTTCCCAGCCTGTCTTCCACACGGAGTGTGGGGTGGATGGGTTGCTTTCACTAGGGGTTGCCCCCTTTGGTAGGTCTGCACCTCCCACATCAAAATCTCAAGTTTCTGCATGCCTCCCTCCCTGCCTCTGGAGAACACCGGGAAGCTGGGAGCTCAACTGGTTGCCACTATTTTCATGGACAACCTCAAAGCCTCAGAGCTTCAGATTCCCCTGCTACCACTGTACTTCATGGTGTGTGAGATAAGGGAAGTGAAGAGCTGAGAAATCCAGGGAAAGCCCCTTTGGAAGAGACCCACAACGTAAGGGAAGATGGAGCACGCCAGCTGCCCTGCTGCTTGGAAACGGAACTGGCTGGTAAAAATTACTTCTAGAAATAAGAGGACTGAGTTCAATACAGAAGTTCTAGCAACAGATATTTTTATTCATGTAATGTTAACCATAAACAGAATTATACTTTAATTTGCCAGTAGTATCTATAAGAGGTTTGTCCCACTGGGAAGATATTTCAACGATAATAGAAAACGGTAATTTTTTGCAGCTATCTCTAAAATCTGGCTGATGTAAAAGTCTGCTTGGCTGCATGTAGGCCAAGTGTGAGTTTGCTGAAAGGCTTGTGACTTGCTTTGTTTCAAAATAGACTGGCGTCCAGTGAATTGGGCATGTGGTTTATTGATCTGGTTATATATGACCCAGGAAATCTCCCAAGCCTGTGCTCTCACATGACCCAATTACTGTAAAGCTGTGGATGAGCTAGGTAGGTCAGATAAACAAGAGAACCAAAGGTTTTGCTGAATACTCTTAAATAAGTGTCTTATTTCTGACACGACTTTAAGCAAAGTATTAGACTTGATGACACCTGGCTTGAAATAGGAATCAAGTATATTCTATCTTGCTCATTGAAAAGGTTGATGGACTTAATTTGAAATTTCCAGACATGACATTTTTTTCACAGCACTTTTAAGACCCCATGCTTAAAAGGTATTTTTTGTAAAATTTGGAATATGTCAATTTCAGCATACAGTGTTTATGATTTGGAATATGGTGAAAGGGATTTTCATTTCCTCCAGGATCAGCCTTGCAGTCTGTGGAATTTGCACCATACTTTTGCCAGCTGGGGAGGTGCTGATCTCCCTTTAGACAAGAAGTGTGTGTTCATTGGGTATTTCCCACCTTCAGAATCCAAAACCTACCTAATAGCCTGAGAATTCAATCCATTGCTTACTCGATAATGGGCATGACATTAAAGAGCCTTTTTTTTCATGGATTGTTTTGTGCTGGTGGTGATCATGGTTTTTCAGTTTTGTTTGGTTGGTTTTGATTTGGGTTTTTTTGTTTGTTTGTGGGGGTTTTTTTTTGGGTGTTTTTTTTTTGGTTTGTTTTTTTTTTTTTCAAATGAGAAATTAACCTAAAAATAAAGAAGCCCCCGAGGTTCTACCCCAGGTCATTGGTGCTTAGAAAGGATGTCCATCCATCTGTCCATGAAAACCAGGTTCTGCTTTTCCCTTTTTATGTCTGTGGTGCCTGGGGAAAAAACTCAGCTTTCTTTGTCCGTGGATGGAGGTGCTCACATAGGCCAGGGAAGAGACTTCAGATCTCAGGGACAGACCTATGGGTGAGGATGCACCTACTGTCATGGAGAGCATCCCAAATCCTGGGATGTTTGAACACATGCTTGAGAGGTCTTTTCCTTTTGCCTTTAGGGCAGTTTTCCATGGCTATTGCAGAGTGATGCATTGTGAGTTGTGTTGCACATTTTGGTGACAAGAAAAGTGGATGTGTTGGATGCCATGGTGCATAAATGGAGAGAATTGAGTAAGATGAACATGTTAACTTGTGGGATACATAATCCTGTGAAGCAGAGATTCCCAAGTAATCTGTTAAGTGGGTCCTACGGGCAGGTGTAAATGAGCATACCCCAAAGAGCAGGGCGTTTGGCTAAGCCCTTGTGTGCTAATGTGGTTAGCAGCCTGCAGGAGGGGATCTGCATGGTGCAGATAAGGGAAACAGGCATGGGGGAGCACAAAGGCACACTGGAGAAGCTGTTCCTTCCAAGAAATTGCCAGTGGTTTTGTTACCCCTGTCTCCATCTGACCTGCCCGGAGTTACAACACCTTGGGCAGCAGCAACAGGTGCCTCTCTGTGTCTCCATCTGACCTTGTCCCTTGTGTCCTTGTGCCCTGTGCATTGGAGGTGTTTGCTGTCACATGTCCCACAACAGCAGGCTCAGCTGCCCTGAGGGAGCAGGGAGGGAGAGCAGGAGCAAACAGGCACATACCCATGTGCCCTCTGCTTGCCTTTGTTCTGTGATCCTCTTGGTGTCTGACCAAGAGCAGCATTGCTGGGCAGCTCAGGCTGTTAGGCAACAGATCCCCAGCACTGCCAGTCCTCCCTCCTGACCACTTTTTTGCTGACTGTGGGCTCCTAAGCTGTTTGCCCTTGCCTCATCCTCTCCCATACCAGGGATGCTGTGAAACAGGGGATGTCTCACCCTGCCTGTACTTTCACAGATAAAGACTCCTGGCAGCCTCTTCCTCTGTAGGAGCCTGACACAGGAGTGGTGCTGTGGCTGCTGGAGCCCATCAGGGTTCTGTGGAGCCTCATTAGCTCTTCTTGCTTTGGTTATGTTCACTTGTGATTAGTTACAGTGAAACTGTTGTCAGAAGTCACAGGCTTACTCAAGCAGAAATTAGCCATAAACATGAAAAATAAATTGTACCAATGCCTAGGGGAAAATCCCCTGGAAACATAGTGTTCAGTCAGCAAGGCGTGTTCTCAGATGAAGAAGAGCAGCACTGTGCCCATGGGGCAATGAGCATTTCTCCTATTTTGTTAGCAAAGGTTTTAAAAGATGGAATTAGCCTGGACAAAGGAGGGCAGTGGTGATTTCTCCTGCAGGTGACTCAGTGATGGGGGCAGCCAGGGCTGCAGGCCCCACTGTGTCCAACAACTGTCCCAGCAACTGCCTCTGCAGCCTCTAATGTTTGTAAAGCACAGTTTGGATTCACCCATAGGGTGTCATGCTGACAGACCTCTCCCAAAATCTGGGCTCGGGGGAGATTTGACTCATTTTGGCTTGAAGCCTTGTGTCTTACGGGCTCAGGGGCCCAGGACTCACTGCTGCCAAGGAACATGGCCCTGGCGTGGGCTGAGGCTGGCAGCCTGCTCCTCTGGGTTGGCTCTTTAGCAGGCATGTCAGAGCCGGCTGAAAGGGAGGAAAGGGTGGGGACACCCAGATGCTGGGAAGAGCCAGCTGTTCTGAGAAAAGAAATGGTAAAAGGAGGGGCAAGAGGGCATTGCCAGCTGGCAGGTGATGAGCAGTGTGGGGAGGAGGACACCTTTGAGGAGGTGCAGGACAGATCTGAGGTTGGGGTCAGCCATCCTTCAGGGCAAAGACTGAGTCCTGGTCTCCAGCTGCCCTGAGCCTGGCAGGTTGAGGGAGTCTGGTTCTTTCAAAGAGTTTTCCTCCTCTGCTCATGAGGGGGGATGGAAACCTATGCAGCTGGCAACTGCAGAGGGAGTGAGCAGCTCTGTGTGGATGGACAGCAGTGCTTTCCCAGTTCTCCTGTGCACCCTTGGGTGCAGTGATGGGGCTTGCGCAGGATGCACCGTGGGAGAGCTGTGGAGATGTGAGAGCTGCTGGTGTGTGAGCTGCTCACAACAGGGGGACCCAGGGCTGGGAGGGGTTCATGCTGCCTAGGGAGGGGGGTGCTTTGGACATTTCCAGGATTTATTGCAAGCATTGCTTCTCTTTTGAGGATGAGTGTTTAAGAGCAACCTCACCCACACTTACAGAGGAGGAGCCCACATCGTGGGGTGACGTGCGGTCAGATTGTTACATCCTTTAGCAGTCCTGTCCTACCTCACAGCTGTTCAGCCCAGAGTGCTTGCTCAGGGCTGACTCTGCCAGCGAGGATGGCAGCTGGTGGTCAGGGAGTGCATCACCCCTTTCCTTGCTCTCTCCTGGGATGGGACTGAGCACAGTTTGTACACCCCCACCCCCCCAGCTGAGCTGCTCAGAACGTGACTTTTGTTTTTCAGTGTGGGTCATCACACCAGTGAAATTGCTCACATGGAAGCTGGTGTGGTGAGATATATGTGCCCCTGCCCATAGCAGGGTTTAAAAACCCTGTGAATTATTGCCTGGTGGGAAACTCTGAAGTGTGAGTGTAACTTCTGGTACCTCCAGGCTGGCAAACAGAAATAGCCTTTTTTTCCTCTCCTAGAGAATGATTTTCACACATTGCTGGATAAAGTTTTCATTTAGGTTGACTTTCTTCTTGTTTTACCTTAATGTCACAGGTCATTTCCCATCTACAGCTTTGCAAAACCCCTGCGATGTTCCCATGAAACACTTCAGTATAGATAAATCAAGTTTTTAGGTCAGCTCTGCTTACCTAGGCTTATCTTAATCCCCTTTTCATATCTGGATAACCTCTATTGCACCTTTTCCTCAGTTGTGCTGGGTCATGCCAGTCCTCTGTGACAGGACAGGACAGGCAGTGGCACTGTCCTCCATGAGCAGGGTCAGAGGCAATGCAGAGCCAGCACATGCTCCTTCACCTTGCAGTCTTTCAGGACTTTGGAGACAGCCCCTAAAAGGCAGAAGATGGAGCCTGTCATGTCTCATATTGATGCCAGATCTCACAAGGGAAGAATCAGTCTGTATTTCTTCGGGTATGGGACCAATCCCTTCAACCAGCCTGTGGGGTAGGTGAAAGCCAAGAGCTTTGAAAATGGCATGCTTGGAAAGTTTAATCCCAGAAAAAGCCCCAAGTAAATGGAGATGTTTTGCCTTACTGCCTCCAGAACTGGCCTCAGTGGCTTATCCTGAGGATCCCACTCAGTCCAGGTTGGTTCCCCTTACGCATCTCTCCAGCATCATTTGTCCCCAGGGTAATCCAGCATGCTCTAATGGGATCTGATTCACCGGCTTCTAGCACTCATGGAGGATTTTCTGGAGACAGCATTATAAACGACCTCAATAGAGTGTACAGGCATGTAAACACACTTCTTTCCCACACTGTGGCATTGAGGACTTGTGTCAGCTCCTGTCAGCTTCCCACTGAGGGGCTGAGAAATGCTCCTCTGGTGAGTCCGGATGTAGCCGAGAGTGTGTTGGATATGTCCCACGTTCCCTCCCGCATTCCGCTCTGGTGTCACCACATGGTAGCATGAAAAGATCAATAGGAATTTGGCAGGCACATAAGCAGACAAAGCAAAACACAAAAGAGTGATAGCATGAAACACCATTAAAAAAAGAGAAAAACTGAGCTGAAGTATCTTGGGAAAAATGGTGTAACTGGAATGCCTGCTGCTGGTGTTGGTCATGAGAAGCTCTGGAAAAGCACATCAAAGCTGAGATGGATACAAAGAAAGCTGCCAGGGCAAAACCACAGAGGGATTGCTCACTTCTAGTGAGCACCCAGACACTATAAAGAATCCAACAGTGCCTCTCCTTGCTGACAGAGCTCTGTCCCATGAGCTGTGTTTGTATTCTCAGCATATGGCACAGGCATGGAGGGCTCTGCATGATCCCAGAGCAAATGTTCCTTCTTCACCCACGCTCTGCCTTTTGCTCCACCTGCCTGATAGTGTTGGTGAGACTTGATCTTGGCCACAGACAGTTTAATGTAATGCTCTGTGGAGATTCATTCTGCTTGTTTATAGGATGACATTGAGGGATGCCCCTATCCCACTAAAGTGGTGGAGCCCTAGAACAGTGGAAATATGTGTCAGCCAGCCTGGGCCATGCTGTGGGGACTGCCAAGGGACAGTTCCTGCCCTGCAGAGGTCAAGAGGACATGGCGTTACTCTCTGCTGCAGTTGGTATTTACAAACTCTGGGCCTTTACCCTGCCTGTCTGTGGCTGCTTTCTCATCTTGCTTTCTTGTCAGGGCCACAGTTCAAGGTTTGGAGAGGTGCATGTTGTAAGGGAACAGGGGAGAAAGTTCGTCTGCCCTGATGCACCTCCCTTCCCTGCGTCCCACCACCCACGCATGAGCTGGGTGATAATTTGGTGGGGGGAGCTGGTGGAAGGGGTGGGACAGGAGGAGGAGAGAGGGTAGTCTCTGCCTTAACTCTTGCTGTATCTGTTTGGCAGTCAGTGGATTCCCTGCCTGGACTCCAGTGGGACGGGAAAGGATAGGACGGGAGGGGCTTGCCTGGGAGAGACCTGCGCTGGGTTCAGGTGAGTTGGGTGTTTGCTTGTTGAGCAGATCTGGCTGGATGTTTGTGTCACCCTGGGAGTGCCGGTGACTCCGGTCCTCCCGCAGCCAGCTGCTGCACGCCAGCTGCTTGCTGTGCTCTGGAGAGTGGGCCAGCAAGTCTGCAAGGACAAAATCTTCCCAAGGTTAAATAAAGCAAGACTGAGATGGACAATAAGGAGCAATTAATCAATTTGGATCAACCTAGGGAAGAGGTTTTTCTTTCAATGGTTCCTTTGGAAAAAGAAAGGACAGGCTGAGATGCTGTACAGGGGGTACCAGGAAGCTGAGAGCAAAGAGATGCCTGAAGGATGGGTAATTGATACTGAAGGTTGTGGCAGCAGAGAAAAAGGGAGAGAGTGACAGGTAAGTACTCAGACAGCAGAAATATTGAGAAGAGAGACAATAGTGAGCCAGACAGGGACAGGGATGAAGGGCAGAGCTGACTGGTTGACAATAGGTACAGGAGCCAAGGCACTAGTAGAGTAGGCTGTAGGCATTTCAGCTGCTGCCAGCATGAGTCCTCTCCTCCTGTGCTGCCCTGCAGAGGTGCTGACCCCAGTGCATTGACTTGGGAGCTGCAGTTTTAAAAGATGAGCCTGGGGGTGCACTTCTAGTTCTTCTTGCCCCGAAGTTTTCTTCAAATTTGTTTCTGTAGGGCTGAGGCAGGGAGACAACAGTTTCTGCATGTGCTAAACTTTTGGGATATGTGGGCATATTTGTGAACAAATGCAGGCAGAACACATGAGAGTTTCATAACACCTGATCTGTGTCTTCTGAAATCAACAGTGCTTTTAAAGTAATCACTACTAATCAGGGCTTTCATCTCATGCCAGTGGAAATACCATTGCCCTAGTTTTTCCTCTTTGACAGCTGGTGATACAAGAGGCTGAACCTTGGACCTGACCTTTGCAGCTCTGCAACAGCCCAACTTTTCTGGATTCATGATTGCAGATGTGGTCCTTGCAGAGGACAGGCTAAAGAGCCTGTGCCGTATCTCTGCCTGACTGTGGTCCTGGGCAGGCTAGAGGAAATTTTGGGTGCCCCAGGCTGGAGAGCAGGTACCAGGCCCCTTGGAGGGTGCAGGTGGGGTGCAGTCCCGCCACATTACAATGTGGCATTAGGGCAGGAACTGCTGGAAAACACTTAAGGCACTGCTGGAGTCGTGGTCTCTGTGCACCTCTGCCTGTGCTGATTTCACCTTATATGACTCGTTCTGAGCACCAGCTGGAGCTGGCTGAGCCTGCCCAGGGTCTGACACGGGGCGCAGGGGTGAACAGGGAGCACAGTGTGGGGACAGTCATGGCAGGGAGCCCTGTGGCCCTCTCTGCTGCTCTGTGCTGGCCACACACGTGTCTGTGCTGAGGGACCAGGCTCTGCCACACACGCTCCCCTCATCCTCCCTGCTGGGAAGCATAAGGCAATGTGTTATGCCTTAACCTTGCTCAGCTTTTGGAAGAGTCTTGCTTGAGTGCTCTTTGCCTGTGCTCCCTGTTTCTCATCACTGAGAGCAAGTGTCCTCAGGCTGTGCTTTTGGGAGGTGAGGCAGGGTGTGCCTACCTGGAGGAGTTTAGATACAACTGCCTAGAGCAGTGTGATGCCAAATTCCCTGTGCTGCTCTCCCACCTTTGAACCACTGGCTGCAGTGCTGGCTCCTCTGCTCTCCTGCTCTATCAACTTTGCTTCCCACTCTTCCCTCAGCCCTCGCCCCCAGCCACAGGGATGGATGGCAGCAGCTGGCCAAGCAGGGCTGGGGGCTGGCAGCATCCATCTCTTCATCTGACCTGCCCAGGGCTGCTGGCTGGCATCTTGCTCCATGAAATTGCTGCCCCAGAGAGGTGGCTGCCTTGTAGGCATCCTGCAGACTCTATCTTGTCCCTGTGGAGCACCTCTGGGCTGCACCACAGGTCGCTGCCCCATTGTGCAGGGACCTGTTTGCAGAGTGAGTGCTGGAGCAGTGTGATTTTCACCCTGTGTGCCATTCACCTGCTTCACCAGCCAGTGACAGGAGCCATACTGGCCACATGCTTTGGCTGCACACAAGGATCTCTGAGCCAGCCAGATGCAGCCCCAGGACTTCGGCCTGACAGCTCCAGCCATCGGGTAAGTGGCTCTGGGGGCTCCACTGGGGCCTGGCTGGATCTGTGGCTGTACCAGACCTATTGCTGGTGCTCTGTAAGAAGAATGGATCCTGCTGTGGCTGGCCCTCCTGCTGTGTTGCATTAGATATAGCCAGATTATGGGCTGAGTGGAGGTCTTGAGATTATCTGGTTTGGTGCGTAGGCTGGTTTCTAGTCCTATTTAGGCAGCATTTATGGACTTCATCTGTTAGTCTTGGGTTTTTTTTCTAGGCTAGAGAAAGAAACCACCTCTGTGTCTCTGTAGCCTCGAGCAGGGATGGTGATCCATGGACACCAACAGAGACTTATCTGGCTCAGGGAACAAGAGCCTACATTGCTTTTAGCAAGAGATTTGCCACTGATCCTTAGAAAAGTCCAGCCAATGTTGGAGGCTTCGGAGGGTCTCCTGTCCAGCAGCAGAAGACAGAGCAGGACCCATTTGTCACACTCCTGCACTGGGGGTGTGTGCTCTGAAGGGTGATGCTCTATAATCCTTGCATTTTGTATTGCAGATGTCCATGCCATAATGAACTCATTCATAAGGAACTCACTGAGTTCCTTATCTCACTCTTTCTGGTGTCAGTAAGTAGCAAACTCACTGACTGCACAAGTATTGCTCTTATTTCACACTGGAGAAAACATAGGTAGGATCTGATCCTTGTAACAGTCTCCTGTGCCTCATGAACGTTGCTGAACAGATGCTTTGAGAATACCCTGCAGCCCACAGAACCTGGAAGTTAATTAGAAAGTGTAAAGAAGCCAACTAACTTTCAATTGCTTGAAATGAAAGGCATTTTAATTTCAACTGCTGTCCTGGAGTTGATCAGTCTTTCTACATCTTTCCTTGCCTTTCTATGCGATGCAGCTGGAGCGAGCCATTCTCCAGCAGCATTCCCGTTTGGAAGCAGCTGTCTCTGCTCGTGTAGCTGCTCTTAGATTGGCTGGAAGGCACTTGCTTCCACTGCTAATATTTTCTTGTCCATCTTGCAGAGATGACCGATTCCAGTAGCAGCCCCCATGCACTGATTTAACGGGGTTGCTCCCTTAAGCTGTACTTCGGCACTGCTGTTCCTTGCTGAACCCTGATTTTCTGTCTCTGCTCTCACAGCCGCCCCCGCCCCCTGCCATCAAAATGCAGCGCAGGATTTCAGCTGCTGACTAACTGCTGGCTCTGGTTGCGCAACTGGAGAATTTTATGTGTCCTCCTGCTCCTCCTTTTGTAACACAGCCCAGTCGTCTTGCTTCCTGATTCCTCCCTCCACATCTTAAATTGCAGTTTATGTGCTTGGTTGCTGCTTGTTTCAAAATGAAACCAAGAAATATAAATGCTGTCTGCGTTGTCACCTGTGATTCTGCAGTTCAGGCAGTGTCCAAGGGAGCTTTAACACTGTGCTTCCTCTCATAAACGTTATCAGCTGCTTTTTAGAGACATTTCTGTCTGCTGTTCCCTCTGTTTCACTATTCCCTCTGGAGATTGTCCTCATCTCATTTGCCTTATGATAAAACAGCAAAATAGGTCAAACGGAGGATGTTAACTTCCCAGCAGTAGGAACTCCTGTCTGACAGCAGTTGGGAACAGGCAGTAAGTTTGCAGAAAGAAAAGCTTCAGGAGAATTGCTGTTGGCTTCTTCCTCTGGTGCCAAAACTCCAGGTGGCTTCTCTCTCATCTTGTTTTACTCTTGTTCCTCACCTGAGGAACTTTGAAAAAGTTCCCTCCCTTTTTTACCCTGAGAGAGGCTGAGGATAGCACCATATTTTGCTTCAAATGGTGCTATCCTTTCTTTCTCCTCTTTTTCTTATCACTGCTTCTCCCCTTCGGTGGCATCTTGTTTTCAACAAAGCCAAAAAATACTGTTCTCCTGCATATCTGCATTGTGTGTTCAGCATGTCATAGGCAACTGCTGAGTGACCACAATGCTTCAGAGATGTTTGGTTTTCCTTGCCTTTGGTGCCCATACTTGAAGGATCCCATGGTGGTAGGTGTGGGACAAACACAGTCCCACACCTACAAAATTTGTGACCAAGGGGAGACTGTGTTGCCTCATTCAGATGTTCAAGGATGGGACTTGTTGCTCTGGGTCTATGGCTGCCTGCATGCTGCCTTCTCTCTTTCCAAGGAAAAGAGAGAAGGCAGGAATCCTGCAGGAATCCAGGTGTATTCTTGTTTTCCCAGCAATAAATCTTTTGGGGAAAAAATTGTGGCTATCTCCATGCACCAAGCCCAGTACCAAATACTGTACCATTTCCTATGGAGCTGCATAGAGGGAGCTCACTGCTCTCTGTGGGAAGATGGCACACTACAGGTCACTTCTCTGAAGGGCAAAAAAACCATCTTCTCCAAGTGCTGAGGGCTGAAAATACAGCAGAGCACCTCTAGAAGAGATAGGTGGGGTCAGAAGGAGCTGAGGAGGGAAGGTGGTGGAGGTTGAGAGGGTTCAGGGGCAGGGTAGATTGTGGATTGCAAGATGACATTTTAGCAGTTGTGAAAACTTTGTGGCAGAGGAAGAAAAGAGTCTGGGAATGAAGTAGTCATAGGATTTTTCTCCAAACTTTGGTGAAGGAACAGCAAAAAAAGTGCAGGCAAGCAGTGAGGGGCACAGTCTTTACTCCAAACTCATGTATTAAGGAGGGGGCAACCAAAGGAAGAGGAAAATATTTGCCTGTTGGGGAGGATGTAACCCAGTAGGTGGCTGTGACTGCTGTGGGAGAACCAAATTGTTCCTAGCTGGAAATAAGAAGTTATTTGAGTCCCCATCTGGCCTAAGAACATATAGAGCAGGGGCACAGTAGGATTAAATGTTTAGGAAAAGAACCAGGAGGTGTATGAATAGGCTTTGTCATAGAAACAGTAGGCGAAGCAGAGAGGGAAGTAGTGGGGATGTGTAATGTGCATGGCTTTGTCCAGGAAAGGAGAAGTTGTATTTCATGCCATGAAGGCCCAGAACTTTGGGAACCAGTTTAATCCACCATCTGTTTCCACTTGAAAAAGTTTGATTTCATAGCCAGGGTGCTTTCCCCCTTCTTAAAATAGGAAAATGAAGGCAGAAGTGCTGTGTCTCCCCTGATGCTCTGTGTTTCTCCCAGCTGTGTTCCTCATTGCAGCATCCCAAATTCCATCCTTCATGTTGGCCTATTCAGGAGTCAGAGGACAGATAAAAAGTCCTGGTCCAGGTGTCCTGAGCTGGAGGCTGGTGACAGGGTTGGGGCTGTGGGCTGGCATCATACATTCCCTTCCCAGGGCTAGGTGAAAGGTGATTCTCTGATTGTGACCTTCCTCTGCACCCGTGTGTGAAACAGCTCTAGCAAAAATGAAATAAACCCACAAGTATTAGTAGAAATAGGCTGGCTCTTGGATCCACCTAACATTAAAAGAATAAAACCAAAGACTTAGCTAGTCTTGTCCTGCCAGCTTCCTGGGACATCCTTAACAAATGCAGACTTAAACATCACTGTACTTGATAACGTGCCCTGGACTGCAGCAAATAGGAATGTGCCAAGGTCCGTGACAGATCAAACATGTTTCATTAAGTACGTGCTACTTTTTCTCTCACATTTGACAGTGCGTGGAGCTCTGCTCCTTTCAGATGAGGAGGCTGTGCTGCAGCATTGGAATCAACTGATTAGCCAGCTAGCAGGCCTTGCTGCAGGCAGGCAGAGGGGAGAAGGGCCTTGCCTGGGCTTCAGAAGCTGAGAAATGGCTGGCAGGAGTACCTGATGATTCCATCTCCCAATCCTACCCAGCAGAAGGGCTAAGTGAAGGGGGCAAATCTGGGACTGCTGAGCTGCTGGGGAGCTGCAGAGCTGCAGCTGCAAGCCAGCATTTAGGGTGTGTGCCTTGATTCCTGGGTTCCACCACCTTCTCTAAATGTGGGGTTAGAGGTTTGTAGCAGCCTGTTAGAGGGCTGATTCACCTTCCCACTCTTGTGTAGATCCACAGGTGTTGTAGCCCTTGGTGGTTTGGATCAGTGCAAGCCATGCCAGTAAATAGTTGCTTTCCAGCATATTGACCATAAAGGGCAAGGGCTGGAGATAAAACAGAGATTGCTTCCTCAGTGCCCTCATGCATCTGCATTTGACACAAAACTGGTTGTGCCCACTGCAGTACTACCGATATATAGGCTTTTACTGGCAACAGTTCTAAAAACCTCTCAAATTTAACAGGGACCAGGATCTTTCTGCCTTGTGTTTGAAAAGGAAGATATATTAGCCTGGAGGATGATCTTCACCAGCCCTTGACTGCTCTTCTTTATGGTTTATGTCCCCCTGATCTTGTTGCAGCCCCTCTTACACTGGTTGATGTCTCGCATGAGGCTTAGTCCTCCATGCAGCATCCATGGAAAACTGCTGCTGATAGCAAAGCAAATAGGATGAGCCCTTCAGGAAAGCAGATGGGGGAACAAAGCCTGTTGTTGCCTAGGGCATTTACAGAGCAATTGGTGTATTACACTGTGAGATCTGATTTGCTTTCATTACTTGAATAACAGGCAGGAAACATGCCTATGTCAAAGAACTACTTGTTCTGCTGTGAACATTCATTACAAGTTGTCTTTTCATACACAAGCATCTTTCTTTGCCCCAGGGCCTGATATATCCAGAGGGTTAGCTTTTAGGAAATTATTTCCTTTACAGAACTAAATGAGACACTGACAATGATGCTGTCTTGTGTGGATAAGTGTGAGTGTGGCCCACCAGCTCCTGCTCCCGCTTCCTCCTCATTGAAAACTACACCAAGTGCTATAGTGTTCTTTGGCTGCTGGGACAGTTAGATGTCAGGGTTTACACTTGCTCTTATTTCCAGTTAGGTCAGGTTCCCTGGTAGTCCCTATTCACCATGAGATGGCTCATACCTGCTGCTTGTCCAGAGGGACATGACTGGAGAGACACCGGGCAAAAGGAGGGCGGGAATAGTTTGGCATCATGGTCCTGGTGCAAAGGATCAATAAAAGATTTGGTGGTCCTATAAGGTAAATGACATCAGAGGTGATGAAGTCCTGCTCACCACTGAGCTGTTCACTGGGAGCGGTCCTTGGCCTGAGCTGCCTCCAGAGCCAAGGGAGAGAGCAAGTTTAAATAGTCCAGAGCAGATTCGGAGGCAGTGGAAATGTTGGGTGTTGTGGGTGATGCAGATTGCTGTCTCCGTTGCTCCCTGAAGATGGGGATGTTCCTTTAGGTAGCACAAAAGGAATGAGAGATGTGCTATTAAAAAACTTATTGAGCCACCAGCAAAATGAATTTGCAAGCTGCTACAAGGGAACAAAGCCCTGATTTCTTTGCAGTCCCAGCTGGTGGGAATGGAAGCAGAGATGCTGCTGTTTTGGAGAGATTTGTTTCCAGTGTATTTTCCTAATCTCAACAAGGGAATGTGTATCCTTTGGTAAAACAAATCACTTCTAGAAAGACCAACTTCTGCTCAGTAATACCACCAATAAGATGTATCTAAATTTACATACTCATACTGGAACCACATCTTATTGTGGTATCTGGTCCTCTCACTCCTCTTCCCACAAGTGTGTCCTGCAGTAACTCCCTACATCCCATGCTCTCCTCTTCTGTCCCTCAGAGCCATGACAAGAGCCCTATCCAGGGAAGGAGAACCCAATGGGGCCACCACATCTCCTGAAGAGATAAAAGTGGAGGAAATGGAAGACAGAGGCCAGTGGCGGAACAAAATGGAGTTTGTGCTGTCTGTGGCTGGAGAGATCATTGGCTTGGGTAACGTGTGGAGGTTCCCATACCTCTGCTACAAGAATGGTGGTGGTGAGTTCACAGCACACGTGAGTTGTTCTAGATCTGTAGGTATGATGAGAGACATGTACATGCCTGCACCCAATTCTTCTATGTACTCCCTAAGGTACTCCTTTATTCACTCCTTCAACAAGTTAGTTCCTGCCAAAACCAGGAGGAATAAAAACTCAGGGGTGAATCTAGCTCCCCAGTGGGTACTCTTCCTTAAAGCAGCATTCTCAAATCTGGACTCCTAAAAAATTGACCCCCAGTAACAACTTAAGGCTGTTGGGCATCTCAAGAAATTATTGGTCTTCAGAAAATACCAGGTGCTGTGAGTGGTTGGAAAACCAACATCAACCTCCTCCTACATATTCTCTTTTCCTACTCCTGGTGTCAAATCCATCTTTTTCAGGCCCTTGTTACAGAGGAGGAAAGGCTTAGATAGTGCTGGTATCCTAGCCAAGTCCTGATACAATCTAGAAGATTTCTGCCTCTTCCCCTGGAGTAATTCTCACAGTGATCAAACCACTCTTAGGAAAATTCATCCCCAAAAAAGATTCATTCACCTTCCCTTTTGTTTCTTTGCATAGCTCTCCTTTTCTCTTGTACTAACATTGCAATAAGATCATTACATGGTTAAAAGTTAAAATGTCTCATAACAATAAGATGAAACGTAAGGGAATAATTGACTGTCACTAACTTCTCAGTGAATAAAAATCTAACTTTATAAAAGAAAAGGAGGAATAACAAATTACATGTCAAATACAGCAATAACTTCTCTTTTGTTCTTGTTCTCTAAAAACACCTTGAAATAATGGTCTGGGACTTGCTTCGCACCCCATCCCCCTTACTGTGAGCTTCCTTTCTCTGCAGACCATGCCCCAGAGGCCTTTCTTTTCCAAGGTGCCATGAGCTTTCATCAATAGCTGAGTAGTTCCACTGTAATTTTCCCCAGGGCTTCTAAATCCTGTCCTCTCTGCTATTGCTGGAGTTTATCCAAATTAAACAAGAGACAAGACAATACATCCTCAAAACCAGTGAGGGGCAGGATGAGAAATGGTTAAAGAAAATGGAATTAAGTTTTTCTTGAACCTGGGATGATTTTTAGCAGATCCTCCATTTTCCTTCTCTATTTTTTTTTGATGGGAGGCACCAAGAGCAAGTCAGACGGGGACAGGTTAGGAAAAACTGGAGGTGCATCTGATTGAACAGCCCATTCTGCAGTGATGCTTTGAGAGAGGAGTCATGGGTTTTGCATGGAAAATTTCTCCCTGAGCTCAGATGATATCTTTGCATAGTTTGTGCCTGTGGTACCCGGTTCATCAGTCCTTGCAATTTGTATGCTAATTAGTGTAAGTGAAAAGGCTACTTTTGTTCACTTTAAATATCTATTGAATAACATTTTTCTTTTTAATTAAACTGCTCTGGAATAGCTAAGGCTGTGATTCAGAGGGCAATGAGGCTAGGCTTGGGAAAGGTTAGGATGGGAGAGTCCTTCCCTCACAGCTTCCCACAATGCCCTTGTAGAAAGTATGCTACTGCTGTGGAAGGTACTTTTCCCTCTCCAGAGCTCTAGGGAGCCAGAAGAGTGATATAGTACAAGGCAATGTATTCCCCATGACACTCAAAGACATTCTCATCATTGGAAAAGTTCTTTAAATTGCAAAAAAGGGCATTTTCCTCCTATAAATGCTTCATCCCTGTCCCACCCTTACCCCCCAAATTTGAGACTGCTGTCCTGTCACTTTTCTCCTCCTGAACGACTGAAATGGTTATACAGCTATGAAGACAGATACCATAGAAACAATAATGCTAGTTTTCTGTAAAGCGACCAACTGCAACCTTATCTACGGCTGCACTGTCAAATTTGATCTAATTGCTCAGCCTCCTGAACTTATTATTGACTCATAAGGAAAGAGGATCTGTTTCTGGGGGCCCCACTCAAGGCTGAGGCTCCTTCAGTAGAGCAGCAAATTGCAAATTGAGGAGGGGATCACAGCTGGAGTTTCAGCTGGTAACTGCTGTGGGACAGCACACATTACGAGAGACAAGAGAATGGAGGTGCAAGAAAACCATCACTGCTCAGAGACCAAAATGGGTCAACCTCTGTGACAAATCATATCAGAGGAGAGGGTCTGGAATCTGCTGAAAGGCTCATCTGTGTGCAGGATCATAAAGCTGTCTTGCAGATTTGGCTTAGGTGTCTTGCAACACCAAAAGTAGCAGCTGCCTCTAGTTCAGGGTCTACAGTTCTCACTTCCTACCCCGCAAACCTGGACTGACCCTGAGAACCAGCCTCCTTCCCTCTGGCCCCAGGTCTCCTGCAGCTACACACAGCTGTGTTTAGGGGAAATTTGGATGTTCTTTGTTATTGTAACATTGTTGGCTTTAAAAATAAAGGCAAGTGTTCCTAGTGGCTCACAGTCACTGGAAGGAATGTCGGTGTGAGTGCCTGTGCTGGCAGGGGAGGAGAGGGCCAGGGGGGACAGTGGCTGAGAAAGGCACCCAGTCTTGGTTACAAACAACTGAGATGCTCTCCAGGCCCTGGCAAGAGAGGTGTTCATGGCCAGATTTTATTGTATGGAGTGGCAAGACAGACACAGTTGTTTCACTGAGGAAGGCAGCCACCATATCTTGTTTGGAGGGGAGCAGAAGTGTGAAAATCTACACTAAGGATGTGGAGAAAGAGAGTGAGGTGACAGAAGGAAGGTCAGCTGTGAAAATGAGATCTCAGGAGCAGTTTTGAGCAGAGCAGTGAATGTATTTGGTGTTTTGGTTTGACAGCATAACTAAAAAGGTGCAAAAAATGTTTCAGGCAGCTGAACAGAGCACTAAGCCATTTTTTCAGGGCATTAAACTTTTTTGTTATTTTTGTTTGTCTTTTCTTATGCTTAGTTTATGTTGGTCATTGTTTCTAGGAAAAAGCCTTGCTCTTTTCTCCTTCCTCTTCTATTTTGATAAGGGTTAATATGAGAGCCATTTCAGGCTGATTTCTCTTTACACATTTCTCTACATATTACCAAAAAATGGATTTTGAAGGTAGAAGTTAAATTTTTTCATTTTGAAAACGCTATTTCCATTTTTCTGGTGCAATCTGCTTTCCAAATTTGATGTGAAATATGTCTCGAGTAAATTTATATCCTGGCAAAGTTTTCACTTACCAAGAAATGTCACCAGCCTCCAGGTTTGTATCCTCTGGGCAAGTGGGAGTTTTGCTGTGACTCTCATGAAAGGCAGAACAAATGTGGTTATGTGAAACAAGGACTTATTTTGTTCATCCCATTCCTGCTGAAAGCTGGAATGAGGTCAGGAACATGAAACCGGGAGAACTTCTTCTGCACTATCTTTTTTTAGCTCCTTGCCTGGCTACTCCTTACCTCTAGGTTTTGGCCTATGCCAAATGCAGAAGTGCTGCAGTAGCACAAGACAGACCACCCTTGTATTTCTTTCTGAGAAATTATGGTGATGGAAACCTTGTTTCTTTAGCAGAGGTTGCACATTTAGTTCAGTGAAATATTTATATTTATGTAGCTGATTCCAGCTGTGGTCCCAGGTACCTGACAAGAGGTTTTAAGGATAAGGTGTTTGAAGAGGTCTCTGAGGCAGCATTTTACCCTTCTCTGCAGGAGCCTTCCTCATCCCTTACCTCATCTTCCTCTTCACCTGTGGGATCCCCCTGTTCTTCCTGGAGACGGCGCTGGGGCAGTTCACGAGCCAGGGAGGGGTGACTGCCTGGAGGAAGATCTGTCCCATCTTTGAAGGTCAGTCAAGTTACAGTATTTACTGACAACACTTTCTGACAATCAGTGACTCAAATCCTTTTTTTTTTTTTTTAAATATTATTATTCTTTTTTATTTTCTTTCTCCTTTAGTCTCCCTCCTTTCTTCTCTCTCCCAGCCTTGTTATTCCTTCTGCTGCCTGCTGTGTGTGCAGGGGCAGTTCCCTGACCCCTCTCCATGTGAGTGAGGGTGTGTGGTGCTGCCTGGGGGCTGTGCTGGTCCACCTGAACCACAGTTTCTGCTTTGAGAAGCTCAGAACCTGGGAGAGAGGAGAAGCAGGATGGCCAGCTTGAAGAAGGAGGATGGAAGTATCAATGTACAAACACCTGTGTGTAGTTCAGGACAAATAGTGAGGGGAGAAGAGATTGAGGAAACCTGTCTGGTTTATCATGCTTTTCCTGCCCTCTCCTGTGCCCAGGGCTGCTGTGGCAGCATTTGCAGGCTGGCATCCTTCAAACTGGGGGAATGAGACTGTGTGCACTGGGTCTGACAGCCCAGAGATGTGATGGAGATGAGGTTAAGCCACAGGGGTAAGAACCAGGACTTCTGGGGCCCTGGGGAAGGTTGTTTAATGGCATTAATACATTTGCGAATATAATTTCCTCAATTCTTCTGTCCAGAGGAGAGCTTATTAACCATGTTTTGCAAATGGAGAGACCTGTGCTCAGGCAGAGTGGAGCCTGGTTAGTTTGCTTGAGCGTGGGCATGCAGTGCTATTTGAAACTCCTTGGGGAGTCTGGGACCTCCTGCACTGGAGACCCCTATGCTCTGGCACAGACCTGGAGCTGGACAGCAGGGGCATCTCAAAAGACACTGACAACCAGTTTTAAATAAATGAACTGGGCCTTTCTGCTCTGATTACTGTTCTGAGATCTCAGTGAGCAATGGGCACAAGCAGGACCCAAGACCAAAGCTGAGCATGGTGTATATCAGCTGTAAGAATGTTTTTTGCCTGACACTTTCCAGAAGTAAGAGACTCAGCTGCATTTCTTTTCTTCAAAGGCTAGAGCTGTATTTTTCTGAAGAGGAGGAACTATGGTGCTGTGGCATGGTAGCCATTAGAAAATTTTTTTTTCAAATCAGCATAAGGTTTTCTGGCTGTTTCACCACTGACCTGTCTAGAGTTACCAACAATGTTTCCTGTCTGTGTGCACAGTCACAAAATCCTTCCTCATTCCCTTAGGCAGATCTTGCACTATTCTCTGGGGAGCCGTGTTGTTGGTGTTGCATCCTTCTTACCACCACAGCATGCCCAGTGTCTTTGTTTGGGGTTAAGCTTCATGTGTTGGGAATTGGTTGCCAGTCCCATCCTCATCTCCTTTGCTTTTCTTCACAGGAATTGGATATGCCTCCCAAGTCATTGTAGGATATCTGAATATCTACTACATAATCATCTTGTCCTGGGCACTCTTCTACCTGTTCAGCTCCTTCACTTCAGTGCTACCGTGGGCCAGCTGCAATAACCCCTGGAACTCAGGTACACCTTCCCTTGGTTCAGCTTCTAACTTCTTTCCAATTCCCAGAAGTTATTTGGTTTTGTTGAAAATATTTGTTTTTTTTTGAATAAGAAGCTGTCATGAGCTGGCATGTGATGTCACCAAAAAATAGGCATTTTCTGGCAAGAAGGAGAGGTGAATGGTAGAGTTTGCAAGGCAATCTAGAGTCCTCATCATGTGGCAGGATCTTTTTATTAGCTCTGGTGCAATTTTTTCTTACAGTTCCCTTACTCTGCCCCATTCCTGCGGAATTACTGGGACAGTTGCTGCTACTGCCAGTGCCTGAACAGTTTCCTCTGTGCACTCAGCTTTTGGGTAAATCAGACCAAGCCTGCATTGTAGGATTTTGGCAGTTCAGGTCTCCCAGTGAAGGAACCAGTAACACAAAACTCTAAGGGCACTGTTCTCCTGATAAATCACATCCATACAGCCTCCATACCATTACATTCACTAGGTTCTTATTGCTTTGTGCTCATAGTTCACTTAACTCTGCCCTGCAGAGAAGACCTGGCTTTGACTTTACTCAAGGTGCTTGTGCTGAGCCTGGGAAGATGTCCTTGTCAGGAATTTTTTAACACGTTGAACAGGTTTTGCTTGGCAGCAGCTTGGTTCCCTCCCTTTTTCTCTTGCATCAGATGATTAATTTCTGCAATTAGTTAAATTTCTCTACCCTGTGGGTCTTTTACTCACAGCTCACTCTGCCCTTTCATCCCAGCAGAAGTAACCAGCCTTTTAAAGAGCTGATCCAATTCCTTCAGCTTCCCCAGAATGGATTTGTTTGCAAGAAAAGCCACATATGTTCTCTTAACAGAGAGAAGCTTCCCAGCAACAGCTGGGTTTCCTTGGTTTTCCGTGGATTGTCTTTTGCTGGAAAAATGCAAGATGAGGTGCATTGGATGTGTGGCATCATCTCTGTTTTTAGTTATTTCATGCTTTGTAACAGGGTTGGGGATGGCAAAGGAGAACATGAAGGCTTCTGTGGTGTGTGCATGTATGGACAGGGAATGGTGCATAATGTGGAAATAGAATGAGACTTTCTATCCTGACTACTCCTAGTCGCTATCCCTTGATAATCTATATTTTGCAGTCATCTGTTTTCAGTTGGGCAGGGAATTGTTCTCTCATTTTCCTCTTCTCTTCCTGATGCCCCTCTGGTGACTGCTGGATTGGGATTCATACCTGGGGAGAGCCACAGTTTAATAAGACGTTTAATGAGATGCTCTATAGCACAAGATGAAGGATCTGTGTGCTGCCAGAGTGAGGGTTAGGGTCCAGAGGGGAAGGAATATCCCTCTTGGAGGAGCCCTAGAGAATTTCTCACCTCATCAGCTTCCTTTTCTTTTGGTAGATCTCTGTGTGGACATTCTGAATAGATCCAGCCTGGACAACAGGACCTTGCCTGCGAACGCCACCTCCTCAATGATTGAGTTTTGGGAGTATGTGATTGCTTTCCCTCTGTTCAGGCTCCCTCTCATCCAAAGGTTGCAGCTGCAGGACTCCCTGGGTGGGGGGCTGCGTGTCTGTAGGAGCAAGTGAGGTGCACGTGTCAGATCCAACACGGGGAGCACATGGAGCTGCCAAGGAGATGGGCACAGAGCCCAGGGTGTGAGGACTGGGCACACCCCAAAGGCAGCTCACGGTGTACCTGCCCAGGGGTGCTCATGTGCACCTTGAGGGTGTGTTCCCCTTTCTGGCACTGGGCTGCCTGGGTGAGTGTGACCATCGAGAGAGGCACCAAAAGCAGGCGAGGGCTTGCTGCAAGCAGGAGTACATGTGCTGGGTGTTGCAGGTTGGCAGGCAAGCATGAGAGGCCATGGCAGACAGAACAGTCCTCCACAGTGAAACACAGTGGGGAAAAACTGCCTTTTACCTTCTTTTGACCCAGTCCTTCTTGCTGTCTAAGGGAAGTGATCCATCAGGATGCTCAGGATCATCCCTGGAGAGCAGGGATATGAGATGCATGCATGAGATGCCAGAGAATATTTGAGGAAGGTAGAGAATTTTGAGGAATTTGCGGCTGAAGGCACTAAAATACAGTCTGAGTGAGGGGTCTTACAGCAGGCTAGATAATGTCCCAGATAGGGTCATCAGTGCAGTCTGGAGAGGTTGAAATGATGGCTGGTGCCACCTTACCACTCCACATGCTACCGAGGAAAGTCTTAGAAAGAAGAGGGCTGTCAAGGACTCAGCTTCAGCAGTTGGGTTTGGGTTTTTTCTCTGTTTCTGTCTCTTAAAGTACAATTGAAAGGGTTGACTGCCCTTTGTCTGTTGCACAGGGCACATAGAAGATGATACGTGCCCATGGTTGCAAAAAGAGTCTGCACAGTGCTGGCCCCCTTCTCCTGCTCTGCTCTTTGCACACACTCTTTAGTGAGAGCTGAGGCCCCTCTGAAACAGTTGTTTGGGTTTTCTGTAGAGAGGGTAAGGGGATGCTGAGGGAAGTGGTTTTGAGCAGAATGTGCAGAGGAGTTGTAAGTTTGGGCTTAGGCTGCTGGGAACTGCAGGAGTTGCAGTGCTGAGCTCTCATGTGGCCTACCTTCTTGATGGTGAATCTCCAAGGAAGGAGGCTGAGGGAAGGGCATGGGAATCTTAAAGATAATTTCTGCTTAAATATAGGGTGCCTGTAGCATATGGGGAGGAAGAATGGAGCCATGGGCTGATAGTGGCTTTGGTGGCCTGCTTTGGATTGAGTTGTCTCTGCTGGGGAGCTGCCAGACTCAGGGAGCAATGGGGAGCAGGTGTTGATTTTGTGTAGTGTGGGTCTGACGGGCATGGCACCATGGGTTTGGACAGTGGGAGGGTTTGGGTCAGCCACAGGACATGGTGGAGCAGAGATGAGTAGAGAGGGGAGCCTTATGCAGAGCTGGGACGATTTGCATGGCTGGGAGCCCTGGGCAGATGTGTTGTAGACAGGCTGTTAAGTCTTTGGATGGGGTAATAGGGGAAAGATCTGTATGGGTGAGTGGGGTCTGGAGTGTTAATGCTTCTCTCCCTGTCCCTGGACGCCGGCAGGAAGCGAGTGCTGGGGCTCACGGATGGTATTCACAAACTGGGCACTGTGCGCTGGGAGCTGGCTCTGTGTCTCCTGCTGGCGTGGATCATCTGCTACTTCTGCATCTGGAAAGGGGTCAAGTCCACAGGCAAAGTAGGAATGGAGATTATCCTCCCAATCCATAAGCCTCCTTGCATCCATTTTATTTCTTCCCCAATCTCTTTTTCTTCTGCATGAAGTAGAGGCAGAAGACACAGCACCAAAGTGAAACTTAAAACCTGTTGAGGCCATACTGGTGTATACCAGTTGTGTTTGAAACCTAAGAGGAAGAATAAATTAGTAGGTCCATCAGGGAGGGGAGAATGAGGAAAGAATTGGGAACTGAGGGGAGTTTTGAGGCACATTTTCACTTGCAAATGCCCACAGTGGCTGATGGATTCTCCCCAAGTGCCCTTGGGAATCATCCACTCATCAACGTGTTGTCCTGCTGTGGCTTGAGGGCGTTTTCAACAAGATCCTCTGCAGTGGCAGGCTTCCCATCTCTGGCAATTATTAAACACTTGAGCAAAACAGACAAGCTGCTGCCTGTAACCAGCTCAGAGAATAGATAATGAATCTCTCCGGCTTCTTTATCCTGCATAACATTTGGGGTGGGAGAAGTGTCCTTGTTCTCTCTTTTGTGCTCTTTCTAAATCTGCAGGTTCTTCACCACTTTCTGCATTTTGCTAATGGGGCTGGAGCCAATGCTTCCTCCTGTTTATCCTATAGAGCAGATGGACTGGTTTTCCTTTTGGAGTGAATGAGTGTTTGATGCCTTGGGCTGGGTATTAGGGATACTGCCATGGCCTTGATTTGCTCAGGACCTCTTTATTTCCTGGAGCTGCCATGAGATGGGTGGATCATTAATGATGATTAATGATTAATGATTAGCCTTGTGGGTGTCCAGGGAATGTCCCAATAGCAAAGGGAGGGAACCAACTTCTGCAACAGATTTCTTCCTTCAAATCACTGTCTACTCTTCACAAGTGTTCCCTTTCATACTTGACACCTGTGTTTCAGTGTTAAATCCTATCTGCTAACTTAAAACTGCACTGGGCACCCATTGAAACAGAATGAGATAACAGCTTGCTCCCCTGACTAGATTTTTCCCAGGTTTTGCTGATGACTGTTCTTGCTGGTGCAGACTTGTTGCCCACCATTTCTGAAGGAAGGAGATCCAGACTCCACCTTTGTGGGGAAGAGGGGATGGATGATGAATGATGGCATTTTAAACCTTGAATCTCTAATGCCCCCTAATTTGAATACCACAGTGCCATCTTCACAAGAAATCGAATCTGAGAGGCTGTGTGATCTGCATGGAAGAATAATTTAGTCACCTGAGGTTCTCTTTAGCTCTCAGCCTTCTCCACTGAATTTCTCCTTTGCATGGTTCTCCTTATGCTTCCCCAGTGTGCGTAACTTAACTGCACTAGGAGAAAGCTAAAGTATTTCAGTCAGGCTGGTTTAGCTGACTTGGTTTGGCAAAACCAGACCAGAAAGTGAGAGAAAACAGAGTGACTACATATAGTAAATGGAATGGTCTTCGAGACTACAGAAGATTTTTCCATCACAATTTTTAGGGTACAGGGCTATTAGCTATTTACCAGCCAGGTGTTATGGACAAGGTGCAACAATGAGAGGGGTTTTCTGTTCCCAAATATACTAGAGGTCAAGCAGGCCAGTTGTCTTCTTTGCAGGCTGTAATTTTGAGTATTACAGGGGAACTGTCAAAAATTTCAACTGCTTCCCTCTTTTTCTTTGCTGACAATATACTAAGACAAGCATTAGGAAAGACCCGAGGATTCTGAGTAGGTGCATAACTTTGTACAACAGCTCCAGATTAAACAGAAGGTTGTGTTTGCCTGAGAGGCTGCTCTAATCACATAACCCTGCCAGATCCTTATATTTCTGCTTCTGTGATTTAAGGAATCCAAATTTAAAGAAACCATAGTGACCCCAGGACAATAATTTAAAATAATTCCATAAAGACTCATTTTCTTTTAAAAGCCTTTTTTTTTCCCCCCTATGTTTCTCTTCCTTATGCATAAATGTTCCTTAAAACTGATTTCTGAAGGTAGATTTTAATACTTTTGCCTAAAGGAGTGTCATTCTCATTCAATCAGGGAACAGCAAAAGTACCATGTACTGTGACTTATTTGACCAATTAGCACTAAGCACAAAAAAATGTCATTTCAGGCCTGTCACTATGAATCCTTGGAGTAAACAAGCCTCCACATTACTTGGATGAATTTTAGTAATGAATAAATGTTAGGAAGTTGCAACTTGCTCGCAAATATTTTGCAACTAGAAAAAAATAATATTTTATATTAGAGAAATAGTTTTGAGATTATTAATTCTACTGTAATATTTATTTATAACAAAAAAGAAGTAAAAGTAGGTATTACAAAAATAATGGTCTACATTTTCTTTGAAGGCTTTGAGTTGCTCCCATTTTTTACCTGTGAGCTCAAAGGTATTGAAGGGATGAGAGTGATGCATGAGCACTTTTGGAAATGAGATGCCTCGTAGATGTCTCAAATTGGACAGCAAAAGTTGATATTTAATTTAGAAAGCTCTTGCTGTGCATAGGACCATTTTAATAACTCATTAAAACTCAGTGATGGGAAGAGATCTGGGTTTCTTCTGCAGCTCTCGAAAGATGAAGGGAACAGCTGCACAGCAGGGAAATTACACTGACTAGAAAGAGAAAACAAAGCACAGCAACCAGTGGCAGAGTCTTGGATGAAGAACAAAATGCAGATTAACTAAATGACCATTGAGATGTAACCTTGATTACTTTCTTTCCCATGCCTCTTCTATGTTAGCAGCAGCAGCAGCTACAGCCAACAGCAGAGTCAGGGAGGTTTGCTGGGGTGGGGGCCTGCAGATGACGTGAAGAGATGCCTGGCCCCCTCCCTGCTGACCCTCTCTCCTGTTGTTTCTCTGCCCCTGCAGGTCGTTTACTTCACTGCCACCTTCCCATATGTGATGCTCCTCATCCTGCTGGTTCGAGGGGTCATGCTGCCAGGGGCTGCTGAGGGGATCATTTTCTACCTGAAGCCAGACATCTCCAGGCTGGCAGACCCACAGGTGAGGAGTGGTGTCAGGCAAATGCTGGCCACCAGAATGTTCTCAGTGCCCTGGCCTCTGAAGCTGGGCATCTAGCTGTCATCTAGGAAAGGAGGTCAGGCAAACAGGATCCTTAAAACTTCTGAGAGGACTCTAGTTCCCTTACACAGCACATCCTTTTTGCTTGTGGTCTGCAGCATGTGGGCATATTAGATCATTTCCACTCATGGGCTCAGCAAAACCAGAAGAGTATATTTAATATTTAGCATGTAGCAGAGAGTTTTTCTGGCTGTTAAATGCAGATAATTAAGGGAGGGGTTATATAATCTATCACTTTTATTTCTTTTCTGGCCTGGTTAGCAGTTTGGCTCCATCAGGACCCTCCCAGGATGTGAGGGGTCCCTGTGCCTGCAGAAGAGACCGAAGGCAAGCATGTAACATGGGCTGTGACCAGCTGGGCTCCCTTCACTTGTCCTGGGGGCTGCTCCCACCTGCCTAGGGCAGGGGCTGGCCAAAGGGTCAATCACTGCCACCAGTCACTGGAGCTCATGGAAACCCTCAGTGAGATCCTGGTACTGAGTTGAGGCAGAAGGTAGAGCTTTAGTTCATGTGGGATGTGTGTCCATGACTGAAGGGCTCCTGTGTACATGCCTATCTGTGAGAAATCAGGATTAACTTAGGCAGCAGTGCTTGGGATGAGATTCTTTGAAGGCTGCCAAATTCCAGCTGCCTAGATGTTTGCAGCTGGGAGCTGCATAGAGGAAAAAGAGAATGACTGGTGAACCTGGACACCATCAGAAAGGTGGGCTGTTTACCTGCCTGCATAAAACTCCCAGCTCAGGGCTTTCCCTGGGACTGTGTGAGAGTAGAGTTGCAGCTCAGCCCACAGTTCAGCTCTCCATGGAGGAGAGAGCTAGAGCAGTGGTGAGAAACCCCACTCAGCTTTTCCCATGGAATGCCAGAGCAAAGGGGAACCTGTGTGTGTGACACCCCACTGGCCTGCAATCTCTCATCTCAGCAATTTTCTGCCCTTCACTGTGCACTGTGGCCTCAGAGAGGTGGAAAACTAGATCTGGGAGCAGGGAAGGGAGTGCAGAGATTGTTGATCTCACTGTCATTTGAGGTGACTCACCAGTGGCTCTGCAAGGAGATTAATCATCTGGGCCATGTAGGGACCACAGACATCTGTAGTGAGAGCTTCAGAAGGAGCCATGCTATCAGGGATACCGTCTCTACCCTGAATGCAAAGGTGTGGGGTGGAGAAATGGTGTCACCTTAAATGGAATATGAAAATATGATCTCCTCTAGAGCTTTTTCCTAAAGTGTTTCCAGTTCTATAACTCATTTTTTTCCTGATAGATATCCCAGATTCTCCATTCACTGTAGATCCACTTTCTGTATTTGTTCTCCATGACTGGAGGAGTTATTGTTGACAGGGCACAGCCATTTGTTTATTTTGTTGCCACGTCTGGAGACCACTGACCTTCTCTCTTCCAGGTCTGGATGGATGCAGGCACTCAAATCCTCTTCTCTTATGCCATCTGTGAGGGGTGCCTGACAGCTCTGGGCAGCTACAACAAATACACCAATAACTGTTACAGGTAGGAAGAGCCTGCACTCCTCATTTCCTTCTGGAAATTCTCTCAGATAGCACAGAGCTGCATCAGAGGCAGGCTCTGTCCCTGGGGGAGACCTTGGGTCATGCTGCTGTCACTAACGAGCTGCTCAGAGTGCAGAAGCTGCAGAGGATTCAGCACAGGAATGGAGAATGGCTGAGGGAAGAGAGGAGTCCAGAAAATGGCTTTAATAGTGCCCTGCTGCATGAGTCAGTGTGGAAATGAGAGACTGGAGGAGGGGGAGGAATGAAAATGGAGAGTGTCTCAAGCGACTGTGTAGACAGCACACTCTATTTTGACAGAATGAGTAGGTAGGGGTGACATGGCCAGCTCTGCCATCACTTGCTAGGCAGGGGAGATGGTACAAAGATGATGGGGGCCTCCTGTCTCCAGTGCTTTACTATCAGAGTAATATACTGCCACTGGCCTTTTGATCCTATCAAGGAAATTAATCAAGTCTGTCTGGCCTTCTCCTTGCCCTTGGATTACAGATCTGTTTTATCCATGGCCTGACACGGAGCTCAGCGGGGCCATCAGGACCATTTTTGACACCCTCTACAGAACCCTGAGAAGCAGGGATTTTGCTGTGCTTTCACATATTGCTCCAGCACAGACTGTAAAATAGAACTGTGCTTGGGAGTCAACAATCATCTCTCCTGTTCTCCGATAGGTGCTGCAATGGCTTTTGGTTGGGCAGTTAATACTTTCTCCTGGCTCTCCCAAAATATTTCAGTCACCAATGAAGTGGTTTGCTGACACCTTCCTCTAATTCCTAAGGTGCCTTGTGCTGGCAGCTTACCTCTGGGTGTCCCAAATGTGTCCACAGTGCCTGCACCATGGCAGCTGATGCTGTGGGTCAGCTCTGGCAGCTGCCCAGGCCGGATCCAGGAGTGTGGGGCTCCCAGCCGAGCCAGCTCAGAGTGGTGCCCAATTTTCACAAGGACCAAGAGCTCAGAAGTTTCAGGATAAGTAGCATAGCACAACCCAACCTCCATCTGATCATAGCTAATAAAGACAGTGTAGACACTGCCCTTGTCAGTGAGGATTTTTATTGTCCTATTACCCTCATTTTACTAGACCTGCTGAACCTGTATGTCTTCATGCTTTCAGATACTCCTCTTTCTTGACTATGTTTCCTTTTGCAACCTCTTTCCTCTTCTAATTTTCTGTTTTCCTCATTTTCTCTGTTGTTTTTCCTATTCTCTAGACTCTTGTCATTTTTTTTTATTATGTGCTGTGTGGTTGTGCCCTATTCCCCCACTGTGCCATGTGTAGTCCTGTAGCTCTTGAACTCTTGGTTCTGCTCTGAGTGTCTTATTTCTGAAGGGGATCAAGAACAACATTCTGTTTCTTGATAGTGCTGTCCAGCTAGGGAAGCTGAGCACAGACATGATCCTAAGTGGATCCATTCTGCAGCAGGAAACCCCCATTTCTCTCTGGTCTCCTTTCTGCAGGGACTGCATCCTGCTCTGCTCCCTGAACAGTGCCACCAGCTTTGTTGCTGGCTTTGCCATTTTCTCTGTGCTGGGCTTCATGGCTCGAGAGCAGGGAGTGCCTATTTCAGAAGTGGCTGAATCAGGTAAGTTTCTCTGGGAGACTTCAGAGCCAAGGGAAAACAAACAGCCTGAAGGGGAGGGCACTCTTCCAAGGTGAAACCCAGGATGTTCTCTACATCCTCTATTACTATGGGTGCCTGCAGTGGTCTGCAGGACCAGTACTCCTCAACACAGCTTTCAGCCGTGGGTGGTCAAGGAGCACACATGGTCATCCTGTGGTCTGTTGGCAGGTCCTGGCCTGGCTTTCATAGCGTATCCAACAGCAGTAACAATGATGCCTGTGTCTCAGCTCTGGTCCTGCCTCTTCTTCCTCATGTTGATCTTCTTGGGACTGGACAGCCAGGTACAACACCCCCGTCATCTCACCTAACATGCCTGTCCCTACCCTGAGCATTGCCCACGGTCAATGGAAAGAATAAGGTGGGTCTGTGCTTTGCTGGTACCTTAAATAGGTTCTCAACATTGCATGCAGCACTTTCACACACTGTGGGAGCTCAGAGCCAGGGCCAGTGGCAGGCCAGTGGCTATATGGGCTAGCATCTCTGCTGGCATCCTCTCCCTGTGTGTGTGTGAGGATGCCCCAGCTACATCCCTTCAAAACTGCAGAGCGAGGCAGAGCACAGAGCAGGACAGCCTGGGACAGGGAATTGGGCTGTTTCTTCCCAGCTGCATCCCACCAAAGCAATCCCTCTGTCCTCTTCTCAATGGTGTGCCTATGTCTTACATCCCATATCCCTGTTATATACCAGAAACAAACCCTGCAGAGTGCAGTGTGAAACTGCTGCTGGCACGAGGGGAGCAGAGGGTGTCCTGCATGTCCACCAGGCAGGTGTTTGGCTCAGGCTCTGCTCTATTATACCCCAGCCCTTGTGCCTGGATAATCAGGCCTTAATCTGATAATAGGCCTTAATCTGTGAAATCTTCTGTTTCTGCTGGCCTTTGGTAGAAGCAAGACAGATTAAAAGAAAAAAATGAAAAAATAAGGATTTGGTGGGTGGGAAGACAAAAAGGACAGTGAGGGGAAGTGCGTGCTTGGGGAAGGAGAGAGGCTGATTTCTCGGACCTGTTTTCTTCTGCAGTTTGTCTGTGTGGAAAGCATGGTGACAGCTATTATTGACATGTTCCCAGGAGTGTTTCGGAAGAGAGGGCGTCGGGAGTTGCTGATCCTGGCCATTGCAGTCATAGGCTACTTGCTGGGCTTATTGCTGGTCACTGAGGTGAGCAAGGAGTACAGGAGCAAGGAGCAAGGGTTGTACAGCTGAGCACCAAACCCCCTGCTACACAGTGCTGGAGGTCTGGGCAGAGACAGCAAACTTGTCTTCAGTGCTGTTGATTGTCTTTCATTTCTAATCCATTAGCTGATGTCTCTCACAGCCAGTGCTGCTTTGACCCTGTGTGACACTGGTGCACTCACTATCACTGAGCCTTCCAGAGATCCTGGTCCCACAGCCCAGAAAGGCTGCCTGACACATGGCTTTGTGCAAATACCAGACCTGGGAGCTAAAACAAGCCGAGCTGTTTGAAAACAAGCTCTTCTGAGGGCAGTGATCATTTGCTGGCTGCTTTCCACACAAAGCAGAGCAGCAGGAGAGGAGCCTGGGGGTAATGGCTGTGCCATAACCCTGCTGGAGCCCGTGGGAAGCCTGTGATCCCTGGACCAGCAAGAGCAGAACTGTGCTGGTGTGATGCCATGCACACAGTGTTTGCACTGCTCTGCAGCTAACAGCTGCACCTCTTCGTGCATGGTGCTGTGCTCTGTGTGTACCACAAGCTTGGGTGGGGGCTTAGCACTCCTGTGCTGTCTCCATGAGCTCTGAAGAGACAGCTAATTCCTGTTAAACCCCCGAGGCACAGATGAATGATCCTCCAGCAGGATCCTGGCTAAGGATCTGCTGAAGGCAACACCTACCTGTCAGCTTGAGTAGCACTGTGTCTATGGGACTTCAGCATTATGTGAAAGGATCTGCTTGATGTAGAGAGGCTCTGTCTTGGAGAAATCACATGAAAATCATCCTGTGCAGGATGTACAGGCCTGTGCAGGTAGCTGATGACAACTCTGCAGGGCTCAGCTCAAAGTTAGAAGCAGCAGGAAAGCCACATGCCTTTGCCATTGCAGAGCTTGGAACTTGTGCTGTATGTAAGGTTGGATGAAGGTAAAACAAGGTATCTTGAATGTCCTTGCTCAAGATCACAATTTTCTGGGTGCAAAGTTCTGCACTGCTACTTGGTATTTCAAAAATGATTCTGGGAACTTCCTAACTGTTTTAAAACAACCAAGAAAACCAGCTCCTGCTGTTATGCACATAGAAGCCAGCCTAGCCCAGCAGTATCATCAAATGGGTGTGAAAAACTCTCCTGCCACCAGGCTTGACTGTGTTTTTGGAACAGGTTGAGGGCAGCCCCAAGAGAAGGCTCTTCTTGCACCTGTTCTAGGTTGAGTGTTTCTGCTGCTATTCTTTTGCTTGCCCCACTAATTTTCCCCTGACATGGAACAGTCTTGCAATGGCTCTGTTTTCTCTACCTCTTCAACAGGGCGGCATGTACATCTTCCAGCTCTTTGACTACTATGCTGCCAGTGGCACATGCCTGCTCTTCCTGGCTATTTTTGAAGTCATCTGCATAGGATGGGTGTATGGTAAGTGGAGGACAAAAACCTGTCTTGTTCTTTATCAAGGCAAGAATGAGGGGGTTGAGAAGTGAGAGTCTATAGAAAAGATCCTCAGGAGGCAAAGAAGTGCTGTAATTATGTTCTTTCTTGTCTAGTTTTCACTGTGTTTCCTTGCAACATTTCTTAATTGCTCCACATTTAGTCTAAGAGTGTTTGTTCCTTCTCTGTAGGTGCCTCATATTGAACTACCTTGTTGTTTTTTCCATCTGCCCTTTGAATTAGAAAATCAGCTATAGAGGAGTGACTGCTGTTCTTTGGTGTCTGTCCCTGTCTGTTTACCATTGCGCATTTAGTTTAGTCCTGCCAGTTAATTTAACACAAAATTCTGGGATGCAAACTTGTTATGTGTTACTTCTGCGATGATTCCTGCTTCCTATTTACCCAGGCTGTGATGGCACTCAGAAAATAAATAGGAGCGACTGCTTTGGCTCTCAGTGAAGTCTGTAACTAAACTACTCAAGAGCAGGAGAAAACTAAGCTTCATAAAGTATCAGGAGGAAAGCAACTGCATGTTAGTCTGTGCAGTAAGAAAAGTCTCTTCTGATATCCTATGGGAGATCTCTTCCTGACCACAAAGGCTTTGGTTCTTCTCCCTGAAGCTTGTGTCAAGGCTGATGGTTTTTGGGCAAAGTGTCTTGTGTGTGATGCAGAGCAGCTGCTCCCTCTCTTTGCTTCATGGAACTACATGAGCCTCCTACCTGTAAGGATTGTGCACAGCTGTAGTAGATGACAGCTTAGACCAGACCTCAACATCCCACAGTCACACATCTGCTGGTCCCAACTACTTCAAACAGCACTGCCATAATAACCTCAGGGAAAGAATGCAAACATAGCATCATGTTGGGTCTCAGTGGTCAGGAGTGGATGCTCATGAAGGAATACAATAGAAGAAAAATTAGGAGTGGTACTTTCTGTGAATGTTCTTCAAGGTTTTCACGATTTATAATAGAACCATAGAATTGGTTGGTTTGGAAGAAACCTTTAAAGGTCATCTAGTCCATCCTCTTGGCCACTTTCCACTTGACCAGGTTGCTCAAAGTCCTGTCCAACCTAGCCTTGAACATTTGCAATGGTAGTGTATTCACAGCCTCTCTGGGCAACCAGTTCCACTGTCTCAGGATCTTCAGAGTCAAAAATTTCTGTCTTGTATCCACTCTAAACCTCTCTTCTTTCAATTTACAACTGTTAGCCCTTGTCACATCACTACAAGCCCCCTTTATATATTAAAAGGCTGCAACAAGGTCTTCTTGAAGATTTCTTTTTTTCCAGGCTGGACAGCCCAAACTCTCTCAGTCTGTCTTCACAGGACAGGTGCTTCAGTCCTCTCTTAGTTTTCGTGGTCTTCCTCTGGACCCACAGCTACATGTCTTCTTCTGGGGCTCCTAGAACCAGATGCAATACTCAACTTGTTGCCCAGGAGTTTCCAGTGACAGAAGTGAAATCTATTTATTTATTTTCTGTTATTTTTCCCCAGTTGACTTAGCTAATCATTTGTTATCCACAAAATACTGCAGCAAGGAGTTCCATGGCTTTCTCAGGTGTGAGGAGTCAGTCTCTTTTCCTTGTTGTGATTCTATCACCTGTCAATTTCATGTAGTGCCAGCTTTGCCTTATGTGCAGTCCATCCCTCTGTGCTCCTTTTGGTGCTTATGGTTTTATAGAGGTTGCATTGGCTGTAGTGCAGTTGCTGATGAAGGACTTACTAGTTTCTCCAAATGCTTTATGTATAGCAGGAGCCAATTGCTATTTTGGCTAAACTCCTCTCTTACTGAAAGCATAACCAGTCCAGATGCATGGTCTTGGGCTCCAGAGAATGCAAGAGAAGCAGATGTGTAAGAAAGATTTATTTTAGAAAGATGTCCTTCAACAGAAGCTCACCTTACAGCTTGCAGTAACACACCCTGGCCACTTTTTAATTTTGAGTCACCTTCTGCCCAGTCCTTTTGGGATTTAAAGGGATGTGGAGATCCCCATCCATCTGTGGCAGGATGGGGATCACCATTCTGGGTTAATGCCATTTTTACAGTCACACAGACTACATGCCTTTTCTGATGACCCATGGATAGGAGCAATGGTAGGCAAGTAACAGGAGAGGTGATGCTGCCCCAGCAGCCTCAAAGGGAGATGGAGTAGCTGGGGACAGAGAAATGGCCCTTTTCCTCAATACCATGGGTTCATTTGTGCCACTCCATACAGTATGATTTTGCCCACTTGATGTTCTGCTTTGCATCCATTGGGATGATTCTGGTCCAAAATGTAGTCAGAGGGCCAAGGTGAGGTGTTACAGTGGGGGAAAAAGTGACTAGTGCTGATTAAAGAGGTTTTTTCCCCAGCCTTGCAATTGGCAGAGCTGAGCCTCTTGCTTACACTGTGAAGAATTACATTTCTGCTAACACAAATATGTGTTCTGAGTTTCCCCTCTCCCAGCACATACTCCAACCACCCACCACTTGGCAGCTTCCCCTGCTGCCAGGCAGCTGCTCTCCCAGAGACCTGAGGATTTCCTTCGTACTGCTCCCTGCCTGGGGAAGGATTGCACAGCTTTGGATTTGAGGATCATGTTCCCTAGAGGAGAGTGCTTTAGGGATTCTGGTGTCCCCATGCCTCTTCTCTGCTCTCCTTCCACTTTGGGACAGGCAGCCTTTCTATAAGCAGGCATGGGCTTTGAATACTGAGATTCACAATATGGTGCCACTGAAATGTGCTGCAGAGCATGTTTTCCAGGCAGTCACAGCATGCACATTATGATTAGCTGTTCCAAGAGAAAGCAAGGGCCTCCATCACTACAGGAGAGCCAGGGCTGAAATCAGCAGGACTCTTTACACAGATAAAGCAAACTGATGCCAGAGGGTACCTGGGTGGCCCTGGGGTAAACCCATGTTGTGCAGCGATAAATCTCTCTCTGATTCTGTTGCTCACATGCAGAGTGACTACCAGCATGGCATGGCAGCCTCCTCCTGCCTGGATCCTGCCTGTTGGGCTTGTTCTGTGTGTGCTGAATGCTCTCAGAGGCACTGGCTATGAGCAACCTTACGTGCTTCTGTATGGGCCTTAAAGGGCCTGCTCTGTGTGCCTGGTACCCAGAGGATGTGCAGTTGTGGTGCCACCACAGCTCCATTGCTGGCTCTTTGCACAGGCTTGGTGCAGGTGTTGATGCTGCAGGTTTGAGACAGAGAGGGAGCAGATACAAGCTTGGTACTGTGGTGTGGAGCCACAGTCATCACCTATTGCAATGTTGTGGGTAGAATTTGATATAGATGAATGCAAATAAATGTAACTTGGGAGAAAAAAAAAGGGAGAGATTTTTTTTTAATAGATTCCAAACTAGCAGAACTGTGAAGCTCAACTGTTTTTTGAATATGGTAAAAATAAAATTAAATCTTTGTCCCTTTTAATTTAGGTCTCATTGCTGTTTTTATAAGCTGCGTAAAATGAGAAGAGCTCTGTAAGGACAAGAGATAAGAATGTAAGCAAATCTCTAGTTAGGTTAGTGTGAAATTTATTCCTGTGAATTTACATGGCTAAATGATTTGTCAGAGGAGCACACAACCACTTCGAAGGTATTTGGGATTGATCAGCACAAGGGAAGTGGTACAAGCATTTAAGGTTAACCATCCAGTGACTGCATCTCATTCTTCCTTGTCTTGGAATATTGGAAGTAAAAGCAAACATCTTTGTTCACTCCAACAAAAATCTCTTTGGAGAGGTTTTTATGGTTTTCTCTGCAGGAGCTTTATCTAATCCTTCTGATGTGCTGGGAAGGAAGGGCACATTGCTCCAGTATGTGTCCTCCAGCTTCTAATTTGCTCACAAAGTCGGTGTTGAGTAGTTGAACTGATGATTTCTTAAGCTTGATTACTTTTTCATCTGCCTGTGAAATGTAGAATATGTAAAACCTCCTGTTCATATGCTCTCTGAGGATGTTCTTGTCAGTCCCCATTGTGTATCATCACATCACCCACTGACTGCCACAGTGGCCATGGAAATTTAGGACCTGGTGGATGCTCTACAGAGAAAAGGGACAAGGACAGGTGGAGGCACATTGTAATTAACAAAAGTTGTGGGTTTTTTTCTTGTTGGACAATGGATGGATGGATGGATGGATGGATGTGTGTGTGTTCTTCCTTTTGTTTGGCATTTTTGTATTTCTTTAATTGATATGTCTCTTTGACTAGATCCTAGATCCAAATTGGCAGAGAAACTTGATCTGCCATGAAATTGTATTATGAATTAATTTATCTGTCATATATCTGACATGACAGTGTGTTTCTGTGGAAGATACTGTGCCGTGCTCATACTCTAAACTGCAATTCACATGATCTATAGCTCTCTTTTCTTTTTTTTCACCCTGTGGAATATTTTGGCTTTTTGGCAAAATTAATTTTATATACCAACTCCTTTCATCCCTTATATATTTTCAGAAATGCTATCTGAATCCTCATGATGGTTACAGCTTGTAAGTTCTCTGGTATAGGCTGGGCTCCCACACAATATATATGCATGTCCCTTGATATACCCTAGCTTGTTGGCTTTGCTTGAGGCTACTTGTTAACTTGCCAACTCAACACCAAGAGGTCTTCAAAACACTATTATCCTCCCCCTCCCCCCAAATACTTCAAAAAGCTGGGTTTAAAAGAGATTTTCTGCAAGCATTAGTAATGGGATATAGAAAATAATACAAAGAATTGCAAAAAAAAAAGAGCATACATAATGTGCTTTTGTAGAACTACTATATTTAAGGAAAACATAATATGAGAATTTAATTCTGAGACATAAAAACCACAAACCAAAATAAAAATCACCAAACCCCAAGCACTCAAATATGTGGCCAGTTCTCTAGGCACATGTTTTACCTAGTCCAGCACTCTGGTGTTGAGATATAAAGAAGCAAATTCTTATCACATTTGCAACTGGGAACTGGGGCCTGACCATGAGATCACAGATTGATGAACATCCCCAAAAGCAGAATCCTTTAAGCACCAAGACAGCGCTTTAATAAAGCAAATACAGTATTATTTCATCCCGGAGGTGGTTAACTGGTAACCTTTTTTCTAGACAGACTAGCTCACTTTTTTTTTGGTCTACTATTGTTGTCTTATTTTGCCTGAGGCAGTCTGTTGTATCTGGTCACTTTTGGTTAGAAAGGCGCTAGGGCATGTTATAAATGACTTTTTGATTTTTCTTAATTTTACCTCTCTTTCTGGCCAATATTAAGCTCCCAATACTTGAAGACATCCCAGAGTTTATTGCAAGGTCTGCTGAAATCTATCTGCATTTTGTTGTCTCCTCTATGCCGTTGCATAAGTTTGCTCTTTGTACTTTGGGTTGGGTAGAGTCAGTGGTTAGAGTCTGGCCAGTGGCAGGACTTTTAGGTGCTTTTCTGAAGTGTATCCATTCCAGGGCACCATGAGATTTAGGTGAGTCCCACACTGTGAACAAAACAATCCAGTAAGTGAAACTAATGAGAAGAGAAGGAAGAGATCAGACCCCACCAGACAGCTCTCACTAGACAGTACAGCAGCACTTGCAGATGGAAGGTTTGGTTTTCAGAAGAGTTTTAATTGCCAGGTTTTCTGAGTTTATGTCAATAATAAAATATTCTGTGGAAGACAGGCTCTAGAGATGACAGGGGTCCTGCCCAACTCAGTGGTGATTCTTGACATGACTTCCTTGGTATACCAGCATGTTTATTTACAAAGAGAAGGTTTTGTTAGGTGTTCCCCACTCTCTTTGTTCCTTTTAGCACTCTGCACTCACATAATCCCATATGCTTAATCTGCAAGAGCTTTCCCTTGCTGCTCTGTAAACCAGGCACCTCTTTTCCCTGTGCAGTTCTTACCAGTGCATGGCTGCCTCCTCTCACAGCTGCTACTGTCTGAGGGACTATGCTTTTCTTCAGTGTCAATATTTCTGATACTTCTGAGTGAAATTAAACCCCTCCATCTCTATTTAGCCACAGATGGGCCTTTTCAATGCCAGAAAACCCCATCCCTTGCTGCTCTATTATTAAGATAGCCATGTTTTCACCAGAAGTAAACACCAAGGATAAAGGAAGTTTGGGATCTGATGTGAATAGTGGTTGAAGAAAACAAAAACCCATCTGACTTATGACTTTGTCTCTGTACTGGTTGGTGGCCAAGGTGCCAACCGTTTTTATGACAACATTGAGGACATGATTGGTTACCGGCCGTGGCCCTTGATCAAGATATGCTGGCTGGTGTTCACCCCAGGTCTGTGCTTGGTAAGTGCAATTATGACATCATGACATATCACTCTGGGTCCCCAAATTCTCAGTGGAAAAGGCTGATTTATCTCCAAGGTGCTGCTGTAAATTTTTCAAACTGTATGGAGAAGCAGAAGCTTGTCCATAGCTGAGGTAGCTATTTATATCCTTTGTAAAGCCTTATATTTTGCCTGGAAAATTAATTGAGCCTGAACATCCAATTGTTTATTGTGAAGGCAAAAGGAAATGTGTCCTCAAAGCCTGGAGAGGTTTGGTCAAATTACCTATGAATAGAAAACCAGTGAAAATTATCCTGTTCTGAAATACTTGCTTCAGTCTGTGTTCCTGGGACTGCCCATGGTTTAGAAGTATCTTTCTATAGCCATTTGCTTTCTGTGTTATAAAATCTCTTCCAAAACATCTGTGACTGTGTTTAAATAAAATGCACCCAAATTCAGGCCAGTTCTTGCCTGTTTTGAATTTATGTCCAGTCTTGTTCCGCTGACTTTTACATGCTTTCTCATGCTTTTGCATCTGATGTTGAGAGTTGTTTTCTTTGACCTCAATGGGAACACAGATGAGATCTATAGTTACAACTTACAAAAGATTCCTAGTCCTTTGTCCCCAGGCTTCAGCAGGACTTGAACATCTGGGAAATTTCAAACCAGCCCAAATTGTCAGAGAGCTTTGTAGCTAGAGAGCCCCAGGAGGGCTAAATCTGTGCCTGTGTGGCTTCTCCAGAGTGTTTCTGGCAGGCAGAACAACAATTCTTGTTTTTGATATGAATAAATTGCTGTCTTAATGTTGCTGGACCCTCAAAGCTGCTGCCAACTTTGCTTATGACTCTTCAGAAGCCTGAAGGCTTTAGGCCGCCAAGATGCCTGGCCCTGGCTCTGAGAACTCTTTGTTCAGCCAGCACTCACCAGGCTCTGCTCACTGCAGCCAGCAAGGTCCCTGCTGGCTCGTGCAGGACAGAACACCCATTGCCACCCTTGCAGAGCAGCCAGTCCTTGCAGGGTGGCCTTGGCTGCCCCTTGGCTTTCCTTATGTTTGTGTTTTCTGCTCCCCAGGGTGTCTTCCTGTTTTCCCTGATCAAGTACACACCCTTGAAATACAACAATTCCTACAAGTACCCACCCTGGGGCTACATGCTAGGCTGGCTGATGGCACTCTCCTCCATGGTCTGTATTCCTCTCTATGCCATCTTCATCCTCCTGAAAACCAAAGGACCCCTGAAACAGGTACCTGGGATTGTGGTCACTGGGCGTGTTGCTGTTGCTCCTCCAGATGGTTCAGGGTGGGCCCCAGGGAGGAGGTACATGGCACATTTCTCCTCTGAGAAGGCAAGGGCTGGTAAGAGTCACCCTTCCCCAGAATGGTCTGCAGCTCTTGTTGGCAGGGTCTCAGCACAGCTCCCAGGCTGATCATCAAATGTCCAGTCTTCCATGTGGTGTTGCACCATCATGCTCGATGATCATGCAATATATAGACATATATGTAGCATATATGCAGTAGATACCAATGCAAACCAAGTGCAAAACCAAGATCTGTTTTGCCTTTACTTCTTGTCCCTTGTAGTCCTGGGTCATTGCCATGTTCTTTTAAAAAAAGAAATGACCTATAGTTATTAAAGAGGACCTGCTCACAGAGCTGTAAAGGCCTACCCTGTGCCATGCCTGAGCCTGTCCTCTTTCACTGTAGACATCTTCGTCCTTGTCCTAGGAAGAGCTCTATCTAGGGAAGTGGAATCATGGAGATGACACTTCACCTGACCCTTGAAGGAAGGTCTGAGTGATGTACAGTACATCTAAATTTCTACACAATTTCTCTACAGCTCCTTCCCCATCCCCACTGGGGCTGGTTGGAGGGTGGGGTGGGCAGAGGGAGCAGGAACAGGAGCATCCCTGTGGCTGTGGTGTAGGTGTGACAGCCACATTGTGGGCTCATGGAGAGGAGGACCCTGCGTTGCCAACACATCCAGCGATGAGCTGGGTACAGGAAGTCTTTATTTGGTCCATTGTCTCAGGGAAGGTGAATCCGTGGCTGACATGTCTGACTCCCCACAGCTCAGAAGCTTTTGATGTCTAAATGAAGGCTTGGAGCTGCCAGAGAAGTAATTACCTACATGTCCTGCCTGTTAAACAAGCAATATCTATCACCAGGGGTAAACTGCTTCAAGCCCTTGGACTGAAATGCTGCTGGGAATAGTGTTAATGCTCATTATAGAGCACACCTGAGGATTGGCCCATTTCAGATTGAGCGGTTTTCTGTTTGTCCTGGTTTACATGATATTAATTGAAATTTTCCTCAGTTACATTAGCATGAAGAAATTTCCAAGGATGTGGTTTAGGTGTAGGGGAAGCAATTGGCTGCTAAACCTGATTTGATTCAGGACAGAATCAAAGCCAGCCATTAAATACCTTCTAGGGTAGTTGCACCTGTTTTTAAAACAAAATTTCTTAAAATATATCTGTTCCCTTTTTCTAGTTACACCCCAGAATTGTAGTGAATTAATTTCCTGACACAAATTTTCAGGAACAGTCGTTGAATATTGCAAACCATTCACTGAAAGTGAATTCATTACAAGTTTGTAATTGGTAATCATGATCAGTCACTGCTACAAACAGATACTTCTCGTTACACTTGACTGACCAAGAAACAAAAATGTTGTTTCCTAATGTCTCTGATTAAGAGACCTCAAGCTCCAAAGACTAAAAACTCACAATGAAGTACCCACAGAGCAGCTGCAGACCAAGGTTAGTTTTGGAAATCATGGGGCAAAGAGTTTTGAATAAATTGACAAAATCTGTGATTCTGGCAGGCACTTTGCAAGGAGTGGGAGCACTAAAATTAATCCAACGAGTCATGGATTAATTGCCTGCCCTGCTTGTGATGCACTCTTCACGGGAGCGAGCATGCACTGTCCTGAACAGCTTGTGACAGAAAAAGTTAGTAACAGTGAAAGTCAGGTTTCAGCTGGGAAATGATTAAGCTGGCAGGTAGCTGCAGGATGGAAAGGGAAAGGAAACCAGGAGCTTAGGAAGTCATGTAGCACCAGTGAGACTTAAAAAATGGGATGAAAAAGACCAGAAATTGACTGCAGAGTCCCTGTGAGCCAGCACTTTTTGCTGAAGAGCTCAAAGATGTTTTTGTTTTTTAAGAATATACTCCTCTAAGTTGTCCCAACACTGCATAGATGTGTGTGGAAAAGCCTGTAGCACCCTGCCCTGCACAGGACAGAGGGAGCTAAGGGCAGGCAGCTGCCTCTCAACCCCTGCCTTCACCATCACAGTCTGGCTGACTGGAAGAGGGGAGCTGAGGATGGTTTGGGGCAGAAACCAGTCTGCAGAGGGACTGCTTTACCTGGGAAATGCCACTGAGGTAGGTATTGCCTACCACCCTGTTTTGGATCATAGCAGGAGATGCCCAGCATCTGATGATCAGCCCATTTGAAATTCTTCTCAGCTCCTATGAAAATCAATGGAAAGCTACTTGGTAGAGGAAAAATAAAGGTTTTATTGTGTTTTTGTCCATTGTCACAGAAAATGTCTGTGGTGCTAATTGTTGGCATCCTCCCTCACTGTAGCAGGTCTGTGAGAAGTGCAGTACATCAGATTATCAGTCCACAGCCCAGATTTGAGCACAGAGACAGAATAATTGTCACTGAGAACAGCTGAAGCTAACCTGCTCTCCTCCTGTTTCATGAGAACAAGAGGGAGCTGGGACGTGTGCTGTCTAGGTGTCTTTGCCCCCAGCAATGGTTGTGGATCACAATTGGCTGTCAGTTTGCTCATCAGCTTAATTAACAGCAACTTCCTCTCTGCAGCGACTGATGCAGCTGATTTCCCCAGCGGAGGATCTACCACAGCCAAAGAAGAAGCACGTGGCGAGGCCGTCCGATCTGAGGTGTGAGGGATGGTCTCCTCCAACCCAGGAGCTGCTCAGCATCACAGAGAGAGAAACCCACTTCTAAGGCACCTGGGATGTTTCCTCCATAACCCAGACTGATTTGCTCTCTCCTTCCCAAAGTGGTTTCTTTTCCCTTCTCTTCTTCATGTCTGTGATGGAAGCATCTGGGACAATTCCTCTCCATCCAACCAGCTGGTGGCACCCACTGGCAACAGCATTTCTTTTACACCCTGGGGACAACTCTTTCTGCCAGCAGCTGTGAAGACTGCAGCACGCTTTTGTCAGAAGTGCTCTTCATTACTGATCTTGGTTGGGAAGAGAAAAACAACATTGTAGGAAAAAAAGGAAAAAAAGTGCATTGGTGTTGGGAGGAGGAAAAGAAACCACAGTGGTGAGGGTGGTGAGAGAGAGCAGAGATTAAAGGTGTGAAGGAGCCAAGTTAGGGATGCAAAAGCAGGAAATGATGGGGTGCTGGCATGGGAAATAAGTATGTTGGTTCAGAAGTACATAAGAAGCTGGAGGATGACAAAGAAAAGTGCATTACTAGGTCACCTCTGTACAAGGGAGAGAGAGCCAGGAATGTATCATAGCCAATGACAAAAGGAGGCTGCACTGTCAGTAGTTACAGCTTCAGCTGTCGCTGGAAGGGAAAGGAGTGACAGGGTGCTCGATGCAATCGTAGTTGTTGATGATGGATCTCAAAGCAGTCTCAGTCTGGAAAAGGGGGTGAGGAATGACTATCTAAGGGGACTTGCTCTTGGTCAAAACTACACGGCCCAGTGAAAACGCATCCAAGAGTGAAACTGATGAACATTTGACAATTCTTTCAGAAAATTCATGGAGTGTAGGAAAAGTCTCAGAGCAGCTGGTAAGAAAAAGAAAAAGAGCTTCAGCACAGCTGGGAAAATGAGACCCTGAGGACTGCACGCCCACAAATTTAACTGCACTGCTGGGGCATTTTGTTGAGGAATTATAGAAGGAGTTGATGGGCCTGATCCTGTGCTGCAGAGTAGCTTTGGGAAGAGGGTGGGAGAATGATTGCACTTCCTTGGCTTTGCTGTGGATCACTGCTCAGGGGATAAGGAAGGCATAATCAGGTGCAATAATCATCAGCTCAGGCGAGATAAAGCAAAATAAATAGGTAATATGGGTTCATTGGAAGCAGATTGTGTCAAATTAAAGGTTGGTTGTTGCCAGGGTAGTCAAAAATGTGAGGCACTGGGTGGGAGGAAATGTGCTCTGCTGCCGGGTTTGGTGCAGTGCCAGATGACTCTGTCCTGTGGAGGCTGGGGCTGTGAAGATCCCTGCCAAATCCTGCTTCAATGCCTATCAAAAATTCACAGTTAAACCCACCAGAAATGCCAGTGGCAGGACGCACCCAGGAGCTTTGCTGTGGACAAGGGTACATGCACTGGTGCTGCAATATTGGCACATCCAACCACGCCAGAGAATGGCCATCAGAATGAATCACAGATGCCACAGCCTCCTTTCCCTTGTTCCTTGTTCCAAGTAATTGCTTTTCCCTGTGCTGTGTGGAGATAAACGACCGGCACCAAAAGTGAGCGCAGAAATCAGGCCTCATCTGTGCAGCTCAGTACCTATTCCAATTGCTATGGGAACCTTATCTGCTGCAGTTTCCTCTGAGCTTAACTGGAGAATTAGCATAGGACAATCTTTTCCCCATTTAATTTCCTTTCCCTTAAAACTAAAAACTACAAACTGCTGGTGAAATGAACACTGAAAGTCAAGTATCAGAATTTGTACCTCTCTGGCACATTATCATTTAAGATGTTTTACTGTGGAAGATGGAGAAGGCTGGCAAACCTCATTCACATTCCCTGCAAAGAACTGCAGCACCATATAAGACATCATTTATTGTATTTTTATTTTTTAAAGAGCTGAATGTCATGCTGCAAATAGCTGTGGAAAGAGCTTAGCACCCAGAGGCTTGAATTCAGGCCTCATGGTAAGCAGTTCGGTGATTTTTCCTCTCCCTCCCACCAATGTTCTTCGTAATTTGAAGGGGGAAGCAGCTCCCCCCAATCTTGATTCCTGTACAATCCTTGGTAGGACATTTAGCCCCTCTGCTCCTGCTGCCATGCCTTCAAGATGTGAGGTAGTGTCGTGCTGTCAGAGAAGTCATGGAGATCTGTTCACTATTTCTGAGGCAGTAGAGTAACACTGAAAAAATCCTAGATAGAAACAAGTAACTCTTCAGTTTGGAACACAAATGTGGTGCTGTGTTATTGACTGCATGAACTTATTCCTGTTGCTTCTGTATAATCCGACAATAACATCCCATCTCTGCCAGGCAGCGACTTATTTTAATAAAGCTAGAGGAGGTATTGGTGTGCCCATTGAAAGCAATCGTAAATTCCCAGGATCAGGAAATTAATCCAGTTTCTTTGGATGGAATTGACAAAGTCAAGTCCAGGAATTTTAAGTCAAAGCTCAGTGACCCAGTGTCATTTAATTCCCTTTCCTTTAAAAACTGAAACACCCACATACACCCAGCTGGGGGAACAGGGAGAAATGCCATCAGTGCCTGTTTTTTGCTGTGTGACCCCCAGCACAATTAGAGACTGAGTAGTGGTTTGTTAAATCTGTACAAATGTCTCAGGCATTGCTACATGCATATGACAGATCTGGCAGGTCTTCATCAACCCCTGGAGCTGGGCACCTCTGGAGAGCTCTGAGTCTGATGGGAAACTGCTCCTCTCCTGCACACCACCAGGAATCCACTGCTGAATGACTGGTATGGAGAGAAGGGAGAGATATTTTTTCTCCTGTAATTGTTGGTAACATGCCAAGACATGATGCATTTGAAGCTGAAGTCCAAGAGAAGGTACGAGGTTTTCATACTGTGCTACTCCTCCCGGCTGGAATTAAAACACTGTATTCAGAAGAAAGGACATACACCTGTAAACACCTGACTACCACTTCTGGGTTTCCAGTTTGTTCTTTGTTATGCTTTTGGTTTTTTGGGGGTTTTTTGTGTGGTTTTTTTTTTTTTTTTTTTTCATAAAAAGGCCATTTTCACCCTTCTCTCCAGAAGGAAAAGACAGGAACAGAGTTTGTTGAAAAAGACATCAAGCCAAAAGGCCTTGTGTTATCCTTCTCCATCCTGTTATTCTTGTTCCCCCCCACTTCAGCCTTCCCTCCCTTCTTCCTTTGACAGTGATAAATGGCAAAAAAAAAAAAAAAAAAAGGAAATGGTAATTTAAAACTTGTATGGGACAAAATTTGAAGAAAGAAAGATAAAACTATCAAATATCACCAGGACATCTTCAACTTTTGTAGCTCCAACCCTCAACATAGTTTTTTGGGGGAAGGAGAATTGCAGTGGGAATTCTTCTCGGCTCTCAAACGTTCTTCTGTCCCAGGTGATCATGGTTGCACTCAAGCAAAGGACAATGACCTGCTGTAGCTTCCAATGAGCTGGAGGTGCAGCCATGCCCTCCCTCCAGCCCTCATCTTAGCTTTTGGGCTGGAGAGAAGCCATGCCCACCACAGCCCTAGTGCAGGGCTTAACTAGCAAGGACTGGAACCCCAGCTCCATCCTGAGCAAAGCTCTTGATTTCCCCTGTGCAGTTATTGCAGTTTGCCAAGGACTGGAAGACAAAAAAGGGTGGTAGGGATTGGACTGGAGGAAATGAAATCTTTTAGAACAGGGGTTTTCAGATCTTAGGCTGTGGTTATGTTGTGTGAGTTATGGTATTCTGCAGTGGCTGTGTGGTTTGTGCTGGAACCTGGGGACTTCCCTGAGATTTTGCTTCCCTGGTGTGTGGCAGGAGGAGTTTGCTCAGGTGCTTTTCCCATCTTGAGGAGAGGTGAGCCTTGCACAGGTAGAAATTAGAGACATGAGCCAAGTGACTTAGTTGCACAGTAAATGAGGGCTGGAAAAAAGACTGTCAGCAGTCATGAGGGCATATGGAACACATCAGGTCTTCTTGCAGTCCTTTGCTTTATCAGGTGCATGTGCTTACATATAGTGACCTCTTACTAATTAGCTAAATTGTGTTTGAACGGGGTAAGAGGGGAGTAATGTTCATCAAAGGAGAAGGAAAAATAATAACTTATTTCAAAAATTAAAGATTAAAATTTAAGACTCGAGAGGCTGAGGAGATGTGCACATGTTGCTATCCAGTTCCCTGTGCAGGGTTGCAGGAATAAGCTTGAGGTATTAAAGTGAAAGATTTTACTCCTGAACCTGCCAAGGGAAGAGAAGAAATACACCTAACAGTGCATGGATGAACACTGCAGAGGTTATTTTGCTTTGTATAGTTTTTTAAACCCGCAATAAGCCCTTGCCCCTTCAGCTGCTTGTGGACCATGATCCGTCTCTGGTTTGCATCCCTGACCCACAACTGCAAATTCATGCATCCATGAATTTTCAGAGCAGTCTGTTCTGGTTTGTCAAGTCTGAGCTTGGAAAGCTATGCGGAGAGAAAAGGGATTCCTAGGGAGAAATGCTTTCAATGGCTGTGCAAAGCCTGTTGTGGGCAATTCCATCCTGTCTTGGTTTTGGTGACATGCCAAGGCCATTCTGTTAAATGGCTTTTTGTTTTTTTTTCTCCTGTTTTGCTTTGGTTTTTTTACAGGCTGTAGAATAGTTTCCTGCCCAGCCTGGGTTACAGCCAGAATGGGAGCTGTGGACGAGGATGCTGGTTTGGACCAGAGGCATGCTTATGCTCAATCATTATTTGCCAGTGGCCACTTTTCCAAAACATGCTTTATCGAGTGTGCAGCTTTTGTTGCACCATGGTGTAGACAGTGGTCTCTGGAGGAGGATGGTAGATCACAGGCCATCTGGTACCTTTCTGGACCTTGTATTTTAACAGGACATGAAATAAGCTTCTTTTTCTCATGGAGAAATAAACCCTCCCTCAAGCATAAAAGCAACCTGTCACTTTCACATATCCTGGAGAAGGGCCATCACTCTAACATGAGCTTCCTCCCCACCTTCTAGCTTTGAAGTGAGGATGACCTGAGAGCTGGAACTGGGGTTTCTTAATCAATCTCTCCAGAAGCAGAGATCTTTATGCTGGAATGCCCCAAGCAGCA